CGGCGCGTCGGCCAGCGCGAGCACGCGCGCCAGCGGCAGCGGCCGCAGCAGCTTGGTCGTCAGCGAGAGCAGCGGGCTCGGGTCCGCTGGTGCGCTGGTGCTGCTGCGGAGGATCTGCGTGAGCGGCGGGAGCAGCGTGGGCAGGAGCGGTGGTATGTTGGTTTCTTTTTGGTCTGTCAGTAACGAGGGGCGGGGGGGGGGTGACGGCGGGTGGTTAGGCGGCGCGCGCACCTGTGAGTTGCAGCTCGACTTCGTCGCAGAGACCGGCGTCGAGCGGCGTTTCGGGACAGGCGAGGAGAGCGGCGAGGTGCGTGTGCAGCTCGTCGAGACGCGAGATGGGAAGGGCGTCCATGGCGACTTGCGGGACGATTCTGCCGGCGGACATTTTTTCTTGGCAGGATGGAAAAAATGTGGTTTTTGGATGATGAGCCGATGAGGGCTTGTTTGTTGTGAGGATGTGAGCGGCTGCGCAAGCGCAGGCTGCCTGATGGTTGCACACCAACTAGGAGCGGCCCACAAAGGCGAAGACGCGTAGGTAGTGTACGAATCTGTTCCGTTCGGTATAGAATCCCAGGGTCATTTTTAAGGGAGAGTTTTTTGACAGATCGCTTTCAGTTTATTAAAGGTGAATGAGATTAAATGTCGGATGTCACCCTGGCTGAGGCGGTCAAACTGGGTTCAGAGCGTCGCGTGTAAGTGGCCAAACAACGATGTTTTTGTATCATTACTTGAAGCTCTTTCACAAGCGTATTAATTACAATACGTCTCCCATCCGCAAGGCTAATAGTGAACCGCATATACTAGCTCACAAAAGCCCGCTGCCCTGACAAGCTAAACAAAAAGCTCTCCGTACCCGTTGCCCTCGCCGCGCTGCGTGTCCGCAATCATGGGCACGACGTACGGAAAGCCAGCGGCCGACTCGCCTTGCACAATCGGATACGGCGTCTCCCGCCAAATCTGCTGAATCCTGCGCGCGCTCGTCAAGAACCTCTCCCGCACCGTCCCCAGCTGCTTCGCCACCATGCTCCCCTCGCGCTTCACAAACTTGCCGTCGACGACGACATCCCACACGTCTCCCGGATTTGCGTGCAGAATCACCGCCGCTACGGGGTCCACCCATCCCAGCATCGACAGGCTGTCGCGCGCGTTCCAGACGACCAAGTCCGCCTTGGCCCCGACCTCGAGCACGCCGAGGTCCGGCCGTCGCAGCGCCAGCCCGCCGGCCCTCGTAGCCAGCAGGAATGCCTGGTTCGCGCTCATCGGGTTGCGGCTTGGCAAGCCCCAGTTCCGGAGGACGTCCCAGGCGGCGCCGTACCTGACCGACTGCAGCCATATCCGGGCCTGGGTGAGGATGTCGCTCGAGTAGGTAAAGTGCGTGTCGACGCCAAGCGCGGCCTGGTCCTGCAGCAGGTGCGCGTGGGGGTGCGTGTGGCCGTAGTGCATCTCCGACTCGGGCGTGATGGAGACGTACTGGTTGGTGGACCGGAGGAGGGCCGCGTCCGTGGGGGTCAGAAAGCTGCCGTGAGAGAAGACGACGGGGATCGTGCCGCGGAGGAGGTCGAATCGGTCCACATCGGAGGGCAGGTTGTCGGTGCCCCAGGGCCCGGCGAGGGAGTGCGTCGTGACGACGGATACATTGTACCGGAGCGCGAGGTCGGCGATTTGCCGCGCCTCGCCGACGTTGGGATCCGGGCCCCAGGCGTCGTATGCGATGCCGAGCTCGGTCGACGTGCCGGCCAGGATGTTGCTCTCGGCGATCTCCTGAAAGTTGGGCACCTGCTCGGCAACGGTGTACTTGAGCGACGAGATGTTGTGAAACGCGTACGACCAAAAGACGCGCGCACCGCTCTCGACCGACGCATTCAAGCCGGCGTACGCTGTCGCATTGGACCAGGTATGGTGCGCGTGGTCCAGGAGCGTCGTCACGCCGCCGCTCAGCGCCTCCCAGAGGCCCATGAGCTGGCCCAGGTAGACGTCCTCGGGCCGAAAGTGGGCGGCAGCCGCGAACTCGCCGTACCGGGCAAAGTAGTCGAGCAGCGTGGTGTTGGAGCCCATCGTCTTCAGCGCCGTCTGCCAGCCATGGCGGTGCGTGTCGATGAAGCCGGGCGTGATGATCTGGTCTGTTGCGTTGACGTGGAGCGTGTCGGCGGTTAGGTCCAGGAGCGGCGTATCTCCTGGGCTGAGGGCGGCGATGCGGTCGTCGGTGACGAGGAGGGAGCCGTTGCGGATGACGCGCAGCGACTCGTCGGTGCTGTTGAAGGCGATGATGGTGGCGCCAAAGAACAGCGTCGATGCGGCTCGGGCCAACGGGCTGGCGAGAGCCGCGAGGAGAAGGAAGTGCTGCATTGATGAGGTCAATGGAGAATGTCAGTCTGGGTATGTTTATGACGGTTTCGTTTGCTAAAGCAGCTGGTAATGATCAAGTCTTTGGCCGCCATTGCGTATTATATGTCAGAGGCAACCGCGACTCTACTTCTCCTTCCTGACGAACCGGACCTTGAATCTGACCAATCCATACTGACTAGCCTGACCAACCCATGACTGCGGAATCTGACCAATCCATGACTGATGAATCTCACCGTGCAACTTGCAAATCGGATCGTGCGGGGGGGGGAACTTCGCTTGTCTGTTGTGGCGCTTCCATCTATCACTTTAGGACCTTGGCAGACCACTTTAAACGGAGGAGCCGAGGCGAGGCGAGCAGATGTGGACGTTTGCTAAAACTAATTTCGCCGAGAATGAACTTGTGCCGGTCTGCAGATACCGCTACGAGTTCGGGGGCAAGTTCCAGCATTTGAACATTTTGGCGTCGAACGGGGGGCGAGTTGCTCGCACCGTACTAGTTTTGTCGCGATAAATGATATTACTTCGTCATCGTGTTTGCATGGCCTTGCATATGGGCTAGTAGAATGGATTTCTCCTCGGTTCCATACTTGAACTTGTGTGTAAGTGCCGATCGGCTGAAGCCGCCCAGAGTCCTACTCCCCGTTGCTACACCGAAAATGCCAAAATTGACAGCCGTAATACTACGTCGCATTGCAAAACTCGCGATATTGGAACCGCATTGGGCGGGGTCACGACAGCTCATGGTGCAGCTGTCCCATGACACGTTTGTGGGCCAATCCTATCACTCCTCATGGCAATCTTGCGGTATATCGTCAAGACGAGGAAACAGAGAAAACAAAATGAGCCAATCATGACGTTCTGTGACATTCCGCGGGTAACTGTCGCGCATGGTGTAATAAATGACTAATGCCATCGGCCGGAGATGATCGGGGACCTAAAATGTCCGCTGAATAAGCGTTTATTGCAACTCGGCCGACTAGTTAGTTACTGCTGTGCTGCACCAGGGTTTATCCCAAGCATCATGTATGATGATGCTTCTCAATTGGAGCGTCTGAGCCTACCAGCCAGTTCGTCGGCCGCTGCAAGTCACGCACTGCTCGGCACTCTCTTCACAATGGCGCTCCCCAGTTCCTCGACACTCTCAACCATTTCGATGCCGAATTTCCGGCACACAATCTGCACATTGCCTCTCTTCCAATAGCCTTCCGGGCAGAGCACGATGACTTTTCCTCGTGTCCGCGCGCTCAAGCCGAATTCGAGCAAACTAACGGGCGCCTGCGTGGCCGGGTGGAAGTAGACGACCACGGTGTCGGCCTGGTCCTGCTTCTCCAGCTCCCACTCCACCTGCTCGCGATAGGGAGCATTGTCGACGTCCTCGCGCCACGTGCTGTCCCAGTCGGCACGGAACGGGTTGTAAATGGTCACGGGTGTGCCGGACAGGAGGGAGGCGAGCGTCTCGCGCCAGTCCACCGCGTCGACCTTGCTCGTCGTGCCGGCGAAGAAGACGGAATGGAGTCCGGTGGCGGCTTCTTGGGAGGGAGCGTAGATGACCTGGCTTCGATGCTGGGACATTTTGGAAATACACACGGCCGTATCTCGCTACTCGCTGTATAGACACCGAATGGGTTCACGCTGCAAAGCTGGCAAGTCCCGGCATCTCGTGTTTCTACAGGTGTGTGTGTGGGAGGGCGGTTGGGTGCAGAGTAATTTGTACTGTTGAAAGAATGCCTTGAGGTTTCTGGGAGCGGGGAACACACGTGATAAGCCATTTTCATAGCCACCGGCCATTCAATGCGCAAAAGAGGGGGAATGAAGTTGTCATTCTCTCGTTTAAAAAAAAAAGTGCCTTGAAATATCATGAGAAGCTTCCTCTTTTTGATACGAGCTTCTTCAACCTCATAGGTGCTATACTGGCGCTCTCAGTGGCAGTGGACCGCGATCCACCAAAGTTGATCTGTGACAATTTCATTAGCACTACAAATTACACATTATCATTTTTAGTGATTTTTTCATTATGTTCTGATTTTTTTCCCAGGTGTATGCTTGTGTAGGTATATATGTACTTTGACTCGAGAGCTTGAATGAGCTATATCGTCCGCCTACAAGTACATCGCTATTCATTCTCTACAACAAGAAAAGAAAATTCCTGTAAATCAAGTGCCAAGTCCAAGCCGTACTTGAATGAATTATTCTTGATATAAATGTCGTTCTTGCGAGTGCAATCACTACAGTTCCAGGTTGATCATGATCGCATGGACCCCGACTACCCCGAATTATGTTGCTCCACCATCGATAACCTTTGCACAGCGTCCAGAAACGGCAGAAAAAAAAGTTGACCAGCTCCCCCGCCACTGCGAACTCGCTACTCACGGCGTCTTCTCCATCCCACACTCGCTTGTATTCCTGCATTCCATGACATTGGACGTATTCTTTCCCACGCATCCCGTACAACTACCACGCTCCGCGCCCGTACTGGCCGGTCTCGCGTGATCCGAAATGTCCAGAGGCGGCGGACGCGGCGGCGGTCGCGGTGGCCGTGGAGGAGGTCGCGGCGGCCGACCCAACGTGCCGTGGGACACGGGCGACGAGCCCGATGCGCGGCCCTCCGAACTATTCCCGGTAAGAATGTTCACCTCCCACCTGCCGAGAGCGCTCTTGCGAACTCTGCGCCTTGCGCGGCAATCTCCTGCGCTTCCCCCAATGCTAACTCTCGCTGCCCTCTCGCCAAGCCCTACACAGTCCCCGTGCCCCGAAGCCTGACGACGGCCGAGTCCGACAGCGTGCACTACATGCTCCTCCTGCGCCGGCAGGTGCACTCCTCGCCGCTCTACACATCCAAGCGCACCTCGCTGACGGACCCGACGGCGCCGCGCAAGATCTACGGGCAGGCGCAGAAGAACGCCGTCTACGGCGTCAAGAACAAGGCCTCGCAGGACCCCTTCACGTCCATGCCCATTTACTCGCAGAAATTCGTCCGCGAGGAGCGCGCGCTGCCCGACTGGTCCGCGCGGCCCGTCTGCCGCGAGCTGTTTCCGCACGAGCTCCTCGAGACGATTGACGGCGGCGGCGCCAGCGGCGGCGGCGGGGTGGACGCCGCCCCGCGCAAGAAGCGCCGCCTCGAGCTCTCCCGCGTCAGCGCCCTGCCCAACGCCGAAGAAGCCTTCAATATGCCCTCGCTGGCCGCGGACGGCGACGCCGAGCACGGCCAGACGCTGCTGGACAAGCTCGAGGCGCTGCGCGACGAGGAGGGCGACGAGGCAGAGGGTGACGATGAGGAGGCGCCGGAGGAGGAGGAGGAGGATGAGATTTATGATGATGAGGATGCGGGCGATTATGACGCCGAGCAGTTCTTTGACAATGGCGAGGACTTTGGGGATGAGTATGGGGATGGTGATGATGGAGGGGAGGGGACCTACTGAGCGTTCAAGCCACGCGGTTGGTCGTCTGTTTGAGCTTGTGTTTTTATTTTATTTTAAATGGCGAATGGGCTTCTGGAACTGGACTGAACGGATGTAAAGAGCGAGGCCGTGTTCGTGTTTGGGCACATTGTACATATTGCAGGACTTTGGATTGGAGCCTGCCCGTGGCAAACACAGCTACCTAGCCCTTCTTCCTGTTTACTATGGCGTCGTGATTGGTTTCCCTTTTTGCACTGATATCTCATGTACATGGAGCCCAGCAGCCGTTTTGCGTATCCGATCAAGGACGAGAGTCAATGAATCTTACAGCGAGGACTAGTTGGGGCAAGTCTTTACATTATTGACTAGCGATGCAATCCAATATTGCTTTTCGAAGCCACTATCCATAAAAATTACAAGGCAAAATCATCCATCTTTGAGATTTATTTCCAGAGTCCATGCCTGCCCATGCTACCCATCTTCAACGCCAGAGCACATCTATTTTGCCCATCATTTTGTCTTCCTTAATTGTTCGCATAGAGACCGTTATCAATGAACCCGGCCTGGAGGCGCGATAAGCGCTCGCGCGTGTCCGCAATCTGACCGGCCTGGCCGACAATGGCATTTCCCGTTTCCCTGAGCGCAGAGAGCACCTGGTTGAGCTGGTCCTGGACACCGCCGGCGCCGCCGGTGCCGTAGAGCGCGGCGTTGCGGTCTCGGAAGCTGCGAATCTGCTCGTACAGCCCATTCTCGACGCCCGGCATGTCGCGCTCAATCTCGCCGCGGTACTCGTCTAGCCGCTTCTTGTACCGCTCCACGTCGTCGCAGATGCGGTTAAAGTATGTGATGAGGTCCTGGGCGTTGGCGTGCGCCGAAGACGCGTCCGTGTCGTTTGAGCCGGTCGACGGGGCGGAGCCGGCAAAGAGGCCGGTTTGATGGTAGTGGCTAGGGAGCTTGAGATTGTCCGCGGCTTTGAATGATAGCTGCGCGTCGCCAATGTTCTTCTTGGTCACGTCTTGCAGGCTCTTGACGGTCTGTATGTCGCGGTTGAGGGCTTCTTGCAACGTGCGGAATTTGGACTCGACAAACTTGACGTCGTTGCCGAGCTGCTGAAGGTCCTTTTCGTGCTGGGGCATAAACTCGCCAATCGCGTCCCGCATCTTGATGACGCGCTGGATGCCCTTGTCTATGAGGGCCACTTCATCTTGAATCGGTTGGGCCAGGTCGTCGAATCGGGACCGCGGGCGCAAGGTATCATAGTTGATCTGGACTGCCGGGACCTGGTTGGCTGCTTGCGTCGGCTGTTGACTTTGGCCACTGGCAAAGGTTAGTGAAGCTGAAAATCGACCATCTCATCAGGAAGCTACGTACAAGATTCCAGCAGACGAGTTTGCCTGTGGCTGGCCAAAGGTAGTATTTGATGTAGCTCCCCCTTGCTGTGCATTTCCAAATAGTCCCGTGCCCGCCTGAGCAGGCTGCTGCGTCGCCGTCGCGCCAAAGAGTCCCGTGCCCGCCGGCTTCTGTGCCGCTGCAGCACCAAAGATGCCCGAACTTGCTTGAGCAGGCTGCTGCGTCGCCGCAGCACCACCGCCAAAGACGCTTGCAGCTGATGTGTTTGTGGGTTGCGCAGCCGGTGCTCCAAACAGACCCCCAGCAGGCTTTGGCTGCGACTGCGCAGCACCAAAGATACTGCCCGAGGCTGGCGTTGTCTGTCCTTGCTGCGGCTGGGCCGCTGTCGTGCTGACGGCGCCAAAGAGCCCGCCGCCCGCCGGTGCTTGTGTGGTTGTTGATGCCCCAAACAGGCCGCCCGCCTTTGGCTGCGCTGCCGCCGTGCCAAAGAGCCCCATGGCGCCGGTCGCGGTCGCGGAGCTCGAGTTTGTGTTTGTGGCTGTCGATGCGAAAAGACCGCTGGTCGATTGAGGTTGGGATATAGGTGCGCTAGATGATGACGGCAAAGAAACAGCCAACTCGTTAGCCGATGGAGATGTTTTGTGAGGCGCGCAACGTTGGGCGAGGTCGGTGAGTAGCAAATATTTGTGGTTTGTAGCAGTAGCGCGTGTGCTGCACCAAGAGCGGGACTGCCCGTGGCTGCCTCAGCAACTTACAGGGAGTTTGCAGCGCCAGTGTTGATTGTGAGACCGCCTGGGCCACTGGCTGAGCGCGCCAGGGACATGGTACTACTTGATCCAGGCTCTGGACACCTTCGTTTGAGCCGTATGCTGAGCTTCTGATGAGCTGATGAAAGCTGAACCGACCAGAAGAGCTTGTGGAAACTTCAAGTGTCGAGCATGCGACCGTGCCTAGATAGATAGTTTGGTACTTGTTTCCGTAGCCTGTCTTCCTGCTCCATCTTGGTACTGATCTAACGCGCTGTAGTGCGAAGCGCAAGACTCTCAGCACGGAGAAACAACGGGTCCGAAGATTGCTCAAGCAAGCTCAATACACAGCATTCACAGCTTTCAACGACGCCCATCGCAATCCCGACATTTCATTGCCCTCCTAAGCAATCGCTCTACTTTCATAATCGAAGCGCATCATGGAAATGGACGAGGACGACGACATCTACGTGCCCGAGGAGCCACAGGTTGATTCCCACCAGGCTCAACCGCCTCCGGTAGCCAGGCCTGTGGAGGAGCTTGAGGAAGGCGAAGAGGAGGACGAGAGTGGCGCAATGGATGAAGAAGATGACGATTCTGTACGGTGATAGTATGGTGTCTCTCGGTACTCGTATCTAACCTCGCTGGCAGGACATCGACATCATCACAGAACGAAAAGACGGCACAACAGCTGCGCCTCCAACGTACGCCTTTTTCGGCCCCCAAAACGACTATAGGAGATGAAGCTGATACGTTTCGAACAGACAAGCAAAATATAGCGACATCCGGAACATACCGCAGAGGTCAGGCACCAACGACAGTCCAGGAAAACCTGCGCCTGTAGTACCAGCCAAGCCCGAAGCGCAAACCGCACCCTCGAGTACACTTAATGTTGCTGCTCCAAGCGCAGATCAAACTTCAGCAGCAGCCTCAAAATCGACGGTCGATATCAATGCCAACCCCGTATACGCCCAAGTAGGCAAGCCGATAACACAGGTCAACATTGACGAAGGTATGACAAGGTCGCATGCAACTACGGCGCCGGACAAGACTGACATGGCGCAGACTTACCAGACAATGAAAAACCATGGCGCAAGCCCGGAACAGACATCAGCGACTACTTCAACTACGGCTTTGACGAATTTACGTGGGCGCTGTATGCCGCCAAACAAGAGACTGTCCGTGGCGAATTCGGGGCCGACGCGTTTGCCGTCAACAACAAGAAGATGATGGATGATTTCAACAACATGATGATGGGGGGGATGGGCGGCATGGGCATGAATGGTGGCGCCAATAACAACGCTGGCGCGTCGTCCATGCCGGGCGGGGACGGCGGCATGGCCCCTGAGATGCAGCAAATGATGCAGCAAATGATGGCCGCTGGCATGGACCCGTCACAGATGGACATGAGTCAGATGAATGCCATGTTTTCAGGCATGCAGAATGGCGGCGGCGGTGCTGCGGGCACAGCACAGGGCGGCGCTGGACAGAACTTTGCGGGTGGCTACGGAGGCAACCAGGGCGCGTACGGAGGCTACAATCAAGGCGCTGGTCGTGGGAGACGAGGGAGATGGTAGCATGTGACCAGGTTTTCAAATGCGAACGGAGGTACGATTTATACCAGTGCAAGTGGTGTTATAACAGGTCAACCTAGCTGCCACGCGGATTCGTCTCCGGCTAGAGCTTACACTATTCATACTAATATTATGCGAAGAGAGCAGCATCGAAACCACTTTGTTTCTCATTGCCCAGTTTCGCGTATGTTGACCTCGGAAGGAGGAGCAGAGTCGTCCAGAGGCTGCAATCTACCCCAAACAGAATAGAACATTAAAGCGCCAAGTCAAATTACAATATCGTCATTGCCGGGCCGTGGTATAGCCATCCGTTGAAGGTGTTTCACTTGCGACAGATGTCGTAAATGGAGCTATTCCACAGCTGCCAAAGTACCTGCCTGATTCGGCCATCCAATATCAAACTGGCCGTGTTGCGGAACTTGCGGCCAGCACGGCTGACGAGTGCCAACAAGTAAGCAGCTAGAAGTGCTGAGATGGTGTGCATCTAATGTCCCGAGTCGGTGATGTGCCAGGATCGGCGCATAGATGAGCCGCACAGTTGTACATCAGACGCGCGCTCCTGTCTCAACGGCTTGTTGTCGATCAGTACATTATTTTAATGCCCGACTCGTAAATGAGGGCCGGCACGAGAGTGCAGTCACAAGTAGAAGCTTTACACAATGTTGAGCGAGGCAGAGAAAGCTGCTCCCGCCAACAATGACAGGTCAGCATATCCAAAACGGCAATCTCGTCGTTGGAAAAGACTGAGCGAGAGTTGTGTGCGGTGCTGCTTCAACACTAGTACGTGTGTTGTGTTGCATTGCAGAAAGGCCGAGGCCATCATCATGACGAGGGGCATTGTGACCCGGCGGCGGTAGCATGCGATAGCAGCTGGCCGAGAAAGAAAATGCCTTCCAGAATGGGAAATAGCAGTACTCCCACGACTCCGAGTCCTTTGGAGCGCAGATGTTGTGATGATTTGCTGGAATGTGATAGAAACGGACTGGTGTTGTGTATGGCTCATGGCTCCCAAGTAAAGGGCAACTCATACCAAATCCAAGAACTCACTTCACGTACAATGCGCTGGCGCATCCTACACACAGTGGCGGCAGCTCTGCTCGCCAGCACGGTCACAGCCAGCCATGTCCACGATCATGGCCTTTGCCGTGGAAAAGACCGTCACCCTCCCCGACGGACAGGTCATTCACTGGATCCGGCGAGAGGTGCAAGGCGAGATTGCCTCGCCCCCGGCGCCTCCGCAGCACGACAAGCGCCTCCGCAAGGGCAGCCTGAGCGCCTTCAACTCGACGTGTGCGCGTGGAACACACCAAGTACCGCGGGTGGGTGCAGTACGACGCCGCGTACTACCCGGGGGATGCCGCTGGCGTCGCTGCCGGTGGTTGGCGGCGACCTGCAGCGCAACCTGCAGCTGCAGTACAAGCTCGAGGCCGGCAACTGGTGGCTCGCGGTGAATGGCCGCTTGGCGGGCATTATGCAAACGAGGGTTATGGGAAGGCGGCGTATATTCGCAATATTCTCATCACGGGCACGGACGACAACGACGGCGACTAATGGGAGCCAGGGTGTTGTTGGCGGCTGATTAGTCTTTGGGGCGGTTGATGTGAAGTACATAACATGAGATAATTTGCTCAAATAAAGAAAATGCGCAATATGAAAATGTCCTGCAATGATTTATACTATTTTGGTTGGCAGCTGTGCTAAGCCAACCCTACACCGTCGGTATACTTGACATGGTTTACACAGCTCGAGTCATACCTGCAATGCAAGCTAACGAGTCAAAGTTTGATATAAATTGATGGATTAGGAGATGGTTTAATTGTCTAATTCTCCAATTTTCTGAATTCCTTGTGTCCTTTGGTATGTAGCAGCACCACTTACACCAAAGACACGCCCGCCTCTACATCGCGGGGTGGCGAAGTCGGCGACTCAGCCGAAGCTTCCTCTATGGCTATGTACAGTAATAATAATCGCTTACAGCTGAGCACATGAATATGCGACACTGACATGTTCTACTAGTCTAGTCACTCGACAGAAAGGCAGCGGGGCGCCGAGTAAGATTTCGCCGAGATGGCGTGCACTAGATAACTGGCGGGCTATCACCTCTTTCCATCCGTCATGTGTGGCATGTTGAAACTGCAGCAAAGGGCTGATTGCCGTTATTGCCCCCGTAAAACCGGAGCTGTTTATATTGCAGGGCTCACGCGCCGGCGAACACATTTACAAACAAAACTTAACTTGCTTGCCAGTTATGCGTAATAATGCTTGACATTATCAACAAATCCAAGACCAAATCTCGCTCATTCTCTTTCGCCACGTTGGCCGCATCTCAACTCGAGAAAGCAGCCAGCCAATCAAACTTGCACAGGCTGCCTGTCCCAAGGGAAAAGCCCATGTCCCACATGCCCCTTGCAGTAGTTGCTCAGGTGGTTGTTGTTGGCGTCAAGGTTTGTCGGAGCGCTTTTGCGCCATCAGAACGACGAGAGCGTGATGTTCGGGCCATGTAACAACAGAGCAGTACAGGATCTCGCCTCCTCTCCCGGGTCGTCCGTCAGATAACCAGACACACACCCCCAGCAAGTCAGCAGTTGCTCTTCTGACCAGTTACATACACATACCATCCCGTGCCGAGATGACTACAATCTTCCGACAGCCCGCCCGACCACGCGCCCGGCGTGCGGCGGCGCCACCGTCCCTGATAAGCCTTCCCGTTGCGGCCCTCGTGGCCGCTCCGGTACATTTTACCCCACAACCCTGCGATAGTCAGCTTCCCAGTTGGGAAGGTTGGCAATGTAGTCTCCAACAATACTTCCCCCTTCTGATCGTGCCGTTGCCGTAAAAGCGAGCCATCTAGTGGGTAACGTTACCCCCTTTCCAAACTGTATTCGCGCGCCGCTGTCTACTTTTGTTTCTCTCGTGTCCCAGCAAAGGTTGTTGCGCTCGGGTTGTCTCCTCCGAGATGCGGAACACACTTTAGACACCCTGCAGCACCAGCGGTTTTAATTGAGGCAAAAATTTTTTTTTAGTTACTATTCCGCTGCAGCATCAGGACAACTTCACCACTGGGCTAGGGTTCTTTCTACCAACTGCCACGTGAACTGCAGCTGGTAATATCTTGTTACGGATACACTGTGTAGACGAGCTCTCTTCTACGACACATGTCCTTTCTGCAGCGGGCGCTCCAAAGTCGCTAATCATCATGCCATCGCCTAGGTATCCAGGCACGCGAACCGATGACTTCTCCACTCCTGTCAGCCATCTAGCTCCCGTCCTACGTGCACGCTAGGAACACATTACCTTTTTGGCAACTTGGAAAGACGGCTAGACAAAGCAGTGTGCTACGTTGGATATCGAGCCTCGGCGCGTATCCTCACAGCGCGATATTCGAACCTGGATGGAGCCACGCAGCATCTACATGCGTGCCTCGTCTGGCAACTTCCTCGAGAACAGCGGGACCTGCGAATTACACCGCAGGAAAACGAGCAAGTATTGCCAGTTTCAGACCACTTGGTCAAATGTCCTCTGATGGTCCAAGTGTGGTTGTATCCTCCAGAAGTACCAGCCCCCCCGTCTACCCCCCCCCCCCCCACAACGACGGACCGGCGACCATGTCTAGACCGATGCAGATGGTGTCCTCTCGCCTTTGGTCCGGCGACAACTCTAAACAAGGTAGCAGCAGCGGACCAATGTCCGGCGTGCCCAAGTCACTGCCCATCGAACAAGCGGTCCCACGTCACATAGACGAGGTGGAAATTAGGGGCGAGCGTTGCACTCCGCGATGTATGGTATGCTCGGCCACCACGGTCCATGACGGCCACTGACTGGTATGCCCAGCCCCGGAATGGACATATAAAGCTTGCCAGCCCCTCGCTCTGAATACTTTCCCTCCAGCTTGAATCCAGTCACACTGAAAGACGGCGTTGCATAGATTGCCACTAAAAACGAACCGGATCCAAAAGCTTCTGCCCACGTCGCAACAATGGCATCTCTCATGTCCATGGCCACGCTCGCCAGCGTGCTTGCCGTACTCCCTTCCGCCATGGCCGGATTCAACCCAGCCTCTGGCAAGAATATCGCAGTGTACTGGGGTAAGTTCTTCGAGTTTTCGTCCATTTCGGGTTCACAATCTGACTGTGCGGCAAGGCCAAAACTCGTACAACCAGGGCTCTGGCCCTCTCGCTCAGCAGCGCCTTGCATACTACTGCAAAAGTAAGTACCTGGCTAACATGTGGGAGTGAGAGTCCGTCGGTACTAACTTTTGACCTAGACACTGACCTGGCTGTAAGCATTTTCTCTTGAAGCGCCGGCCCACTGTGAGTGCTAACTCGAGGTAGATCATTCCCGTCGCGTTCATGAACGGCATCACTCCGCCCATCACAAACTTTGCCAATGCAGGCGATAACTGCACCGCATTCCCCGGCAACACCAATGTTCTGAACTGCCCCCAAATCGAGTACGTTTGTGCGCTTCTGCAGCAGCCCCCAGCTCCCACATCGCTAACCACGCCGCCACAGAGAGGACATCAAAACATGCCAGAGCACGTACGGAAAGACCATTGTGCTCTCCCTCGGCGGCGCGACCTACTCCCAGGGGGGGTGGTCCAGCACCACCGCCGCCCAGAACGCGGCCCAAATGGTCTGGGACATGTTTGGCCCCGTGCAGTCCGGCAAGGTGGTGGACCGCCCCTTTGGCGGCGCCGTCGTCGACGGCTTCGACTTTGACTTTGAGAGCAGCGCCAACAACCTGCCGGCGTTTGGCGCCAAGCTGCGTAGCCTGATGGACGGCGCGGGCGGCAAGAAGTTTTACCTGACGGCGGCCCCGCAGTGCGTGTTCCCCGACGCGGCCGTCGGCGCCGTGCTCGACGCGGTCGCGTTCGACTTTGTCATGATCCAGTTCTACAACAACTGGTGCGGCGTGTCCAACTTCCAAGAGGGCGCGAGCACGCAAAACGCCTTCAACATGGACGTCTGGGACAAGTGGGCGCGGGCCAGCAAGAACCCCAATGTGAAGCTGCTGCTCGGCATCCCGGCGGCGCAGGGCGCGGGCGGCGGCTACACGGCGGGCTCCAAGCTCAAGGCGGCCATCAACTACTCGCAGAAGTACTCGAGCTTTGGCGGCGTCATGATGTGGGACATGTCGCAGCTCTACTCCAACAGCGCCTTCTTGAGCGAGGTGCTTGCTGATCTTGCGGGTGGCCCGACCCCCACGACGGTTCCTCCTGGCACGACGGCTCCTCCTAGCACGACCACCACTCCCACGAGCCCCGGTAGCACTACGCCTCCCACGAGCACTTCATCGCCCCCTCCCTCGGGCGGCGGACTCGATCAGTATGCTCAGTGTGGCGGAATTGGCTACTCCGGTCCCACGGTGTGCAAGGCTCCCTACACCTGTGTCAAGCAGGGAGACTGGTGGTCGTCTTGCAAGTAAGCCAGTGGACGGGCAGTATGGCCTGCGATTGTTCACGTACATGGTACCTCGTTCGTTTCTTCAAAGTATATATTTTTTCAATGCACATATTCAACCAGAGATTGATGACTCAGGGTGACGGCGGTCGTATCGCGGCTTGACCGTGAAAATCAAGGTGAACTGCCATGCCAGGTGGTCGTTTGAGGACAGGTTGAGATGGCCCGTCTGGCACGTGACCTAGCCACAGTGGCTTGGAAATATCCCTTGTTGACATTGGCAACTCACTCTTTCCCAGCAGCATGATATGAAGATGGCAGAAATATTTTCCCCCTTCGTCGCATCGTATTTCTTGTCCCACAATACAAGCGCAGATGGCAGATAAAATGTCTAAAAATAGGTTCACGCCAGCCTACATAGGTATGGACAAGCCACCAATGTGTATGCCCGTTGGCGCCACCAGCCACCAGCCTCCCTCTCCACAGCCACTCACTCCACAGCCACCTTTTTCTCTCCACAGCCACCTTCATCTGCAACATCATCTGCCGCGTCAACAGTGGGCACAATCATGGTGGGTGCAAATCAGCAAGTCGAAAACGCTGCCCAGCCGCCTGACCTGACCTGAACAACCTTTTCCTCGCATCTGACTTTATCCTCCGATTTACTTCCATTGTTCTCTGTCGCTCGTTATAATCCCAACCTTGCAGCGCTTTACTCGCGCCGATACCAACTTAGCCCCCCTTGCGCCAACCTTTGAAACCTGGAATAACTCGACTTCGAAACAGAGGGCCATTCACCAGAGAGCATCGATAACAGCAAATCTAGAAGCCATCGTCGCCATCGTCAAGATGCCACCGGCCTTGTCAACATCTGCAGTGTCGCTCTCGGCCGCGCATGTGCTCAGCAAACTGGAGCGGGAGCTGCAACAGCCTACGCACGCTGTTCTCGTCGGGCGCGACCTGGCGCACCCAAACAAAACGCAGCAAGTCACACTCGGCGTCATCGGTGCATATGTCGTCGTCATTGCCATCCTATGGAATGTTCCCTACATCAAGTATATCCTCTGGCCATTCAAGGTAAGCGCAGCAAGCCAACCAGCCACTTCAGTTTCCGTGACGTGTCCCACGTCGGCGCCTTTCGCAGTCTCGCCTCACGCCCTCGGTCCCACGAAAGAGATGCCCAAGCTAACGGATGTACGCCACAGATGCTTGTCATTGCCTTTCACGAGTTCGGCCACGCCATCACAGCCGTCTGCACCGGCGGCCGCGTCAAGTCCATCAGCCTCGACCCCAACGAGGGCGGCGTCACCACCATGGTCGGTGGCATCAGCGCCATCACGCTCCCCGCCGGCTACCTGGGCTCGTCCGTCATCGGCGCCCTGCTCATCTTTTGCGGCTTCAACATTGTCGCGTCCAAGGTGGCCAGCCTCGTGCTCGGCGTCTGCTTCCTGCTGACCCTGTGGTGGGGCAAGCGCGACTGGCTGACCGTCTTGACGGTGCTGTCCGCCGTCGGTCTGCTGATTGGGTGCTGGTTCATCAAGCATGCCGAGGCGCTGCGCTTCGTCGTGCTATTCATCGGCGTCATGTCGTCGCTCTACAGCGTGTGGGATATTTGCGACGACTTGATCCTGCGCAAGGTCAACTCGTCGGATGCCAGCGTCTTTGCGAAGCGCTATGGCGGCTCGTCGCAGTGCTGGGGCGTGATTTGGTCCATTATTTCTGTCCTGGTCATGGCGGTTGGGATTGTTGCTGGGCTGGCAGCGTTTTCGCAGTCGTTTGAACAACAACAGGAGGACTCGAAGCACTTTATCCCTACGTAGCCTACCCAGCCTAGTGTCTATTACAAGAATGATACCACAAATAGTATTTGAGCAAAATTAATGAGAAAATAGCAACGGGACGGACAAATGTGCTCCCCAAATCCTTTGTATTCAAGTTCGGTTGTCGAGAGCTGATTGTATAGATTAGAACCAGCATATCAAGGGCACATACGAGCTCGCTACAGTCTCAATCCAGAGCCAACGTAAACCAATAATGAATAATACTTGTATAGATACAGCGCTGCATAGGTGCGGCCTAGACTTTTATACTCTTTCCAATCATAGCTTAGCCACGGGAGTGCTTTCTGCAATCTCCTTGTACATTCTATCTACATCTTTGCGATACGCCTTGGCAGCCTGTTGGCGCTTGAGTTTCAGCCTACAAGTCAAAATGTTAGCATCGCACGCAGGCAGGGACATCATCACAACGTACGTCGGTGTCAGCAGCTCATTCTCCACCGAAAACGGCTCTACTGCCAGCATCAGGTTCTTGACGCGCTCGAACCCCGCCAGCTTCTTCTTCTTTCCAATCTCTTCAAGGATGCGGAGAAACTCCTTCTTGAGCGCCGGGTGCGCGACCACCCCGGCCAGGTCGGCGGGCGCCACGGCGCGGCCGAGGACCTTGGACGCAAATGCGGCAAACGACTCGGGCTCGACGCCGAAAATACCCACGAGGCTCGACTCGGAGCTGTCGCCGTGCACGAGGCCGTTGGCAATCATGCCGCAGTTGGCCGCGTAAATATTCTCAATGCGCTCCGGGGCGACGTACTCGCCCTGGGCCATCTTCAAAATGTTCTTCTTGCGGTCAATGATGCGGACGCGGCCGAGCTCGTCAATCTCGGCAATATCGCCCGTGTGGAACCAGCCGTCAGGCTCGATCGCCTTGGCATTCTCGGCCTCGTTGCGGAAGTAGCCGGCAAAGATGGACGGGCCGCGCATGAGCACCTCGCCGCGGGGCCGGGGCCGGTCGCTCACGCGGTAGTCGAGCTCCGGCACGGACTCGAGGCAGATCTCGACGCACTGCATCGGCGGGCCGACGTGGCCCGTCTCAAAGTCGCCCTTGAGCTGGCAGGTGGCGACGCCCGAGGACTCGGTCATGCCGTAGGCCTGTGCAAAGGGGATGCCGAGCGCGGCGCCGAGGAACGTCTGCACCTGCGGGTCGATCGGGGCGCTGCCGCCGCCCATGGCGCGCAGGCGGTCAAAGCCCATGGCGGCCTTGACCCGGGCCGTCCACAGCCGGTCGTAGAGCCAGTGGGTGTTGTGCGCGGCGCCCATGGGCAGGCGCATGGTGGCGAGCTTGGCGTCGACGACGTGCCGCGAGAGCGCGCCCCGGAAGCCCGGCGCGTCGACGCTCGCGGCCCGGATCGCCGCGTTGAACCGGTTGAAGACGCGCGGCACCGAGATGAACGTCGTCGGCCGCAGCGCCTTGATGTCCTCGGGCAGGCCCGTCAGCTCCCCCCGAAAGTACCCGATGCGCGAGCCCGACGCAAACGCCTCCTGCTCGACGAGCCGCTGCAGGAGATGCGCGAGCGGCAGGTACGACAGGCCCACGTCGCTGCTCATGCCCCCGCTCATGATGCGGCTGACGCAGTTGGACGCGAGCGCCGACTTGTGCGTGATGATGACGCCCTTGGGCACGCCCGTCGTGCCCGAGGTGTAGTTGATGGTGTAGATGTCATTCGCCGTCGACGGCCGCATCGGTCTCTGGGACGCGGCCCCGAGCCGCTCGACCTCGTCCAGCGAGTATAGTTGCAGGCCGCGCTGGGTCGCCAGCTCGGACAACAGGGCGCGCTTCGTGTACGCCTCTGGCTCGCCGTTGTCGAGAGGGTCGATGGAGATAATCATCTTGAGATGGGGCAGACGGGGGCTGATTTTGAGAAGACTGGGGATGTGGGGGAGGGAGGCGACAATGCACGAGGCCTCGACGTGGTTGAGGATAAACTCGGCCGTGTCGGGGCCGAGTGTCTCGTAGAGGGACACGGTAAAGAGGCCTTGCGACATGCAGCCGAGCTCTGTCATGACAGCGTTAGCAAAGACAACGCAACAACACCACGCAGCCAGCAGGACTCCAAATCATGCATACCAACAATCTGCCACTCGGGCTTATTCGGCGCCCACAGCGGGACCGGATACTGGCTCTTCTTGGGGTGCCCGATGCGCTCGTGGAGCTCCGCGAGGCCGGCGCCAAAGTTCTTGCGGCGCTCCGCGACCTCGCCGTACGTGAGCCAGGTGAAGCCGTCGTCCCACGTGCCGGTGGCGGGCCGCCACTGTCTGGCGCCGAGGCAGGCGTTGCGCGGAAACTGCTCGGCCGAGGACGCGAAGAGGTCGTGCAGGGTGCGCACCGCCGGGTCGAGCGTCTCGAGCAGCGGCCGGTCCGCAAACTGCCAGTGGCGGTAGATGGCGCTGCGGTTCGGCGTCTCGGTGCCCGCGAGGGCCACGCCGTGCGGACGGCCGGCCTCGGGCGCAGCGCCAAACTGCTCAATGGCGGCGGCGACGGCGGCCGGGTTGTACATGATGACGGGTCAGCGGAGGCGTTGTGAAGACGGATTGTCGGTATAGTAGAATGAGGAAACAAGTCAAGTTGCAAGATGAAATAGCTAAAAGAAAACTCGGCAACAATGATCCTGTTTCATATCAAGAAATGCGCCTTACCTTGATATATATATACCATAGCCGCGGGTTCACTGCTAGGCTACATCGGCTATATGCTTCCGGGGTAGCGAGCGTTCGATCTCTCCCCGTTTGTTCCACCACGAGCAAATTGCGGGGTAAAGAATGGTTCGAACAATGGATAGTCGACTCTAGCGTGGTATTTTACTGTTGCCGATTGCAATGAATGCTCGCCAAGGTCCGGAGAGTGGACGCAGTAGGTCGCTATTCGGTAAAAGTATTGAGACTTGGGAGTATGACGATTATAACTAGGCAATCAATTCCGTTTCGACAAGTGAGCAGTAGCGCTTCCGCTTAATCTATCCGTTTAACTGCGAGCATCATTCGACCGATGTTGGTCGCGATGCGGGCACACCGCGGCTTTGTTACTGGTAAGGTACATCACTTTACAGTAGTGGAATAAATAATGATAAGAAGACAGTCATTGTTTTTATTCTACTTCAGCCCTTTAATAACCATGATGTACTTGTTCTATACAGCCTTTTAGTTAGTTCCATATTAACTAGATAACTGCTAGTACTATTACCAACTAGCAGCCCAGATGGATAGCTATAAATAAATTGTGTTTGATTAGTCGCCTGTCAATTATCAAGCCTGGAATCGAGAACTTACCGTTGGCATAGTATTCATAAGTATCAGCGTTCGTCAGCGCGTCCGCCCGGCTCAGCTGCATGCAATCGTCGTACCCATACGCATTATCGTCAGTGCCAGGCGAGAAGACCGAGTCGGCGTGCGTAAACTCGTGGATCGTCGTGCCCGTCTTGTCGTCGCCGTGGCAGGTCTCGGTCTCGAGGTCGTGGTTCCAGTACTGCTTGCACCAGATGACGGCGTTTGCGCTCGACTTTGTGTACGCATACGTGTTGGAGGCGCAGTAGTTGTACACGTCCTTGCAGTGGAGGTCCAGCACGCCGCCCGGCGAGGCGTCGCACTCCTTGGCGACGGCGGTGAGCCTGTCGGCGACGAGCTGCCGGTCCTTTGTCGCCGTGGACATGAAGTACTCCTTGAACTTGGCGGCGCTGCCGTTGAGCGCCGCGTCGGCGGCCTTGCTCGCCTGCGACGCGCAGCGGGCCAGTCCGTCAACCACGGTCGCCTTTTGCGCGTCGGTGCAGTCGCTCTGGACGGTCGAGCGCCGCATCGCGGCCAGCCGGGCCTCGACGTCGCGCAGCACCTGCCGGGCGGCGGGGCCGTCGACGTCGAGCGCCAGGCGGTTGCTCGCGAAGCGCAGGCCGCGGCCGCGCACGAGCTCCGTCGAGTTGGCCTCGGCGAAGCGCAGCCGGCCCGCGGCGTGCACGTGGTACGTGCCCGAGGTGTCGAGGGCGTAGAGGCTGGCGACGTCGACGACGACGGCCTTGCTCTCGCCGGGCGCGAGCGGCGTAAAGTCGGCCTCCTCGAAGCCGGTGTTGGCCATGCGCAGCTTGACGCCGTGGAACGCGGCCGGCGCCGCGTCGTCGGCGGCGCCGTCGCGCGTGACGCGGAACTTGTCCACGGGGAGGCTGTCGAGGAGCGTGCCCTTGTGCATGATGTTGTACGCCTTGTCGCCGTTGTTGGTGATGGTGGCTTTGATGGTCGTGTGGTCCACGCTCGAGAGCGAGACGGTGACTGGCGAGCCTTCCTTGCCGTTGATGGCGGCGGCGGCGGCCAGACCAGCGAGGGTGATGGCGGTGATGGAGTACTTCATGATGAGGAGTTGTGCTTGTCTGTGTGCTTTGGGGGAACTGGTCTGCGTTGCTGGGAACTGTAATCGATCAATGCCAACCTCGCCATCACAGGCAGTACTTATACATTGTCGAGCTCATCCCCTCGCCGGCTGCTATGCTACACTCCGAGCCGTACTCCGACTTATACTCCCGCAATATCACGATCGACTCTCCGCGTCCCTATAGGGTCGCGACGGTGGTCTTGACGACGACCCCGTACTCCATAGTTGGCTGCATCGAGAAGGTAGCAATCCACCAGATACCGCAGCATAGCGGTGACGAGCGCTGAGCTTCCGGTAGTAGCTACCAAACGGCCCATCTAGAGACGGCTGAACTCTCCAACTAACTCTATACAACAAGTCTAAAAACGTGAAGTTGCGATAACGCAGCACTAGGAGCGTTGGCCTGCCGTAATAGGCAAGTCGTTGGTAACGGCTAGGCCGGGATCTGCAAAACAGTCGGGGAAACTCGTCGGCAGTCGTGGGCTGATTCTACTACTCCGGTGCATGTGTAGTTGCGGAATACAGTATTCAAGCAATTCCCTCATTCTCGGGGCTAGACTCTCGTGTCCATGCATTGGTTGATCTATTGGTTGTGGTGGTGGTTGACTAGCGCGATGTCGCAGTGCATTGACAATTAGTTTCGTATAAGAACAAAACTAAGAGAGATATCCTTATTTTGAGACAAGTCCTCTAGTCTTCAGACGCTAAGAAGATAGAGATCTCTGTGCAAGAGTTAAGGCGTTGCCACTTCACGCGCAAGAATAGCAGAGTCAGAGTAAAAAGAAATCGAATAAAATTGATAGTTGCTAACTAGCTGGTATCTTGGATCATAAAATCAAGTCGTATAGTATTATTTTTTACAAGTCGCACAATGGACGAATATATATTGCAAGCAAGAGCCTCAGATGACGACCTGCTTCCGCATGGCAAGCGAGAGCAGCTGGTCCACAAAGATGGACCCTTGCTTCTCGACGTTTTGCTCAGACCGAAACGCGTCGGCCGCATGCCGCGAGCCGGAAAACACATGCTGCTGCGGTATCCCCGGAGGCACGCGCGCGTCCGTCACTGGCATATCAGCGCTGCTTTCCTGTGTGCTCCGCGAGTCGCTCGTGGTGATTGTGTCGGGCGCGCGCGAAATCGTCACGGCCACGCCTGACTTGCGCCGGCCCGGGCTGTACGGCGGCGTGTTGCCCGGCAGCTCGGCCGTCTCCACGACAATCTCCTGCGACACCATGATGCCGCCAAACGTCTTGGGCGAGGACAGGCCGCCGCCGGTGCTGAACGAGGACATTTCCAGGTCCGACGCATTGTGGATCGACGAGCCATTAGCCTCCGACTCGCTGTAGGCGTCGCTGACGCCATGCAGGGAGCCGTTGTCGTCGAGCTTGCCCGGCGACAGGCGTGCCTGGCTTGTGGAGCGCCAACCGGCGGTTGTGCGCGTGCCCTGGCGGCCGCGCTTCGTCGCGGCGTTGACGCCCTGCACGCGGGAGACGTGCAGCGGCAGGTTGTCCCTCGTCTTTTGCTTGAAGCGCTCGTACGTGTCCCGCAGCGGGTTGGTGGCGCTGCTCTGCAGCACCGACGACATGTCGCGGTGGACGGCGTGCGAGAAGTCGAGGTGGTAGGGCGAGTTCTCCTGCGACAGCTGCTTCATCTTGAAGAAGCGGAGGGGGATAAAGGTGCACTTGGGGATGTGGATGACGTTGTGGATGGGCAGTACGAGCTGGAACATGATGACGGTGGCGTTGACCGACAGCGACGCGCGGTCCCGGCCGTAGTAGGGGATCTTGATGGGCTGCTGCATCAGCAGCGCATTGTCGAAGGTGCCGTCATCCTCAAACGTGCTGCGCAGCTCCCGAATGCCTTCGAGCAGCGTGCCGGCAAACTTGCCGAGCTCCGACTGCTGCGAGACGGACGAGGCGAGGCGGTCCGCGACGACGGCCATGGTCTGGTTCTGCAAGTGGTTAAGGTAGCCGACGTGGCGCTGCTCGAGCTGCTGCATCGGCAGCGGCACCGTCGGCAGCAGATCGCGGGCGCGGCGGCGCACCAGGACGTCAAAGCCCGAGTGGTCGACGCGGGCACGGATGGCAAAGGCGCCGACGTGCACGCCCGGGGCCAGTGACGTATCCTCCTCGGAGAGGGCCGCCATCTGGCGCAGGCGCAGGCCGAGGTCGGGCGTCTTGATCTGCATGCTCGCGCGCATGATGCCGACGACCTGGTCCAGCTCGGCGAAGCGGTAGCCGACTGACTCGAGCTGCTCACTGACGTGGCGGGTGCGCGCGTGCTGCACGAGCACCATGAGCGAGCCGCGGCCGTACTCGAGGCCCGACACGTCGGCCTTTTCGGCATCGTACGAGTCCGAGTCGGTCATGCGCGAGGCGTGCTTGTTGGCGGTGGAGAGCGACTTGTCTTCTTGGTTGGGGTGGAAGCCTTCGAGGCCGGGGCGGGTGCGGCCGGTGGCAAAGATTTCGTCCCAGAGCACACCGACGTCGGCGAGGTTGACGTGCAGCTTGGCGGCGAGGGAGGCGGCGGCGAGACTGAAGAGCTCGCAGCAGACAACGTCGTACTCGGGGATCGGACTGCCGTCTTCTTGCATGAGCTTGACGCTGCTGCCGTAGCGCTGGCGGGCGAGCTGGGCGACGTGCGCGGCCATGCGGGTGATGAGGTTCGAGACGCTGGCCCAGTTTCGGGAGGCGCGGTAGGCCCAGTGGAATAGGGAATGGTTCGTGTCAAAGATTTCGTCGTGGGACTGATTCGTGTTAGCAATTGGTCGAGGCCGACATTCAAGATGGAGGTTGGAAGCACGTCGGGAAACATACCCGGAGAAGCAAGGAATCAGTCACAACTTCTGTCGGAAGCAGACCTTCCTTGGTGACGAGAATGCGTCCACGCTTGTCAAAGACGGCGCAAGCGAGAACGACCTGCTGAGCGCGGCTCGCGTAGCTCCTCTTGATAATGAGAGAGTACACGGCGCAGGCGCCAGTAATGACAAACGCGGCAATGGCCTACCCAACGTCGTATTAGTCAGAGAAATGTCAAGCAAGGCGCAAGAGATGAGGAGAAGGCATACCAGACAGATGACGATGATGATGGTGGTGTCGCGGGACATGCCGACACCCATGCGCTGGCCGATCAGAATATACTGGGTGCCGACGGCGGCGCACCAATGCATGCCGGACACGGCGCCGGCCAGCACGGCAGCACACAAGACACGTCTCCACCAGGCTGTCTTCCAGCTCGACTCGAAGACGAAGAAGACGGCGAGGGCGGCGGTACTGGCGCTGACGGCGATGATGGCGGCGCCGACGACGTAGGCGACAGTGTAGGTGCAGCGGTAGTTGCTGATGGAGGCGTTTCCGAGGTAGTGCATGCCGCAGATGGCACCGCCCGAGAGGCAGCCGGCCAGCGAGATCTTCCACCACTGCACGCGATCCGTATTGGTGACGGCGAGGAAGGCGAGGAGCAGGACCAGGATCGGGACAAACATGGAGGCGACGGTCAGGCCGGTCGAGTAGGCGACTTGGAGATCGGACTGGCCCTCGAAGATGAAGAGGGCGCGGTTTCCGATGAAATGCTGAGGCGAGTTAGTAAACAGGCAGGATGATATCTGCATGCTGTTGCGCGTACCATGGACCAAATGGCAATTCCACCCATGCACATGGCTGCACCAGCCAGCAGCAAGCTGTTGCACGCGTCAGTAGCTGCGATGGTACACACGAGAGATACCGGCAAGAGATGGACATACAAGTTGTGAAGACCCTTGTGTGACGTTCTGCGTCTCATCAGCTCCAGCGTCGAGCCGGCACCGACGAGGCTGACGGCATAGCTGAGGCAAACGAAGCCGCCGTGGAAGGAATACGGCACCGTCTTGCCGGCGTACTCGTTGAAGAGTTGCTCAACCGTCGACATTGTTGGCAAGTAGTATAATCCGGAACTTGCTACGTGTTGATTCTGTCTTGGAAGAGGACAAACCAAGATGAAGAGGGAAACCCGTCACACAGGGCTCAGAGCGTACCATGGCGAGTGTATATACCAGAGGTCGAGTCCTCGCGAGCGGGTACGTGCAGTTTGACCAAGACTTTTTGGTGGTGGCGGCCGACGCCGCATCCCCCCCCCCTTGTTGCCCTTTGCTCAGATGAACGTCCAAGCACCCGGGACTCTGGGGCCTCCCGCATCGTACCCTCTGTTCGCTCTCTCTCGCACGGGGGATCGCTTTTCAAGCGGAGATGTGCAGAGATCCACCCACCACCACCATTGTCACGCCCCCCCTCGAGTGCGGGTGTGGGCGTTTTTTTCTCTTGCCTTCTCTTGCCTGTTTGTTCCCACTGGGAAATTTGGCAGTAATTATCGAAGAAGCAAGGTGAACAGCCACCACCACGACCACACTCCGAGGCCAGTCCAAACTCATTTTGCACATAGTAATTCGTAATTTGTATCCGTACTCCGTTATCCGTAATAATAAACCCTGGTTGACTGGGTAGTGCGCCGCAGAGTCATGTCCAAAAGTTGGCACCAAGTTAACTACCAAGAGAGAGAGAAAAAAAAAAAGGGCCCCAGTAAAGTGCCTGAGCGGCCCGGAGCCCAGCCCGCCCCGGTTTTGACAGGGCCGCGCAACAATGTCGTTGGCTGCAGCGGCGCCACAACTGTTATTTGGCAGCTGAGGAGAAGCGACGTTCAAGCCCCTCGTGGCGTTTTGTTTTCGCGACATTGAACAGGGTTGCAGGCGGCCGGGCGATATAGTAGCAGCACATGTGCAGATCCTCAGTTATTACTCCGTCCTGCATCAATATCACTTCTGGGTACTGATCCGAGGCGCCAGGCGCAGCCACTTTACGACTCTTGGTGGTTATCTCGCTAAAAGAAAAAACGCCATTGGCAAAAGGAATGGCAAGGAATGGCTGCGAGGCTTTGGGTACATTCTTCCGCGAGCCCCGACAGCCAACCAAGCTCTCGGACACCCTGGTCAGAAACCCATACCGCGCTGCAGGGAGATCATCGCCGTCCAAGGCCGGACCTTGGCTTCAGCAAGGGGGGCCCACTGCAGAACATCAGAGCGTCTATGTGTCTCCCCCCAAGATGTTTCTAACTAACTAATTCGTGCTGGTAACTAGTTATCGCGTACCTACAGAGACACAGAGACTTGCTGAAGAAACACGGCAAGCTTAGGGCCCCCGCACAGACGGCGCTCGCCAGACTAGCGAACCGAAACCGTCCGTGTTGCCATGTCTTGTGTTGCAGCACAATAGGTTGCCGAGGCTTTTTGCCTGTTATCGTTTTCTTTTTCAAAGACCAGTGGAACATGACCCCCCTCTGAGTTTCATTATAGAACCAAGTCATTCTTCTTTTTCCCTCATTTTTCTTTTTTGCGTTCGTTGGCTTTTTGGGCTTGCGTGCATCATTGCAGCATGACACCAGTTGGAAAAAGAAACGTTGTTGTCGTGCACAACTACCGGTTGACCAGTAGAAAAAAAAAGGAAAACGCGGAACAAAAATACTAGCGAAGGTGGCGCCTTTTGCTGCATGAAAAAGTAAAACTAAAAAAGTCCGCCTTCATACAAAAAAGCAATTGGGGATTATAAGCCATCCACGTTCCACCGACAAGTCTGGACTTGGGCCCCCGTCAAACCCCCCAGCCCCGATTTCTCAAAAAATCGAAGCATTTAACCTTTTTTGCTTCGTACACTGATAACGGGGACGCGCGGAGCGTAATACGTACAAATCGCCCTCTAGTCTTTTCAGCTGTGCTCCATGGGCTAGTCGCAGAAAGCCAGCAACTACTGAAATTGCTTCCCCGGCGTGGGCCGACTAACTAGCGTGGCCATGTCGAAACACTTCTAGCGAGTTGACGAGGCCCCCCCCTTTGCATCCTTTGTATCGAACGAGGCTGTTGCCAGGTACGAATTACAGGACCTGCATGAGGAGATGAAGGGGGTATGTGTTGGGCAATGTTGGGCAAAAGGCTGCGAAACCATTATGCGTCCCATCAAGAACAGACTCCACACGCAAAGACAGAGAGGGGAAGGGAGAGCGAGAGAGAGGCAAAGTGAATAACGTTAGTTAGCTAGTTAGTTAGGCCCGTGGCTCTGGGCCCATGATCCTGGTCTTGTTCATGCGCAAAAACTTGGCGCTCGATGCCCAGCACGCCAGATAGACTTTTGGCCGCGCCCACCGGACGCCGGCCGGCCGGACCAAGGCACCACAAAGGGTAAATTCGGTTGGCAGGTTCGGCAGGCCAGTCTGATCTGGGTCGCGGCATGAACATGTGCACAAACCACACGGGTGGAAAGTTCACCTTCCGCAGGTCCATGTGCGATCTTGTCGTCTGATGGTTTAGTCCTGTCTCCAGCAGGGTGGCCATAGTTCCTTTCATCGAGTAATGTTGGACATTTCCAACCCCACCACCGCCCACGCGAACCTTTTCATGACGAAAGCAACAACGGATGGCGGCTGCCAAAACCCTGTGCGCACGGCGAGCGGCGCTCTCGAGCCCCGGCCGGAGCTACCGTGGTGTGCTCGTATAGACAGGCGAACGGTGGCAAAGTCACTTGGCTAGGCTAGGCTGACCGTTACTCAACTGTCATTAACTAGAGTCAGTCACTTCGCGGGCTCCAACTAACCGATAGCAACTCGAACGAGCCTTGCCTTGCTGGGAGGGGACAAGCATAGCACAGACGACTCATTGTCAGGGAACATGTTTGCCATGGAATGTGCAAACGAGTCCTTTGCGTTTTCCTTTGCGTTTTCCTCTTCTTTTCCTTTGCTTTTCCTTTGCATTGGCAATTGTCATGGCAGTAGAAAACAACTTCTGTGTCCATCCTCGGACCGAAACAATGTAAATACGAAGCGCAGAGTTCAAAATGAATAAATGCTTTAAGAGAGCATTTGCCCTGTCTAGTAGAACAAAAGATGCTGAAAAATGACACGTGGGTCCTGCTTCAATCAGCTACTCTTGGGCTTCATGCCTCGACTCTGCTCCCACTCTCTTGCCAGCGACATGAGCTTGATGCCCATGTCCGCGCTCGCGCCGTCCTCGACCTGCTTCGTCCAGAACCGCTCGTCCCCCGTCACGAGGACCGACTTGCGGCGCTCACGCTCCGCAACGCTGAGATGCACGCCCGCGCGCTTGTTCGCCTCAATCTCCTCGAGGTACGCCAGCCGACGCGCGTACTGGGCGGCGCGCTCCCGCCGAATCTGCTCCGAGCCGCACTTTTCAAACACCCAGCGCGTGACGGCGCGCAGCAGCAGCAGGATATGTTCGCTGATGAATATGGTGATTGGTAGTGTCGTCCAGTTTGTGTTGATGCCATCGCTGCCGCCAAAAATGTGCACAATTGCGCCCGTCGAGATGCTGCCGATCCAGGTGAGCATGTCCAGGGACAGAATCCAGGGCCCGACGCCGTCGGCGCGCACGGGGTGCGGACGCTGGTGCTCGAGGCAGATCTTGGCAAAGTCGGACCGCAGCTCGATCCAGTTATTCACTAGAAACCCAAGTGGGATCAGCGGCCAGACGGGCGAGAAGAGGGCGAGATAGCCAAACTGCAGCACGAGTTCGGCCATGTCGTCGTGCACATTGTACGTGTCCAGCGACGACTGCGTCCGGCAGCGGCCCAGAAATGCGGCCTCGTCCTCGTCGTCATCAACCATGGTCAGCAGCATCGCGTGCTTGGGGTACGCCCGCCGGTAAACGCGGTGCCACTCAGTCACCTTGTGCTTGAGGTACGGCAGCACGTTTTCCTCAAAGAAGCTGCTGAGTTGGCCGGTCAGCGTCAGCGCAATGACTTCGTTGCGCAGCTTGTCCGCGTCAGCTTGGAACGAGTGCGTGGCAAATGTGTGCGCGAGGCTGGGCAGCACGGCGAGGACGGCGCGCTTGAGATGGGGGATTATGGCGTCGCCAAAGGGAATGTAGACGAACGCGGTGAGGAGGATAGGGAGATAGTTGGTGATGATGCTGAGGATGAAGAGTTTCTGCGTGTAGGCGATTTCGTGCGCGTCGGCTGTGCGGTGGTTCTCAAACGCGGTGAGGGCCTGGGCGACGCCCTCGAGAGACGAATTGATGTAGGGAATCGCGACGGCGAGAATTATGGTTGGTAAGTATTCCTATGCAGTGTTAGCCGCTCGAACGGCACCCTACGACCGCCGCCGGCATTCTTACCAGGTAGAACTGATGAGGGCCAGTATATGTCTCGGAAATGAGGACCTCGACAGCAAAAACGGCGCAGATGATGGCTCCGAGCGCCACCGTTGCGACCGCGATAAACGGTACCTGCAGCAGCTGCCGCGTAATCTGCTTCCACTTGGGAAAGTAGTGAATCTCCTGGCCGTTATCATCCACAATGACCTTCTCAAACTTGAACTCGGGCCTGTTGACCTTTGTCTTGCGTATGCCGCGGACATCCCACCGGATGCTCAAGTCGACCTCTTGCAGCTTCCAGTACTCCAAAAAGACGGTGCACCAGACGCTCGTGACGACTGCGTACGCGAGCGAGTACTTGGGTAACCATAGCCATGCCATGACGCCTGTCACGGCCGGGAATGTGAGGAAGGCAAGGTAGTGCTGGATAAAGGCAAAGTAAAAGGCAACTTTGGAGCCAAAGAGGTCGCGCACGCGGTCAAAGTCGGCCGTGGTGAGCCAGAGACGGCTGCTCAGGTGGCGCAGCAGCGCCTTGTTGGCGGCCTCGTCGTGGAGGGGGAAGCAGGACGTGACGCGGGACCACTTGCCGAGGCCGGGGTAGACGCCGGCGCCGCCCCGGGATTTGGGCCATTGGACGAGGTGGTACATGGTGAGCAGCTCTTCGGCTTCGAAGCGGCCGGCGACGACGGAGTCCTTGTCGCCGCCGGGGTGGACCTGCGTGACGGAGTAGAGCCAGTCTTTGACTCTGCAAAGCTTGTCAGCAAACAGTGGCCAGGGGATGTCGTTGTGGCACTCATCGGTCGTGTGTTCTTGCTCACCTCTCTTTGTATACCCAGTTTCCGAGCAGCTGTCGCGGGGCCTTGACAAAGACAAGAATCGAGCGGTCGTAGCCGGGGCGTACCTCGGTGTGCAGGCCAGCCTCCTCGAGGTCCTGGAGAAGCTCGCGAAACTCTTCGATGGCGACGTCATAGTCTATGAAACAAGACGGCAAGAGTCAGCATGTGCACAAGGAATCTTGCTCGCTCTCGGGATCGTCATTCGCACCAATGTCGGAAAAATCGTAGACAATGACGTATTTGTCGTTGCAGCGTAGCGTCGACTCGGGCTTGCGCGGCGAACTAGCCGCCGAAGCGTCGACGTTGAGCAGCGGAATCGATGTCATGCCCAAACTCTGGGGGGTTGTCAGACCAGCTGGCGATTTTGATATAAGGTTGTCGAATTGACTCCTTCGCTCTTCTTCTCTGTCGTCTGTCTGACAACCAGTCTTGCTCCTCCCGGCAATGTAGTGGCCAAGAAAGTCAAGGGGCCCAGAAATCACATTCGTTGGCCGAATGGCTGTCGATCCCGTGGCTCCCGAATACCGTGCCGTTTACTAGTGACTAGTGCGTTTGCAGGCTCCAGGGCGACTACATAGGTACGTAAGTACAGGTAGGTAGGTACAGTGGGTGTAGGTACCTAGATCCAAAAAGTTCGTCTATCGAGGCCATCAGGCGACCAACATTCGAGCTATGCACTGTATCAGCTGGCGCAGAAGCTATACACCGAGTTTTATTTTAATTCATATGCAAAAGTACTGGCCGATTTCGTCTATTATTGGGCGATGACCCAAATACCAGTTTGGCTGGCGCCCAAGTAGGTATGTACCGATCCTGTACCTAAGTACCTACCTAGGTACGTAGGTATGTAGGTACATAGGTACCTAGGTAGGTACCTGGTATGTCGCACTTGCTTCCCTACCTCCTGATATCCATCCACCTCCAACTTCGCCCTCGATTCTCCCTTATTCCCTACTCAGCTAGAAAACCTGTCTGAGGAGCGTCGGCATGGAGTTTGCCAAGAGCATGCCCGGAGACATGTACGACGGCAGTGTCGGCCACCACGCCCATATTCATCGCCACTGCGGCGCCTGCCAGCAGGCTTTCCAGCCTGACGAACGCATGGTCTCTTTGCACCACTTCGACGGTAGGGTCGACGCCAACGATGCGCAATGCGTCACCAGCCACGGCTACGCCCAAACAGGCCGCAGTAAGTTTGTGGCACATTGCAAGTTCCCAAATTGCCGCCGTTGTTTCGCCAGCGGGGAAACCGCCACGATACATGCCGACTGCTTCAATCTTTTCATCAACAGCAGCCACGGAAAAATAAGAGACAAACTCTTTAGGTTGTGGGTCACATCAGTGGCAGCACGGCCGTGGAGAGGCTGTTCTCCGTTGCGTCTCCCTTACAAAAGCAGCCCAAAATACATCTACGATACGGTCCAAAGTTGGAACGTGCCGAGTATTGGGCGACTCCCTATGGAGATTCTGCGTTACATTATCGATTACACAGCATTTCATATATCGTGGCGATATGCCGTAGTCTTGGAGCAAGCACAAACGCTCACCCACACGGAACAGGTGTCCCCTTTGAAGTCTCGGCGTTTAAGCGATATCCGAAGTTGGTCGCGCCGCGAGGCACCCGTTATTGAGTCAGAGTATGATGATGAAGCGAATCTAGTTCAGATCACCCTCGATTCTAGTGGTGTCAAGGAGATTTCTCGCGTCCCAGCCTCAGAAGCACAAGTTGCCGAAGCTAAAATTTCCGATTATGAGCTGTACATACTAGAAAAGCCTTCCAGACTCAAATTTGTCACTATAAGTTTTATGGTATACTATCCTTTATTCTCGTCCTACCCAAGCGTCCAAGAAGAACCTGCTAATCTTTGGGAATAGTATGGCCTTTGCCGCCTTACAGTTCCGGACAATGTCAACTTGGTCCTTTGGAACACGCCGAGACCAATTAAACTTCAAACTTCGCTAAATCTTCTCCCGGAACATACTTACACACGTTTCTCGGCCCTGGACACCCGTCTTTGTTTCGGAGTAACCTTTTTTTTTGTGGCCGGGTACATCACGGCTGTGCATGCCCATACAAGGCTTGTGCCAAACGCAATTCAAACATTTCAAACATTTACTGCAGGTATGCGAAAAGCCGCACTTTGGATCTATATTCCTCTGCCGCCGGCCGAATCTGTGCTCGGATTTGGCTTGCGTCATCTTCAGTACGACCAAAACAACCTACCAACCTCCGGCCAAAAGCTGAGCCCTTCTGTTCTGGTACGTGTAGATTGTCATCTTGGACCCTTTAGTAAAGAATCTAACCACTGATGAAAAAAGGTTGACTTGAAACGACAAGGCCTGATCGAAGTAGGCTACAAAATGAGCGGCAGGGTCCAAGACTCGGTCAGCCGAACTAGCGGGCGGCCATTGCTGCTCTATAATGTACGAGACCGCGAGACAAATCCGCCCTGCCCAGGAGCCACTACTTTTCGCTACGCCGGCATCGACGTGGCGGCGACTTACCCCAGGGAGGGCGATGTAGAGATTACATCCCACGACTCAACTGAACCGTTGGCAATCCCACCATTCAAATTCGCCTACTTTTCCTCGGCACCCCTGGAAAACGTAATTGCGGCAGACGTCTTTTCTGATAGCATATCCTCTATATGCAAGGGAATCTTGCTACGATACAGAAATGGGACAGAGAGATCTCTTGGGCAGTGCCGGCTCGGGTTTGACGACGTTGCGCACGTTGATAGCCCTGTGAGCATTCACTATTCATCAATTTCTTACAAACCTCCGTTGCAAAAATATGCAATCGGGGGCCATATCGTCCAGTTTTTTGATCGGTCGACCGAGATTTCAGAGCATGGAAAGGGTACGGCGGACGAGGGTGAAGAAATCAGGCATCATGACATGCGAGGCACAGTGGAATTCTGGTCTACCCGCGCCGACATGTTCCTGGCCGTAGTTGTATAAATTGTCATTAAGTGGCAGCTGGCTCCGGCATGTGCCGGTGCGTTGGTCAAGACTTCGAATCCTAGTTCCGAAGGTGGCTTTAGATGTGTATGTTAACAATTCTATACATCTACATTCGTAAAATAAACAGAACGCTAAATAGAAAGACTCCTCTTTGTATTAGTTATCTTCCTATTTTCTTTTTCTTATTTTCTATCTCTTCTCCCCATTCCTGTTCGCCTCTTTCTCATTTTTGGCTTTTTTTCTTTGACTTTTTAGTTCTTTGTGTCTCTTTATTGCATTTCTGAATTCTTTCCTCTTCCTCTTTTTTTCTTATTGACTGTCATTGTGCATCTTTCTCGTATTCAATCCATCGCGAATTTCGCCGACTTGATACTTGTAGAGAGTCCATCTTTGACACAGCCTAAAGCTGAGTTGGAGTCGTACTCCATGTCCAATACCGGTGACAGCGCCGTTCCTCTATCTCATAATAATGATAACATCGCCGCTTGGTGTTTTCATATACAACAAACGATGGGACCCAGTCATTTGGGAATATTTTGATCGAACCGCCATCAAAAAGCCGGCAGACGAGTCCCTGTTGCTCCACCTTCAAAACATCCACTTGCATCGCGCTCTGAGCATCGATCAAGATGTTTGGAATCCTTCCATGGACAAAATCTTTCACGTATGCCTCGGTTGGTCTCTGATTCTGCCGAATATGCTCCAAAAGCCACTCAAATACGACTTCATTGCCTCGCACGTTGAGATATGTATGCTTGTTGCCACAATCCCAATTGGCGGGGAAAATGGGCCACAGGAATACATCTTCTTCCCGGCCTTGTCCAACCTGCACATCTTTTTTTTTCATTCAAATAAGCCCAGACTCTGGCATTCGGCCCGAATACCGTCATAACCCAGACGGCGGTGCGTCCAGTCCTGTCGTACATCAAGTGCTCCATGCCCGCTGTGAAGCCTTGAGACTCGACTTCTGCCATATCGAAACCCAGCGAATTGGCTTTCTTTGCCTCACCCCATAGGATTATTGGACACAGGTTATCCTCTCCAGATCGTTCCACCATGAGATCAACACGCCGAAGGCTTCCTGCTTGGATTGGTGGCGCTTCCGTTAGGACGAGGAAACCTTTTTCAAGAGGGAATGCCTTCGATAAGATGTGCCTCCATAGTCCCTTGGTAGCCCATTCATCAAGAGTCAAGGCCCTAGAATATAACTTTCGTAGCGACTCCCCTTCCCCCGGCCCTAACCAGTTGAAGAGAGGCATCGTCAAGAGTTCAGTGGAGTGGGTGTCGATCTGGGTTGTTGGGTTCTGTAAAGCTAGTCTTTATGACAGGCTCAAAAAAGAAGTGCTCTAGAAAAGGAAGTTGAGGGACTCTAGGCTTGAGAAATTGGTGGTGAGTCGAGTGAAGTGGCGCGAGGGGGTCGCTCGGTCTTTATGATGCAAAGACTCCAGCAGTTGTGACTGTCCCACCTGAACAAGGCCATTCTGAGAAGCAATACATAATAATGGGACAGTCTATTAAAAGTAAACTGTCTGCTTCTCTACTTCGCTGGCCGTCGTCACAACATTCAGGTGGCACACCTGACAGCAGTCGCGCGCGACAGACTGGCGTTACCTTGAAAAACTGACAGGGTTCCGAATGGACAGCAATAAGCCAATCACCGGCTCATTTTCGACTTGTACCCAGCTGCCTCATTCTGCGGCGGACTTTCGACCAACACGTGGTTGGCTCTCGGGCTGCCAACGACAACCTGCAGCAAGCCTTGCGGAGGCGTATTGACACGTAACCAGAATGTCATCCTTATTTCAAGACATGAGAGAAAATGGTGGAGGGTTGGACGTATTCAGCTGACATGACAGCGGCGTGCCGGGTTTCGTCTTGAGCTCGACCGTCGCATTTGTAGAATCGTTTGTAGAAGCACGTAGCACACAAATAGCAGAGTGGGGATGCTCTTGTCCAAAGTCTCTAGCATGTTCGATTTCTTTGAAATGATGTTAAAGAGGGAAAATCTTTTCTATGGACGACAGAAGCTTGGTAGCCTGTTGCAAAATGTCAGCGCCACGGTGCTGCTGCCTAAAGTGCTGCAGTTACACGTGTACAGTCGCCAAGAAGTTTTTATATTTTAGTGGCAAATACAGAAACTAAACCCCGGTATCGTTTTTGTTTTTCATATTATTACTGCTCCTACAGTCAAAATTAGCGAAGCCAGGACCGATGACTCTTTCGCTGCTCTCTACCTCTTCAAGCTTCTACTTCTTTCGGCTTGCGTTAATAACAGCTATTCACAGGTTCCATTGTTGGCAAACGAATCCCACCCATCATCTCAAATACCTGTTCAATAGCTGCTTCTCTGCTGCGCACATCAATATATGTGGCCGCCTCATCACTGTAGCTCCCCTACGTAGGAAGATTCGGCCGAAGTCGTCTCGCTGTCCGTGACGTCAAGGGGCCCGCTTGTCGCTCCAACGGGGACAGGGTGGGGCAACTGGCCTTGACTCGAAAACCATCGCTATCGTAGTTAGATATATGCGGACCGAAACAAATAAAAAAATCTTCGTTTTATTTTCTATTCCCTCTTCATGCTTGCGCAGAGTATTTCAAGAAGAATCAAATTGCTACAGACATAGTCGCCAATATATTCCGTCATCATGGCCCCACCAGCGATCCCAACCATGCAATTTTGCTTAGTTGCCCTCAACCTGCTTGAGGAGGCCGGCGAGGTTGATGCTCTTGGGGCGCTCAATGGGCAGGCCCAGGGCGCGGTCCCAGATGAGCTGGGCCAGGGGGCCCAGGCCGCGCGAGACACCAAAGGTGGCGGTGTAGTACAGGGTCTCGTGGAAGCCGTAGTGGTGGAAGAGGACGCCGGAGCTGCTGTCGACGTTGGGGTACGGGTTCTTGGTCTTGCCGTGCTTCTTGAGCACCTCGGGCGCGATGCGGCTGTTCTTCTCGACGAGCTGGAACACGGGGTCCGCGGCAATCTCGGGGCGGGCGGCGGCGTAGTCCATCAGCGCCTCGAAGCGCGGGTCGGGCTTGCGGAGGACGGCGTGACCGTAGCCGGGGACGACGCGGCCCGAGTTGAGCGTGGACCAGAGGTAGTCCTCGACGTCCTTTTCAGTGTGGTCGGCGGGGATGTTTTCTTTCATCTGGAGGATCCAGCGGAGGACTTCCTGGGCAGCGAGGCTATAGTACAAGGTTAGTCTTTTTTTTTCTCCTTTTTTTTGAATGAGAGCAACGTACCCGTGAAGAGGACCAGCCAGACCCTGTAGACCGGCACTGTACGACAGGAAGGGGTCGCTCAGCGCGCTACCGACTAGGTGGGTGGCGTGAGCTGAGACGTTGCCGCCCTCATGGTCGCCGTGGAGGGCGAGGTAGAGACGGAGGAGATCCTGAAAGTTCTCATTCTCCTTTCCGCCCTTGCCGAGGAGGGCGGCATAGTTGTAAGACCAATCCTGGTTGAGGTCGACCTCGGCAGGCAGGGCACCGCCGCCCTTGTAGGCGTTTTGGTAAATCTTGGCGGCAATGGTGGGCAGCTTGGCGAGCAGGGAGATGCTGTCGTCAAAGGTGGGCTCCCAGTAGTCGGCCTTGTTGAGGCCCTTTTCGTACGCCTTGGCAAACTTGGACTCGTAGTTGAGCGCCGAGACGGCCATGGCGAACTGGGTCATGGGGTGCAGGTCGCGCGGGAAGTCGTCGAGCATCTTGGAGACAAAGGCCGGGATGGCGGCCTGCTCGGCGAGCTCGCGGGAAAAGACGCGGACCTGGGCCACCGACGGGACCTGGCCGGTGAGGAGCAGCCAGAACATGGCCTCGGGGAGCATCTCGGTGCCCGAGGTGCCCTTGGGCAGCGCCTGCTGGCACTCCTTGATGGTGCGGCCGTGGAAGCGGATGCCCTCGTTGGCGTCGAGGACGGAGCCCTCCCAGACCATGGCCTTGAGGCCGCGCATGCCGCCGAGCGTGTTCTCGACCTTGACCTCGCCAATGACCTTGTCGCCGTGGGCGCGCACCTTTTTGAGCAGCTCGCGCTTCTCGGGGATGGCGGCCTTGAGCGTCGCCTTGAGGTCGGGCTCGGCGGTGGCATAGGCGCGGGCGCCGCCGAGAGCGGCACGGGCCAGGGGCTGAAGGAGCGTTAGCGAGAAGCAAATCGGTTGGGTTGGGTGGTGGTGATGTGGGTGCGGCGGGCAGAACGCTGCGGGTTGTTTGTTTGTTTGTCGCGAGTGCGGGTGGGCTTGTTGCCATCGTTGACCCATGACGTACCTTGAAGGAGCCAATGGCTCGAGCAGAGGTTCTCAGATTCATAGCCATGATGTGCTGGTTGTATATGGTGCGTGTTGGGACAAGGACGAGAGATGATGCAGCTATCTCGATCTCTGGAGAAGAGAAACGTGGGGTTAGCCGGTGGTCGGTGCGATGCGGGCAAGGCTGGGCCGAGACAGGGTGGTTGCTGGTAGTGACAGTGCTGGAGGGGACAACTCACAGAGGAGAAAGGTGCGTGTTGGGCGGCACTCACACACACACAATGATAAAAAAAAGGTATGGAGGGGGGAAAGAGATGAAGTCGCGCTCGGTCAGAGTATGCGAGACTTTTTTTTCCCTCTCGCCGGAATGCCAGTGACCGCCATGCGCTCGCCCCGGCCGCAAAGAGCCTGGGGTCGGCTCGGCGACACGGATTTTGGTGGGTGCCAGACACAGCCGAGGGAAGCCGGCTGAGCGGCGCACGCAATTGGCCAATGGCTGTGGCCAGGTTTTTGCTCTAATTTTTCTTCTTTTCAAACAATTGGCCATTTCTCCAACCGTGGCCTCTGCCGTTAGCTTTGAGGTCGGGTTTTCATCATCTTCCAATTCATCGCGCAGAACCTCTCCCGGCTCCTTGTAGGCCGCTCTACGTGCTGGAGCGGACGGCCGGGCGAATCTGACCCTGACATGTGCATTGCCAATCCACTTGCGTTTGCTGGGACTCAGGGACTGGACCTGGGGCCAACGGCAGCCCGACCGACTGCCGCTTGGTGAATATAGCCGAGTTGACCAGCCAAATCCACCAGGGCAGCCCCCGATCTTTGCCGAGTCCTAAGCCCAGCAAACTCGCACAACCCAGCTTATATATGTACTAGGTGCGAGGGCAGATAGAGGAGACAGGAAACAGCAAAATATTAGTAACTGACAGCACACTCGCTTGCCAAGTTGCAGGCGTTCCAACGACCATTCCGAGGACTTGCCGTCATTAATCAGTGTTTAGGCAATATTAATATGGCTTCTTTGACGTCGAAATGGACCGACTTTGACGGCCCGGGTTCTTCGGAAGAGGCCAGCATAGTCCTCCCCAACAAAGGGATCATATAAATTTACAATACACCAATAGACGTATCATAGCAATAGCAGGTGCCTTGCGTTTAAGCACGATGTGAAGTGGATGCTGTCAGAGACTGTCGTCAAGACGCACGGTAGGCTATTATGATATTGTACAGTTGATATACTGATAGTTTCTGTGCTGTAAATGATTCCTTGCCCTCGCTGGTCTTTTCGCAAGCCCAAAGGCGCACCACGCTTCATTTGAGGTGCTGTTCGTAATGGTATACCGTTTACACGTATCGAGGTCGCGACAAACTTGGCCTTTTCAGAAACGCCCTATTATCTGTCGGTCCTTTCACGTTGCAAATGTATCGAGTTTGGAGCGATTACGTCATGGGCGCTTTTTTCTGTCGCTGCATAGCTGTCCGACTCATTGGTCGATGGGCATTCCCCGTTGTCTGCTCACCTACCCTGGAGTGGTGGCCGGAATACGCGGGGTTGATCTGGATGACGGGAATGGTGCGGGGATAGGCCCGAATCGAAAGGGAGGCACATGATGAACGAGAATGTGGAGGAGAAGAAAAGGACAGATTGCGAGTCAGACAAGCAGCAAGACTTCGTGACGAAAAGTCAGTGCCGTCACTGAGCAGGTGAAGCCGTTCGCTACCAAGCGACTGCCGATTCATTACTCGACATACGAGTTTGTGCGCGGCAATGGGCGCGTTCATCTGCATCACGCAAAAGAATCGCATCATGAAAGTAGACGGGAATTCCCATGGCACTTGCACTGGCAACTATTCCTGCACCTCAACAGCGTTGGATGGTGAGCAGCGCCGAAGACGGGGGCTTCACCGGGGTACCCCAGCCAAGTTGGAGCGGTGCGCGCCGCCCGGGAGCGAGCGCGGCTCCCAGTGGACGGTAGCGCGGCAACGTGCTTCGTGCATAACTGTCCTACCAAAATGGCCCATGGCTATAGGTACAAAGACAATCTATCGAATATGATTTTTGGGTAGGGTAGGGAATGGGAAGGAATAAGAAAGCCACTGGCGCCTTTGCTGTGCATACATATGCCCGCGAACTTGCGGGACTTGCATCATGTTGGGCGCTCTACCTGGTTAGAGCGCGCTGGTAGAGTTCGTCCCAGGCGGGCCTTACAGCGCGGTCCCCTCCCCCACCAATCCACCCTTGATGGTTGGTGATGAGTCCCGGATGACACAACCAACGTGCACAGTACTACGCGATCCATTGGCACAGCCATTGCGCAATAGGATGCTGCATGAAAGTATCAAAGAGAGCAGAGTCATGCAAAAGAATGCTTTACAGGAAAGCAATATCGCATCTTTGTTCTGTAGTGCCTTTGCCGCGCTGCCTCGAGGTTCCTTATCATGAGCCCTTGTCAGCCTGCTGGTGCTGGGGGAAGAAGCGGACAAAGGCCTTGTCAACTTCTCCAACACTGAGGATCCACCCGGCGGACCGCACTTGCAGCGACTTGCAGCGACTTGCAGGGCACTTGCAGTGATGTTGCAAAAAGTACAGAGGATTGGGCGAAGCCGCAATGTGTAGTTACATGGGTAGGTAAATATAGGCACGAGTAAGAAAATATAATATCTGCATCAATTTACAGGTGCGATAACGGCGCTCTGGAACCGCATTGCTCGAAGTACTGAGACGAGGACGTACCACTGTACAGAGGCAGGAGGTACCTACCTGTACCCAGCCTTGGTGCCATGACGCGCTGCCTCGACCTCGACAAAACGTTTTGCCGCCTTCACCAGCCTCACCAGCCTCACTAGCATCACCTCCAATCTTATCTTGTGACCAATTGCCGCGAGACAAGACTACAAAACCACAAAGACCCTTCTCCCCAACACACCTTCTTTATCCACACAACGGACACTTCTTTATACTGCTCTGCACCGCGCCTCACGTCCCATGCCCGCCGACCCTGAATGCCACCTTATCCCACTTTCAAGCTAAAGCGTAACCTTGCATCTGCCCGCAGTCGCTCCCCCGCCTTCTCCAAAAGCTCAGCTTACCTGCCTCATTTACCTTGCCGCCAAGCAACCTAGCTACTCGTCCAGCTCTTCCATTTATTGACTCCTTGCCGCCGCCTTTGCTCCTTCCCCATTCTCCCCTAATCTCCAAGTTCCCCAGACTTTCTTCCTCCTTTTTTTCAAATTTGTCGACCCTGAAATTCCCATCGCCTCCTTGCTACAGCTGCCGCCTGTCTCTCTGGCACACTTGTCCCCGCCGCCATGACGACACCGAACCCCAAGGCCCTCACGGCCCAGGACCTGCCCAAGCTGCTCGAAAACGACAACCGCATTAAGCTCGCCGGCCTCGATGTTGACGGTATCCTCCGCGGCAAGGTCATCTCCAAGAAGAAGTTCCTCTCCGTCGCCGAGGCTGGCTTTGGCTTCTGCTCCGTTATCTTTGGCTGGGACATGCACGACAAAACCTACATGCGCGAGCTCAAAATCTCAAATGCTGAGAATGGCTACCGCGACATACTTGCCATCCCCGACCTGTCCACATTTCGGAGAATTCCCTGGGAAAACAACATTCCTTTTTTTCTCATCAGCTTTGTCGACCCCGAAACCAAAAAGCCCATATGCGCCTGCCCACGTGGCCTGCTGCGAGAACAACTCGAGCGCCTCCGCAGTAATGGCTACGGTGCAATGGCTGGTGGTATGCTCCCCTGACCTGCTCGCACTTGCAAGAATATGAGTTGATTCAACTGACCGCCTACCATAGCCGAGTACGAGTTTTACACCTTCAAGACGCCCGACTCCTCCAAATCCCCCGCCGCTTTCTTGCTACAAAACCCCCACGATCAGCTACCTTCTCTCACAGAGGGCATGTTTGGCTACTCTCTGAGCCGTCCCGTCCACAACAAAGACTACTACTACGAGATCTTTGACAGCTGCGTCAACTTTGCCTGTAACATCGAAGGCTGGCACACAGAGTCGGGCCCTGGCGTCTTTGAAGCTGCCCTCGAGTTTGACGAGGCCGCCGAGATGGCCGACCGCGCCAGTCTCTTCAAATACGTCGTAAAAAGCGTCGGAGCACAGCATGGTATTATTCCGTGCTTCATGGCCAAGCCCAAGCAAGGGCTGCCTGGAAACAGTGGCCACGTGCACGTCTCTCTTGTTGACAAGGACGGCAAGAATCTGCTTGCCCGCGACACCCCCGACGAGAATGCGCAGTGGAAGGACATTGCCCACCTCTCCGACCTCGGCCGACACTTCCTCGCCGGTATCCTTGTCGGCCTGCCCGACATTATGCCTCTCTTTGCGCCGAACATCAACTCGTACAAACGCCTGGTGGAAAACTTTTGGGCGCCCGTCACCGTCTCTTGGGGCCTCGAGCACCGCGCCGCCTCGATTCGTCTCCTCTCGCCGCCCACGTCCAAGCCGTCGGCCACGCGCTTCGAGGTCCGCGTCCCCGGCGCCGACACGAACCCGCACTTTGTCATGGCCGCCATCATCGGCTGCGGCTGGCGCGGCGTCGAACAAAAGCTCGAAATTCCCTGCCCGCCCCTCGCCTTGGGCCAAGATGTAGGCGGCGACGCCGACATGGGCGAGCGCCTGGCCAAGGGCCTCAAGGAGGCGACGGAGCGCTTCATGCGCAAGGACAGCATCGCCCGCCAAGTCTTTGGCGACGACTTTGTCGATCACTTTGGCGGCACCCGCGAAAACGAAGCTCGCTTATACGACGAAGCCGTCACTGATTGGTATGTCCCTCTCCTCGTCCTACATGCCATGATGACCTACCTCAATGTCGACTACGATTGCTAACTGCATACTAGGGAAATGAAGCGATATATCGAAACAGTCTAGAACGCGGATTTGGACATGAAATAGGGTGGCAATTTTGATTTTAGCCGTGTATTCAATTTTTTCTTTACAATCTTCGATGGTCTATTGATGCAGTTTTGCAAATCGTCAACCATAGTGACACGCATGCCTTGCCGTGATAAGCATCGTTTTGTGACGCAGAAAACAGCAATCTATGAAAATCAATAAGCGTACTCCAACTTGCTCATATGTATTAAAACAAGGAAAAAAAAAGGAAAAAAGAAAGTCTCTCCTCATGCCATACGAAAACGCAACCATGTTTCAGCCGCCCGCCGCCGCCCACCTTTCCCCAATCTGCTGCATACCTAGTAATCACCGACGCCCCGTTGAAATAAGAAAAAGAAAGAAAAAAACGGGAGAAAAAAAACGCTCATGTCTTGCCAAGGCGCAACGTAGATTGGCAGACAGTTTGACGTGCTCGCGGCGTGCGGAGTGCGTGCATATAGCCGAAAAAAAACCCCGAGACATTATATCTTTTCTTTTTCTCACGTTTCCTTGGCGCTGCCGTTACCACCACTACCCTTCTTCTTCCGTGTGCGGTCGTCGGCTCCGTCGTCGCCTGGGCGCCACTGCTCGGGGCGAAACTCGGGGTTGCCAAAGTGTGCTCGGTTCCAGACGCTGTTCTTGAAGGTGGTGGTGGTGACGTTGAAGGGGAGGAGGCCGAGGAGAGCAGCGCGGCTGCTATCCTCCTCGTAATTGTACTGCATCTTGGTGAAGCGAATGTTGCACTCGGCCTCGGGCGCCGTCGCCGTCGCCGTCGCTGGAGGTGGTGGCGCCTTGGGGCCCGGGGACGTGAGCAGAGTGTCGGCAGCGGGATGGGACCGGCCGCGTTGTACAATCGGCGCGTTCGAAGAGGCGGCGTGCGTGGGAAGCGGCGGCATCCACTGTCCGTCTGGTACAAAAGAGCCACATGAGGAGGACGGCGGCGCGGGCGTGTGCATGATGTTTGGGGAGGTCAAGGTCGACATGCCGGATGGGGACGCTGACGGGAGAGATGCCAGGAGGCCAAAGTCGGCCGTCGAAAAGGCGCCTAGACTACTGTGCGTGCTATTGATGGGGGTATGAGAATAGACATCCGTGGCGCGATTGACCATGATATCGGCCACCACCACCGTGGGCCGGCGGTAGAGGATGTCGTAGTGGTCAGGGCGGTAAAGTAGCTGGATCATGGGCCCGAGGACGGCCGGGTCTTTGGTAATGGCTTCCTCGGGAAAGCGGTAGGTATTGACCTGGGCGCCGGGGCTGCGGTCGAGGTAGGCAATCTCGAGGACGAGGTCGAGGGGCTTCAGGAGGCAGTTATAGAGAGCAATGATGCCAAGCTGCTCAATCTCGCGGTCGGGCAGCTCGACCGATTGGCTGCAGTAAGCGCGGATGCCCTGGCCATCGGGCACGAAGGGGTCATACTGGTCCGCGTGCGCCTTGAGGTGGGTGGCGGCAAGCAAGCGCAGGTAGTAGATGAGGGCGCTGCTGGTGGCCGGGTCTGTCCAGCGGTCGTGGACGAGGGCATGGGCAGCGGCCGGGTCGGTCACACACCCTGCGAGCGTGCGGAGCAGGCCGATGGCCTCATCGGCCCAGTCCTCATAGTAGTCGTAGCCGCCGACAGTGCCGAGGAAGTGGTTCATGCTCATGAGGCGGGCTGCCTCGCCCTCGACCTGGTCGGCGTCGCCGGCCTCGACGAGCTTTTCAAAGTAGCAGAAACCGATGGCTGTGGAGAGAGTGGTGATTGTTAGCAGAGAGCAGGAGGTTCCATGGAGAGGACCAATACATGCCTCTCCATCCGCAGTTGCCATCGCCCTTGACGCGGCGGTATGAGCCGTAGGTTTGAGGTAGGGCCTGGATTTTTCATTGTTAGAACATAAACACGGGCGGGGTGTTTGCGGGCGTGGAAGTACGTGCCATTGTCTTTTCGACGTATACTGGATCCGCCTTGGCATACTCTTCTACAATGGCCTCAATGGGTGTCTTATCGCCGATGCTAGGACCCTGGGTGTTTGGTGGTCAGTGATGGTTCACGGCTGTGGCCAGAGAAAGAAGACGACAGAGGTAGACTCTTCGCATCACCTGCTTACATCGAGATTTGGCTGATAGGCTCTGGCCGCTTCTTGTTGGGCGGCCATGCCGTGCTCATCGGTGGTGGCCATGGTGAGTGGGCGGCCTGGGAAGCGGTGCACGGGATGGCTGTGGAGGGAAGGGGGATGGTGAGTGCGCGGATGAGGCTGCACAGGGAGATGGCGATGGTGGTAGTCGAGTTGCGGGTGCGCCGCTGCTAATAACGTCGCAGGCGGTGGTGCAACTGGGGGGTTAATATTTGGAAGGTCGATGTAGGCGTTATGGTGGTGGTGGTCTTGACGGTTGTGCTGGTGCTCCTGACGTTGGTGGTGGAGGTGGTGTCCCCGCGCTCCTGCAGTGCTCGTTGCCCCTGCCCCAACTGCTAGGGCCACTGGCACAGGCATCATCGCGGGAACCGGCTCTGGGAGAATTGCCGCCTGCATTCCCACGTGTGCGGTCGCGCCGTGGTCCGACGGCGAATATCCAGGCATGGCTGAGTACTGTCGGTACTCGCCCGTTGCGGCGTCGACGAGGTAAAACTGGCTTGGAAGCTGCTCCGAGGCGTCATCGATGAACGGATCTTGCGAGGATGGCCGTTGCTGGCCCATGGTCGCTCGCCCAACGATCTACTGGTAGACTTGCGCGCTGATGACCGTAAATGGTGGCAACTGGATGGGAGACACAGCTTCTACCTAGGTACGCGTATCCCAAGTCGCAACGGCGATTGCGTGGTGATTTTCTCCGACTTCCTCAACAAACAGCTGCGGCTGCTCCCGAGCGGCACAGATGAACTTTGACTTCCAAAGAGGTGGTTCACAGCTGAGCGATTGAAATATATGCGCATCCAAACTATTTCAACAAAGTATTTGTAATGTCCCTGCTCACCCTGGTATGACTGACCCCTCGTCAGATCTGCCTGCCTGCGGATAGTAACCACCACGAGCCTGTCGTCAGGCGGCGGGCCGGCCGGGCCAGGCAACTTGGGGCTTATTTAGCGGACGATCACTGGCGTTGTCGCCGGTTCAAGTTTATTTAACTAGCGTCTGCCGGGCGACGCTGCGGCTAGGATATCTTGCCGACCGGACCAGTCCCTTGCCTGTAGATTGTGTTGGATCGCGGGCACCGATTTATTCAACGTGTGGTCAAAGCTTCTGGATGGTCGCTGGCGGTGTGCTCGAGCGAAAAAGAACGCGAAATGTCGCGATAATCACCTTGTTCTCGCAGTCGAGTCGAGTCGACGAGCGTTTGTTTCTGCCCTCTAGTCTGTCGTCACCCAGCAGGCGGGGTAAAAGTGCCTGTGTGCTGCTGGCAAGATCACTTCAGGTTCTGAATCGATTGCCCAAACTGCCAATGCGTCAGACGTGACTTTTAATGATGCGAACAAGATGGAGACCGACCTGTGAGAGAAAGACAAAAGCTAGTTGTAGTGCAACTACAGCGGCTCTGAAAAAGGCTGGCGATATCAAATGGCGAGCCAAGAAATACAAATGAAAAAGGTCAAAAAGGCGGTGGTGGCAGACCGCTGCCTTGGATCAAACAAATACGCAAAGATATAATCGTGCAGAACACGTTCAGTAGTTGAAACGTCTGCATGTGAAGGTAATGCAAAATACACCCTTGAAATATATACCAGCGCCACGGCCAGCAAAGACACACCAGCTTCTTACCTACACGCCATGCACAAACCTGGAAGGTCTTCATAGCAAGACTTTTGCCATGCTAACTACTTACTAACTGGCCAGCAGCCGTCCAACCTCTCCCATCCATCCCCGGCAACAGACATGCGCTATTCGTGTCGGCATAAGGCGAGCAGCCGAGCAGCCCTCCTCGTCCTCGTCCTGCTCCTCCTCCGCCGCCTGCGCACCAACCTTGCACCTGCACAAGCCTCACTGCGGGCAAGCTGCCACCTTCGACAAACGCAACAATGTGCCACTCTGCTACCTTGAGTCCGACTGGTTTTTTCCTTTTTGCTTTCATTGCTCACGTCCATGCCGCAGCAGCCAATCCCAGCCCCCTTCTACAAACGCCCACGAACTGGTACGACGGACAAAAGGGAAAAAAGGACCAGGCCACACAGCCTTGCGCTGCACCGCATCACAACGCGGCCTGGCGGCGGCATGTCTAACAACAGGCTGGGGGACGGCGCACTGCAGCCACATTGCAATTCATTCCTTGCAACTGCCGCTCCTGAGCACGACGGGAACAGGTGCAACGCCACTCTGGCCTCCCCCCCGCGTCCTTTGCCAGCGCTCTGCCAAAGCACGGATGCTTCAATCAGGGCGTAGTTGCGACGTTTGCGGCCCGAGCCGGTCAATGGTTCATGAAGAGTTAACAGGGGCTGAACTCGGAGTAAGTTTTGTGCTTGCACTGGGGGCCAGATGTCGATAACCCCTCCGCTCTCGCAGGCTGGGGCAAGGGTTGCCGATTTTACGAAGGGGTGTGTGCGAGAGGCGGCAGCAGGCTTGATTGCGCGCCTCTTTCTCAGCCCTAATATTATGCTCTCGCATCAAAAGCCCATGGGCTGATTTGTCCTTGGCTGCTCCATTTCCTGCACTCGTCAGCAGGCCCTCGTGTCGCTGCATTGATCACCAGTAAACGAAAAAGGCCCCCCCTGGCTTGCTCTGGATCTCGCTGCTCGCATCAGCCGTGTACAAGGGTCCCGAGAATGCGGTTCTGTGGTTTCCTCTACCCGTCAAACACGCCGCCACCACGCCACACGTTGCCACGCAGGTCAACCCCCAGTTGCAGGTTTTGCACCACGAGTCACGACAGCGTGCATTGCTCGACTGCTTTACATGGTTGCCAAGGTCTGTCGGAGGAAGACGAGAGGCTGCAACCGGGATCGAGGGGGACTCTGCCGTGTCACGAATTCATACTATCCACAGCTGGCCGTTTCTCTTTCTTCCCGACACACACGCAAGGTCGATGCCCAGCAAATCGACCAGCCTTGCCAGCTCGGGGCTTTTTTCTCAACTGCATGATGCAGGGAGGCGGGCTTGCCGCGCCACGCCCACCTTCGAATAGAAGTTGCGCCCTTGCCCCCAGCTTTTGCAGCCCCTGCCGGGCGACGTCCGCCTTGGCGGATGGCACGTCCACTCGCTGGCATGGTTGGTTCGCCTTCTTTTTTCCCTCAACGTGCTGGTCGGATAACAGGCCCGAAGGAACTTGCCAAGCAAGCCTCCATTCGTCACCTGGCTGCTTACTGGTAGCCTTTCGATAACGGCCTTGAGAAGCACTGATAGGATCACACACTGTTACACCACACCCATACCCCCGACTGAAGTTTCCATCATGATGCCTATTTTCTCTGTGTTTCTCCCTCCATGTGCGACTCGATCGAATCCAGCCTCTCGCACCATCCTAGACGGGCAAACAAGACGAAGAGACCCTCTGTCTCGTCCCTCGGCCGAGCTCCGTACATTAGTCAGTGGACATTGACCTAGATGTGGGTGGGTAAAGGAATCGCATGGAGGAAAGCAAAACGTGCCTTGGCGCACACGAACACGCATAGCAAAGACACGCGCACCTCGAGACCAGTCCTTCATCTCACTCTGCAGACGCAACTGCAGTGGCTGAATCAATGTCAGAAGTAACCGCACATTCCTTGTCATCGCCATCCTGCCCGCGCGCGCCGGCCTCATTTTCGTTGTCTTTCTTTCGTGGACACATGTTCGTATCCACAACACAACCCCTTGACCAGAAATCGTGGTTGGGTCGCACGATGCGCATCTTTTACTACCACGTCGCCATTCGACTCGGTCTTCTCAGCTGCACCGCCGCCGCCCTACCCGCCGAGCTGGGCCGACCAGGGCACAGCATCCACGCAGCCACCCGCGTGTCCTCGGGAGCCAGACGTTGATCAAACGAGGTTTTGAGAAAAAGAAAAGCGATGAACCAGCCAAAGAAAGGTTGCGTTTCATGCTGGGCGCATGGAGGAGGCTTCGTCTCGACCTTGTCCAGTCTAGTAGCTAAGTAGCCTTGCTGACACCGATTTGCGCTTTCGTGGGCGAGAGAATCGCACTCCCCAAATCAAGGGCATGTTTGCCGCTGGTTTATAGAGATTTGCTGCATTTGAGAAGCTTGTGCTCGCATTTGTCATCATCACAAGGTAAATGAGACGCGACGTTGGGCTCGGGGGGTCTTGGGGTCCGCACAAGTTCGTGATACTGTGGCGGCCCTCCATCGATTACCACAAGCCGACCCCGAACCCGACAGTTTCCGACCTCAACCGCTTTGTCTCGTCATCCTCGTCGGCAGTCAACAATTCAAGGGGCCGTCACACAACAGACTGCCACGCTACCAAATGCAAGTACATCTCAGCAACTGCCCGCTGCCGTGCCACAAGCATTGACGAAACACAGCGCCCAGCATAACAACTTGAAGCCAGATTCACATAGTCTCTGACAAACAACACCAGAGTCCGCCTTGCACTGCCTACTCTGTTTCATCCGATGCGGCGTACCGGAGAGCTACCACAGCCCGCAAAACTGCTCGCTGCCAGCTTGTGACAAGTAGCGACTCGTTTCGAAGTGTCATGTTTCATCTCGGTTCCTTGGATCACACATGGCAACCTTGTGTATCTGCTTTTCTGTTGCGGTCCCTCGAGTACATGCTGGCTCCCACACGCTGTCACCATCCGCTTGCGCCACGATGGCGCCTCTAGGTAGGCGTGTGGCATGCAAGAGGACGAAAAAAAGAAACCGGCGTCTTGTGCAATGACATGATATACAAGCAGACGACGACACTTTCGTGTATCAAACAACAAAAAGTCAAGAAGAGTACCACTGTTTCTAGTCTAGACTGTGTGTACAACCATGGCCGGTCATACGCTGGAGGGTCATACACTTGAGCTGTAGGACCTAGATTGTGCATCTCTGTATGCAAGCCACCTGCATGCATTACCAGGGCTGGCATTTCCCGGCGAAGTAGTTTGTCATCTATAACATGGCAAATACACCCAAACTCCATTCTTCATCAATACGACGGAGATGTGGCTAAAAAACAAAGCAAGGAACAGAACAGATCATGGAGTGGATGACAAGTTGTCCCTCAAGTTCAGAGCTGGAAGCCCGTCTTGGTCCGTAGGCCGTACCTCCTGCCTCGTCCCATTACATCTCCATCGTACATAGGTCCTTCGTTGATGGTAGTTTGATCTGCACTCCGGAAACCATCCCCATCCTGGAATACCGCACCAAACAGATCGGAGATCGATTTGGTTAGCTGGCTCATTGCTTTGACTCGTTCCGCATCGGCGACGGATGTAATCTCCAGTATACCGTCCCGCTGATCAATATGGCCATTAATCTTGCCATCGACAATGAGAAAACCTATAATGTCCTGGACCTCGGGCTCCGAAATCTTGAGCTGTTTGGCGATGCACTCCAGCTTCATCCTCGTGTAAGGCGCAATGAGCTTCAGGACACCCTTTGTGCGCATATTGCGCGTGACTTCGTCAATGTTTTCGGCAATAAACGGGTCCGCCAGAATGTCTTGATTGTTTTGCAACACCTTTTCGTAACCGTGCACGTCATCCCGCTGATACGAATCCACGAGCTCAGTCATGGCTGAGATGCGGGGATCAGACTTGTATGGCTTCGTCTCTTGCGAGTCAAACGGGTTAATGTCCGACTTCATGAGCATTGTCGTGAGCAGGAGATACTTGAGAACTTGTATGCGTTGAAGCGAGCCTGCTTCGTCGTAGTTGCGGAACGATTCGAAAAAGTCGCCCTGTGCCTCCTTCCAGTTCTCTTCACTCATGTGCATTTTGCCGCCGCACTCTCGAATGATCCCCATAATTCTGGGATGTGGTACAGCGGATTTGACCTTGAGTGCACGCTGATATAGTGCTTTCAGTTGTTTGTTATTTTTTGTCTCGGCAAGCATCTGAATCTCGAGGGCATAGATTTCCAGCGAGTATGTCCCCTTGCTCGGATCGTCTGTTCCGTCCTCTTTTTGGCAGGCTTTATGCAAATCTCGGAGTTTCTTAGACACGGTAGCATATTCTTTGCGATCAAGTAATAGCTTGACAAGCTTGATGTTGGTCTTCAGCCACAGCCGTTCGTTGTTGGTACTCTGGAAGCTCTGAAGCGTCAACGAGTAAAACTTCTCCATGCTCTGAACCGCATCGTTTCCATCAGCACCCTTTTCAATGTAGTCTAGCATATTGTTGATTGACTTTTCCGAATAGTTTCGTGTGACAGCGGACTTGACATAGGTGAGGAGTTCTTCGAAATGGTTCGCGGCCTGTTGGTGTTTTCTATTAGCCTAGCAATTTCATCCAACGCATCGAGAACGAACCTCGGAGTATCTGCCAAGCTTGAATTCCAGCTTGATTGCCTGCTTCAGGCCTTTAAATCCCCACTCGCTTTTTTCAGGTTCCAGTTCGGGGATTGCAAGAAACTCGTCAACGGCCTCCTCCGGGTTGCTGAGCTTTAATTGCTTCGCGTTATAATATTTGTTCTCGATGTCGACATCGCCAGATTCGTCGTCCTCGTCTTCTTCGTACTCGAAATCATATCTGCGCAGTCTGTTAGCGATGACATAGGACGACACCGCGTTTGCCAGCGCTCACTGCTCCTCATCTGACTCCTGCATGAAATCCTCATCGTCAGACATGTTGTGGATACTTGAATGAAATACACAGTAGCGTCAAGAGGGGTAAACAGAAAAAAGAAAAGGCGTGTTTTGAAGGATGTCGACAGCACGGTGATGATGGAGACGGAGAGCTGTTGCGGAGCGAGCGCAGCCTGGCAGCGGGGTTGGCGTCTGTAGCGCCCCCACTATCGATAGTACTGTACCTAGGTAGCTGTTGGTGTAAACGAGCGGTGCTGAGGTGAGACCTTCTTATTGGGAAACAATACCTAAGTATGAAACGATAAGCGAAATACAAATTATTGATAACCACATTTTGAGCTTCAATCTTGGGAGTTGTGCCCGATACCGCTGTGAGCACTTGCAATAAGAGAGCAACGAGCGGGGGGGGGGAGAATAGATTGCAAACAGGCGAAAAGATTATAAAAATGTATTATGAGAAAGTAATTCAACTTCGAACAAATACGGTAGGCAACTTGAATAGAAATATCCCCAAGGCGGAAAGTGCTGTCAGGAGAGCAGTAAACATGAACGGAAGACCAATCCAGACACCACCAATATCCATGCCACGGTTGAGAAGCCAAGCCAGAGTGGGAGCCGAGACCAGGCCTACGATAGATTCAGTTGTAGCGATGACAGTATTGAGAGCCCCGATTGTGTGCGGCTCGACAATGATGGAAAGGATGGACCGGAATAAAGGCGAAAAGCCTGTCGCGAAGCTGTAAATGATGAGGGCTAGTAGACAGAGCCAGCCTACCGGCGCAAAGGCAATGAGTATTGTGCCCAGAAACGCAAATATTGCGGACACACGGGCGATGAATAGGTCGCGCTGGAGTGGTGAGCGGCCGCGCCGATTCAGAGCCCAAGCTGTCGTGGGCAATACAATCATTAGCACTCCTAGGGCGAAGAAGTTTTCGATGGACACAATATATGTAGCCTGAGAAAAGCGAGTTAGTGAACGAATCGCCTACTTTTGGTGCTGGAATAAAAACATACCGTTGACCATGACCAATGGTATCGTTTCGTCATATACTGCAAGAGGTCGCTGTCGAAGACCAGCTTCAATGGGTACACTAAAGCATTACACACCATGAGTAGCATGATACCCTGCGAGCCGAGCAGAAAACGCCAAATGTGAGCAAAGTCACTGCGCGCAGAAGCCAGTGCGCGTTGGATAGCAGATTTGGCCGACACTTTAGATATCGGCTGCGGTGCAAACTCCTCTGCCCTCTCGCGGGGCAGTCTCCTCTGCTCAGCAACTTTCCTCAAATCAAGAGTTTCGGGAAGCAAGAGTGTGCAGACTGTGCCAATGCCTAGCAGACCGATGCCTATATACAGAGCTATCCATGGGTTCACCCCGAGGAGGAACGCGGCCAAGGGCGTGGCTGCCACGTTGACGATGCGAAGCACGGCGTTGAGCTGGTAAAACACCATGGTTCGTTCGGCGGCGGGCGTCACGTCGCTGAAGAGTGTGTAGCACATGGCGCCGGCCATGGATCCGCCTCCGCCGAGGAAGTAGGCCAGGTTACCCCAGAGAATTGCCCATATGTTGAGTTTATCGGGCAGCGAGACTAGATTGCGCGTTAGAGCCGATGATGGAAGAGTAAACTGTGACAAGGATGCAGAAGGGTTGAAACGTACGGACAAGGATTGTCCACGCAATTTTCAAGAAACAGCCGAAAAGAGAGGCAAAGATGACGATTCGACGACCATATTTATCGGCAATAATTCCAAAGGGGATCTGCACCATAATTGCTGTGCATCAAGTCAGCGTCCCGAGCAAGATTGAAAAGCAGTCTGGTACTTACGAACAATCATCTCAGCCGACACATCGACAGCAGAGACCATGGACAGGACTTTCTGCACATCGTTTTCCTTGCATCGGCTGTCTGGAGGAGAAAGCGCGTTGAGCTGGTGGTCTCTATAGACATTTCTGCAAATGACATCCTCCATAATTTCCTGCAACGCAGGGCCGAAGAGTCGTTGGCTCACGGCCACCAGGGTCAAACACAGGCCGCCGATAAGACTGACGAGCAGACGCAAGGACGGCTCAGGGACCAGCTCCGCGGGCCGATCCGTGGGCAGGAGGGGCGTGTTTTCGGTTTCCTGGAGCTCGCCGAGGTCGCGAATTCTTCTGTCGCGCGGCGCGCGGTCATCGCCGGCCTCGTCGTCGGCACTGCATCCGGACATTGTCGGCAGTCATTCACAACCAATACTGCTTCTAATTTCGACCCTGTTGGCTCCTGGAAGTTTTGTTTATGCGGGCGGCATGCAGTGATGCTGTACGGCGGAACGAAGAAAAAAAAAGTAAAACGACTAAAAGGAGGAGAGAAACTGCGCTTCGTACGTTGTAAAGAGAAAAGGGAAACGAGTAACAAGTTGGCCGGCGGCTGCTTTGAAGCACAAACGCCTTCGCACGTCACCTTAATAGTTGCCCGAATGGGAAAAGGCCCTGGTGGTTGACGCGGCCTGGAACGAGGCCAACGGGTACATTACCCCCCGGTCACATCATCTCGATCACGTTCGTCACTGTAATGTGAAGATAGCGGGAGACCTAGTCCCTGGAAAGCGCGGCCCGGGGTAAATTCGACCCGATTGTGTTTATAAAGTTTATCGCAGCATTCCTAGCCGACAGGAGAGGATGTTGCTCAGAGTTCAGACATTTTCCAAAGAGAACAATTTTAGCGTCCATTCCCAGCGCTTTAAGCCCAGCAGGGCTGATACGCAGCCCTGCGTGGAGAGGCCAAGAGGGGGCAGCCTCCGAATCGAATGACGCGTCTCGAGTTTGTCTTGGATTTTTAGCGGGTATGCTTAATTTCGATTACAATTGACCTATTAGGATATTGTGAATGGATAACCGTGGATCGATAAACGGCAGGAGAACATCTTTGACTCGGTAGGTAGTCACTTACGTCGACCATCACCATGTAAATACGTTACGACGCAGGAATTTGTGATGGCAGCGTCTTCTTCATCATTCTTCTGCGCGATGACGCTGCTTCAAAATTTTGGGTCAATATTTCCTTCCAGCTCTCAGGACCAGACAAGTATGAGCTACTACCGCAAAGCCCCGAGGTGGTTGTAGCTGCAGGGACAATGTGGCTACCAGCGCAGAAGGAAAAATCGGCTGCAGCAGCCTATGAGTTGAAGCATTGAGTCTATTCTGCTGTCCGGGTATATTCAGTTCGATGCACAACGCACCGGTCCTTGGACATGTTCGCCTACAAAGCGCTTCGCCGAGTGACGGCAATGTTCATATCACTCTGAGAAAACATGCCGGCATTAAAAGATTTCCACGGAACTGCAGGATTCACCAGCGCAAATTCAAAATGTCGGAATAGCTATAGTTAGCGCGTCAGTAGATACCGTCAGAATGCAGCTGCATGTGTACGTACCTCGACAAAGACCAGGTTCAGCTCCAGCTGGGCGATATTCTTTCCCAGACACTCCCACCGACTGCCCGCCGCAAACGCCATCATGACTGTCTGCTCCATGGCCCTGGGCCTGTCACCTTCCAGCCAGCGCTCCGGCCGAAAGAGGTCCGCGTCGGCCCCGAACACGTCCTTGTCGCGCATGATACTCCACGGCGACCAGGCCACGTTGGTGCCCGCCGGGACGGACACGCCGCAGACTACCTCGTCCGTGTCGCACACTTTGGGGTACAGGGCCGCCGCCGGCGGGAACACGCGCAGGCCCTCGAGCAGGACAGCCTGCAGGTAGGGGAGCGACTGCGCCTCGGCGTTGGTGGCGGGCGCGGACAGGCGGCCGTGCTCGGCGGCGGCATCGATTTCGGCTTGGAGACGGGCGTAGACGTGGCGCGCGGTGATTATGTGCAAGAGCGTGGCCTGGATGGCGGTCGCGGTCGTTTCGGAGCCCGCGATGATTTGGATGAGCGCTTCCGTCTCGGCGTCCTTTTGGGAGAAGCCGTGCCGGACAAAGGAGCCGAGCATGTCGCGCTTGACGAGCGGACTGGCGCCGTAGCGCTCGGCGACGACACGTTCGGCGGTTTTGATAACGTCGCCGATGCCCGCCATGTCTTTAATCTTGGGCGCGATCCACTGCAGATACGGCGACTGGATCAGGCTGATGATGCCGGGGATCAGCGCGGTGGCGACGAGGATGTAGACTGTGTTCCCGGTCGTCTCGATGTAGCGAAACCTGTCCTCGTCGTGCTCCATGAAGCCAAACGGGTCGTCAAACGCGAGCGAGGAGATGGTGTCGAGCGCAAAGTACTGGACCTTTTGCGCCATGTCGACGATGCCGGCGCCGGCCGCGACGTGTCTGTCCAGCAGCCGGACCAGGCCCTGGACCTGCGCCTGCACCAGCGCCTGCAGGTTGTCCACCTCGCGGCCGCTGTACCCCGGGAGGAGCTTGGCGCGGATGGCGGCGTGCAGCGCGTCGTCGCGCGTGGAAAAGGAGCTGTCGCGGTACGGGTCGATGCGCATGCCGCGGTACCACCAGGCGCGGGTCCAGCGGGAGCGGGCGCCCCATATGCGGCGAATCTCGGCGGCGTCGCCGACGACGACCCAGTCGGGGGCGATGCGGGCGACGGGACCTGGTGTGGCATCAGCGAGGGTCTGCGAAGGGAGACGATATGGGTGGGCAGAGAGGCGAACGGACCGTGCTGGGAGACGAGACGATGCAGGATCAGGTGGATGCGGCCCGTGAGCTGCGCGTAGACGAGCCAGAGGCTGGTCCAGGACGCCAGCGCGGGGCCGGGGATGTGCTGAAGACGGCGGAAGGCGTAGAGCTGCGAGGTGAGGAAAGCGAGCGCGAGAGCGGCCAGCGAGGCCGCGAGCCAGGCCATCGGGAGCTGCGACGACTTGGTGTCGATGAATCGGGGCCGGCTTGACAGCAAAGTTTCAACGGCGCATGATTGTGCGGGTAGTTGTAGGTCGGGATGAGATTGGCGAAGGGGTAGTCGCAAAATAGCCAATTATTGCCATCTAATTTCAAACCAATTTGGTGTCACTTATCATATTCACCTTGTCAAAAAGTGATGGGGGATATCAGCCGCACATGGAATAGGTCTAGTGCTGTACTCGGTAGATATGTACACCAATACCTGTACGATGAATAGTAACTAGATTCACATCTTGCCTTCCTATTCAATGCCTACTGAGAAATTTACGTTGAGTTTCTGTTGGAATCATGGGCAATTTTATTACAGGTTACAATTGAAATCAGGCACTGCCTTGGGCAACCGGCAACCCTAGAGAACTTCACGCTGCCATTCGCTCCGCCCATTATTGCCTGACCTGAATTACGTTGTAAACACGTTTTTAAACATTTGTAATAATTATTAACAGAAAATGGGATTGACCCCATTTTCTAGGAAAACCTCAGTGTGTTGTCGATTCACGCCGACTGGCAATGGGTAACTACCATCGCCCGTGGTTAGCGTAGATCGGTGACGGCAGAGATCTTGGCTTGTGGCACCAAAAGTTGGCTAACCATCGCTCCAGATCAATTCCTTTCCCACCTTGCATATACTACTCTGCTTCCAATTCCACATCTATTCCGAGTCTGCTTCCATCTATCGACCAATTCCACCACTACCTACGTTCTCTCCCGACCATGAAGCTGCAAAACCTCTTTCTCGGCCTCGGCGCCACCGCCGTCACCAAGCCCTCGCAAACGGGCGTCGCCCCCGCGCTCTGGGACGGAAAGTGCTTCTACCCCCAGCCTGACACGACCTTTGCGCTCGACACGTATCCCGGGCGATGGTATCAGCTCGCCGGCACCCTGGCTCGTTTCACGGCCGGGTGCAAGTGCATCTCGGCGCGCTATGACATTAACGTGAGTGGAAAAGCGACTGGCGCGCTGCGTTAGACATGACCATTGACTTGAGAAAAAAAGGAGGATGGGAGTCTGTACGTCAATAATACCTGCCAGCGAGGCGACAAGCAGACGTTTATCGAGGGAGAGGCCGTGGCCGCGGACGAGGCGTACGGCAAAGTCGGCGTGCTGCGTGTGCGGTTCCCGGTACAGCCACCTCTTGCCTGCGATGGGCCGAACTACATTGTGCAAGGTATGGATAAATAGAGCTTGAAGCCTGCCGCGCGCTGATACAATTGTCGCAGAGTATACTGGCGACCTTGCCATTGTCCAGTCGGCCAACTTTTCCAACCTCTTTATTCTCAGCCGCGCGCAGCACGTCGACGAGGACTGCCTGGATGCAAGTAGCCGTGACCGTGACCCCGATGATGAAGCCGTCATTGCTAACAGCTCGTAGGGTTGGATCGACCGCGCGGTCGAGCTTGGCACGCCCCGCGAAAAGATTGCCAAGACTGACCAGAACGACTGCAACAACGATTTTTGAGCGGAAGATAGACTACATCGAGGCATTAGACAAGAATGTAATAGTGATGGCAGATAGGTCGGCTCAGATCATTCGCGAACAAGCTTCATAATAATGTATGGAATCACCAAAGATGATTCCATACCACCATCCACTCCGATTTGGCGGGGCGATTCAGCCACCAAGCGTGGCAACGGCCGATCGTCTAAATCCCATATCTAGACGTAACGTTGACCATTCCCATATCGCAAGTTTGTACTCATATACATCTATCAATATAGATAAATAAAAGGAAACCAGTAGGCTAGATTGGAAACCACCAAAACACTACGCACTGTACTATGCCCGTGTTTCAGGTGCTGAGCATCATACTAGGAGCTCCGGATACTAGGAGCTTCAGATTGGGGTCCACCGGTTCTCTGCAAGCGGGCAACTAGCTTGTTAGTCTCAGCGATTGGAGCTTTACAAGGAGGCAGACACTGAGCTGCTAAACAATGACGTGCTATATTGGGTGAGCAATCTGCTGACCACCGAGCATATAAAACAAGACGTCGCACTACCGCGCGCTGATCTGACCACACTGCAGACGACACATCAGCTTCGACACAGCTTCCCCTCACCCATTGCATACTCGACATCCATCGCCCGACCGAAATCATGAACTATGGTGAGTGAAGAGCGCACCGCCCATCATCCATGACCACAAGCGCAACCTAATGCTCTCGCTCCTCGTAGACTGGATCCTGGACGGGGGTTACCTCCCCCACGTCGTGATCCGCACCGGCATCCGGCGCCTGCTCCGGGACCGCCTGGCCTCCATCGCCGCGCAGTCCACGACGGCCGCCACGCAGGACAAGATGGCCTACGTCGCCAAGCTCAAGACGCAGCCCATGGCCGTCGCCACCGACACGGCCAACGAGCAGCACTACGAGGTCGGCACCGGCGTGCTGGCCGCCTGCCTCGGGCCCCGCATGAAGTACTCGTGCTGCCGCTACCCGACTGGCACGGAGACGCTGGCCGAGGCCGAGGTCGCCATGCTCGACGAGTACATTGCCAAGGCCGAGCTCAAGGACGGCATGGAGATTCTGGACCTGGGGTGAGTCGCGGCGGGCGCTCCGAGATCGTTGCGGCGGGCTAACGGATGGGACAAAGCTGTGGTTGGGGCTCGGCATCGCTGTGCTTTGCCGAGAAGCTACCCGCGGCCAGGATTACCGCCTTCTCCAACTCCAAGACGCAGAAGCAGCACATTGACGGCGAGGCGAAGCGCAAGGGCCTGACGAACCTGCGCGTCCTGACCGGCGACGTGGTCGACTACGAGTTCGAGTCTGAGAAATTCGACCGCGTTGTGTCCATCGAGGTACGTGGGCAAGCCCCGACGCAAACCCCCCTACTCCCCTACCGAACGCGCAAAACGACTAACATGTCCCGGCGCAGCTGTTTGAGCACATGAAGAACTACGAGCTGCTGATGCAAAAGGTGGCGCGCGCCCTCAAGCCCGGCGGCAAGCTGTTTGTGCACATTTTCGCGCACGCCACCACGCCCTACGACTTTGAGGACGGCTGGATGGCGACGCACTTCTTCACCGGCGGCACGATGCCCTCGGCGGACCTCTTGCTGTATTTCCAGCGCGACCTGGTCCTCCAGAACCAGTGGTGGATCAACGGCGGGCATTATTCCAAGACGTGCGAGGTACAGTGGTTACCCCCCCCCCCCCCTGTTTGCCGGATAAGATTGGGCTAACGCGGCTCTGTGTAGGATTGGCTGTCGTGCATGGCCAGGAACAAGAAGCAGATGTGGCCGCATCTGGTCGAGACGTACGGGGAAAAGGACGCGCAGACGTGGTACAATCGATGGCAGATCTTCTACCTCGCCTGCTCGGAACTTTTTGCCTATGCGGGAGGGGATGTCTGGGGCGTGTCTCATTACTTGTTTGAGAAGCGCGCCTTGTAACAGACGCGGGTGCTGTGCTGTGTGTACTGTTGTGGCTGGAGGGAGAGCAAGTGTAAATACAATCGCTCTTGGAGAAACGGAATACGGGTGCCGAATTGCTGTGCCATACAGTGAGAATGAAGTTATTGACCAAAGAGCATCTAGCGTGGACAGCTTGTAAAGGTGCGCTGCCGGTGCCCGCCACTGATCAAACAAGTCTGCAGTGCACAAAACCCACACATATTCTCCTGGTACTTTTTATTGCTGCCTCTTTAGATGGAGTTTAAGTTGGTGCATCGGCGAGAGGCGGATTCGATCCCACGCATGAGGTCATGTACATGGCGCTGCTACCTGCCTTGTTGGGGATTACTTGAACTGGACTATATGAAGAATTAAACGGGCGGACAGAAACTCGCCGTTATTCTGAGGATTCAATACCCGACATGTTTAGTGCAACTTGGTAATACTGCAACTTGCAGACATGCACAGCACACCTAGTAAAACGCAATGCTAGTGAGCTGAAGTCTATAATCAACAGGGTTTATCAAAATGTCGATCACCAGCGATGTCGGATCTACGAAAGCTTCTTACTGGTTCACGTCTCCACCGCGATCAACCTCGTCCCCAAATGATGTCAGCTCGCGGAGCCTTGTTGACTCAGTTCACGATTGAACTTGTCTCCGGGACTGACCTGGAAAATTCTCTCAATAATCCAGCAAACCGCGCTCTTGCATCAATCAACACCACTTGGATCACGGGCAACTATCATGTCGCAACCCGACTCTCACAGCCAGCAACATCGCTCCATCGAGACACTACAAATGACCGATGAAAATGCCACCAGCGCGACCAGTCTCCCGCCGACAGATCACGGCCGTGATGCGTACCTAGCCCTCCTCTGCTGCACCGTCGCTCAGGCGCCAATCTGGGGCAAGCCGGACCCCCCCATGCTGAAGCCTTTTGCGTGAAAAATTGGCCTCCCCGACATAAGTTTCCTAACCAAGATCAGGTTACTCGGTCGCGTTCGGCATCTTCCAAGAGTACTACACCAGCGCTGCGAGCCCCATCCAGGCACCACCTGGCGCCTTTGCCACCGTCGGCGCCCTGCAGATGGGTGTCATGTACCTCCTGATGCCCGTCTCGTCCACGACGCTGAGCTGGTTCCCGCGGCTGCGTCCCTGGTGCGGGCCTCTCGGACTGCTGATCACCGTCGCGAGCCTCTGCACCTCGGCGTACGCGACCACCGTCGGCGGGCTGATGGTGACGCAGGGCGCGCTGTACTCCATCGGCTGCGGGCTGCTGTTCAGCCCCATCTCGCAGCACATGGACGAGTGGTTCGCCGCCAAGAAGGGCCTCGCATACGGCGTCATGTGGGCGGGCAAGTCACTCGTCGGCATGGCGATGCCGTTTGTCTTTAGCGCGCTGCTCCGCCGGTTCGGCCTCCGCGCGACGCTGCTGTCGTGGGCCGTGGCCTCTGCCGCCATGATGCTGCCGACGCTCGTCGTCCTGCGGCCGCGCGTGCCGCTGCATCTGCAGGCGCGGAACCGCCGCGTGTCGCTCGCCTTCCTGCGCCGCCCGTCCTTTTGGATGATGCAGGTCGGCATCGTCCTCCAGGCGCTGGGCTACGTCATGCCCAGCACGTACATGGCCAGCTACGCGACCGACGTCGGCTACCCGGCCGTGACCAGGCCGGTCCTCATCGCCCTGTTTTCCTTGTCCGGCGCGTTTGGCGCGCTCTGTCTCGGCATGCTGAGCGACCGCCTGCACGCGCACAAGGTGATTCTCATCTCGGCGCTCGGCAGCGCCGCGCCTGTGTTTCTGCTCTGGGGCCTGAGCAGGCACCTGGCCAACGTGGTCCTGTTCGCGCTCGCGTACGGCTTCTTCGCGGGCGGCTTTAGCTCGACGTGGACGAGCATGGCGCGCGAGATCCAGCGGGAAGACGATGGCGCGGCCGACCCGGCGCTGCTCTTTGGGCTGCTGATGGGCGGCCGAGGTGTTGGGTTTGTAGCGGGCGGGCCTCTGAGTGGTGCGCTGATTGCGGTGCCGGGGGTTCTGACGGACGAGGCTCTTGGATATGCGACGAGATATGGCCCGATGATTCTGTGTACGGGGCTGACTGCGATATTGTCGGCGTGGGCGCCGTTCTGGAAGATTTCCAAGGCGGTCCAGTCCGGGTTACCTAGGATAAGGGCAGCTTGAAGAAGACGTAGAGCAAGAGCACGAACTTCTAGAAAAGGGCCGCCTATGAAAATTGTATTTGGAATGATGTGCTATATCTCAAAGACGAAAAGCAAAGGTACGCAGCTACCTCTTTCTCATCGCGTGCTCAATACAATCGCGTAAAAGAAGCAGTGGATTGCACCCAGCAGGCCATTGTCTTTCCATTCACCTGTCTCCAATCCCATGGTATGCCACAACCGCAAACCAAGAATCCAGCGCAATCTCTGGAAAGGTTCAAACAATATGCCGGCCAAAAAAACAACATAGAAAAAAAACTCGGAGCGTTTGCGAAACTGCTAGAATCGTCCTCCCTTGGCAGGCAGACAGGCAGACACCTCGCGTCATCTTTGCCGACTGGCAGCAAACGCCGACCTTGGTGCTCAGCTTGTTTTCATTTCTCTTTCAGCTTTCTTCAACCCTATTACCCCTCTTATTCAGAATATCTTTAAAATCTTTCACTTTGATGCGGATAGTATTTTGATTCTACTCTCGGCATCATATTCTATTCTCGGGATCAGAGGCTTTGCCACCCTGGTCGCGCGTTCAAACACTCGCGTCAAACATGGGCGAATCAGCTCCCAAAGAGGCTGGCCCTGCGGAGGAAGGTCTCAATGGCAAGAAAATTCGAACAGAGAGGATTTAACAGTGCTAATAATTGTGGCAGGCACCGCGGTCACCGTCCCAGCTCCTATTCGAACAACGAAGCTCGCCGACTTTCCGCTGGTGGTTCTAGACCGTACCCCCAATCTCAGATCAGACGGTTCTTTGGAAGACGCGCTGCGAGATGTCAGCATTGCTCTATTGGCCTCGGGACCCCCTGTCATCTCTGAGAATGAAAGGTTACTCCTTGCTGGGCTGGAAGGACCCCATGAAAACACAGCGGCATTGAGCATTGAAACCATCAAGATAGACTCGCGGGGATCACTACGACCGCTACCGCGCAAAACCTATTTCTCGACTAATAGACAGCGCACCATCATCCAAGTTGCAGCCGTGGCCGAAGAAGTGCAGCTGGCGAAAACAAAAGCTCGCTTATGCAAGAAGCTAAGCACAGCTTTTGGCCTTATACCGCTGCAAGGTTCAGCAATTGATCAAGACTGGAGCGATCAAGAGGAGAAGGATTTGTGCCTTGCCCAGCAATATCTTGTGGCATTGGATACTTCGGATAAGCGTCTTGTGCGAGCCTTGCCTGGGATTGGACAGAAGGTGAAATTACGTTTCGATCTTCGAAACGCCAAAAGCGATTTTCCAGTGGTGAAACTCGAAGAAACCCAAATTGCCGAGGCAGTACAGTATATCTATGAGGAAATGGACACTGAAAAACGCTACAGCTCCCATCCCGATGACACGGAATCTGAGTCTGATAGCGACGAGTCCGACACCGAAACTTTGCCAAACCAGTTGGCATCAAATTCGAACTTGAAAAAAGCAATGCAGAAACTGGTGCGGACTGTCTCCCAGTTCAGCGAGACAGAAAATGGCCCATTCAGTCGGTCCAGGGCCATCCAAGCTGCTTTGATCCTCTCTTCGGGTACCTGCTACGGAAGAGATATCCCGAGGGAAAGGATCTTGTCCTGGGTATCTGCTAATCCATGGTTTAAGCTCTCGCTCGCGCATACTAACAAATGGCCGGGCATTCGTGTGAAGCCTCCGCCAGGTGTCAGGTCATTGAAGGCCTTTTTCCAGGTTGAAACCAACTGGAAACCTCGTTGGCCTCGGTTCCTTCGAAACCCAACAGTCAAGGTGAAGATTTCCTTGCCAAGGCAGTACGCTACCTTGCACGAGACAATCGAGAAAATGAGGCTCGAGATCAAAGGCAAGCTTACCTACAAACCGGACCTTAAGGTACAATGGTTTGAAGGTCATGTTCATGAAAAATTAAATGCCATGTCTTGTCCATCTCCATTGAACTCTTGGTGGCTTTACATACTGGACTTCCAGAAGATTCCAGAGAATTGTCATCGCAATCTACATGAGGTATTCCCTGGACTCGCCAAGCATATCAAGGCCGGAGCATTCCAAGGAGAGCATGCTGCGGTTGCCGAAGCCTTGACAAAAACAAAAGCAGGCAAAGTCATTCTAAGCGGATGCCCAGGATCGGGAAAATCTACCTTTTGCCAAAAAGTGGCCTCGGCAGTTGTGGACAAAGGTTGGAATTCGACAGCTGGGTACGGCGCAAGCAGTCAGGAGGAACCAAAGCGCGCTCAAATCATCTACACATCTCCTCAGAATGAGCAATGCAAGGATGCCATTAAGCGATTCAAGCTCCTCAACCCGGGCAAGCGAGCTTGTCGTCTTTACGGTTACAATAGAGAATTGCAAGCTCTCATCCGCGGCGATGACGGTAAGAAACCGGACTTGCGCAATGGGACAGAAGGCAAATCTGCCAGCAAGCTGCATGAAGCTTTGAAGCAGCACGCAAAGAAATCAGCCGTTGAGCACGAAGATCCGAGAAATCCGCGCATGGATCCTCACAGTCTTTCGTCAATTATACGCGCGCAAATAAAAGGGCCGATTCTTGAAGAATTGCAGAAAATGTGGCAACTTTGGAAAAAAGACAAAGAATTGTGGCACCGAAGAGAAGACGATTTCAAGCGCATAGGTCACGAGCTACTGGAAGCTTATGTGGTAAAGGCGGATGCGTTTTTCGGCACACTCGTTGCTGTTGCACAGTGTCACGATCATATGGGAAAGTTTCATGGAGTCTTGGGGAGGCCTGCACTTTTGATTGTTGATGAGGTCGGCCGCCTCACTGAAACTCATGCGCTGCTTGGTGTCAGTCTATGGCAAGAGGTGCCGACCATCTTTGCTGGCGACAATGAACAGTTTGGCCCAATTGTTGCCACATCTGGGACTCATTTCAACTACTTTATTCAAGGAGAAGTCTTTGAGTTCACGTCTCTCTTCAGCGCTCAATCCGAAACATCTTTCCTAGACCGCGCTGCCGCAATGGGCGGCGTCGATGCCAGGCTCACCTCGAACCATCGTGTTTACGGATGGGCAGGCGAATTTCCCTGCAAATACCTGTACAAGAACAAAATGATTCAAACGCACACCGAAGACTGCCCTGCTACCGAGGCCGTCGGTGAGTGGTTTGCGCGTCGCAGTTCTTCTACAAAGAATTCGCTGTTTGTGGATTTGGACTCTTGTGAAGAGGAGCAAGGCACGTCAAAGATCAACCGCATCTCTGCCTACTTTGTGGTGCAGCTCGCGGTCGACATTGCACGTGAAATGAAGCTGCCGCTGATGGAAGACTACAAAAAGTTCGAGAAACCACTGGAAAATACCGCGTCCATCAGAAAGGGCCGCATTCTGATTTTGGTCGCATACGCACTACAGAAAATGCAAGTGTTGCAGTGCCTGAAAAAGATCAGCCCGCACGAGGTGGATAAGTCACGCATCAGCGTGCGAACTATTGACGACTCCCCCAGCCACGAGTCGGAGATTGTCATTGTTGACCTCGTCCGGACAGAGAATATTGGGTTCTTGACCATTCCCGGGCGACTCAAAGTGGCCGCAACCAGAGCACAACTGGGCACGATTTGGGTCGGTCACGGCAGGCTCTGCCAGCGAGAAGAAAACAGTCTCAGAATACTGTATAATTATCATGAAAGCCACAAGGCTGTGGTTGCCGTCAAGGGCTACAATCTCGTCTGCGAAAATTGCTGGCGCGCTGGCCATATTGAACATCGATGCTCGGAAAGAAATCTACGCTGCTACGTGTGCAACAAGAACAGCGAATACAGTAGACGGCATGCGGCACGAAGCTGCCCCCAAACGACATGGCCTACTCCATCGGACAGGGAAGCTGAGAGATGGATGTCCAGCCCAAAGTCGGTGGACAGTGTTGTCAGAGACCCCTTTGCTACCAAGTGAGAGACTGTTGGGGGGTGGAAGATGAGAAGAACAGAGAACGGAGTTGGTTAGTCTTTGAAGTTTTGGTCAAGTTGAAGGGAACTGGGAGAAGTTGGCATTGGATCGGTAACTAGTTGCGACGATGGATTGTCGATGGAGCGTACTTGGGTGGCGCCAGTGCGCTCACATGGGACTCGAAGTGAAAAGTTTGAAGTCATTATCTCTGCAATCGGAATACTTGCTATATCATAGGTAAAAAGGCGTTTAAATGATGAAAATTTGATGGAAGCTGGTCGAGCACCTTTGAAGCGCACACCCGCCGTGAATTACAATCTCAAGTGTCTCTTGGCGCCGAGACTACCTTTAACTAAATGACGGCGATGTCTTTATTACTGCTCGTATATTTTTATATGACTGACATACGCGCCACTGCAATGCCAAGCCCTGTTGATAGGTTGCCCGACTCCCATGTCAGCGCTGCTGTGGTACCTCATTTTGAGCTGGTAGTCGAATGGATGGAGTGCAATTTCAGGGGAACGGAACGCTGCCAACCAGTCGAGTTCACTGACCGCCACTCAGATGACGAGAAAGTCATAAATTAATGCCGTTGAATTCGCTACGCGTACTCCGTAATGCTGCCGTGCAGGGTTTCAGTTGCCACCTCATGGTGGGCGCACTCTGGCTGCCGGGCGCATGTGAACGATCCATTATTCCGAGTTTTTAATGATATCACTTGGACTTTTAAGATCTGCACAACTCATTGTATGAACCACTAGAACAAGGCGATGAGCGTCATTGTTGTGTATCGTGATACGAGCATGATTCAACCACGACAGCCCTCTGTAGACAGTAAATTTCTCGACGGCTTGACCTCTGAGATGGCGGAAAGAAAAGAAGAAGCGTACGCTCTCGACGGAGTAGCTAATGTAGGCCGTCCTGTTGGGTAAATCCTGCCATTCATTTATGCCCTTATTCCAACAGGTGGATGCCCTCTCGAGCAACGGCTCCCGAGACTACCATGGAGGTTAAATCTGGCCTAATAAAGACCCTGAATCGTTGTTGCGTATTCCCTTGTGTTGCCAAGGATCGAGATTGCCTCATGGCGACATGATGATGCGCAGCCAATAACGGAGAGCACGTTGATGACTAGGATTCGCCGAAGGAATACGAATTCGGAGCTAAAAGCTGCTTTAGTCTGCGTTGACACTATGAATTGATTCATTTCACATCCTTTGAGAAACGGCCCGGAAAACGAGGGCAAGACGTTGGGATCAACGGCCACCAGGGGTTCGAACCACATCGCTGGGAAGAATGATCGTGGGCCGCTCCCGAGGATTCTCGCCCTGTTGTATTGTTTGTTGGTTAACTACCTGGTTGCACATCCGTGGCTTTTGGGTGGCGTCCGGAAGGCCTCGTTTCCACCCGCTTGGCAGACAACAGGAGAAGATCCTTTTCGCGCCCTGACCCCTGTCCCTTCAAAATGCTGGGGGAATGAGACCAGAAACTTCTCCGTAGCCGGCCGGATCGACGCATCTCGGCAAGAGCCTTGTCCCCCCAGGCAAAAAAAAAGCAAGTACAGCCTCGAGGAACGACGTATGCGGAAAACCACCGTTGCTTTCTGTGTGACGGCCGGATAAGAATCAAAGACACTTGTAATTTCCTCCAGGGAAAAAAAAAGGAAAACGACCCATTGTTACGTGCCGATTATATATGTGCTTTCCCTCCGCCTTTATACCCGACCTGCGACAACCACACCCCAACCATTTACAAGAAGAACAACCAGTCGCCACGAAACACTCCTTGATAGAAACACTCCTCGATATTGTCCTGTTTGGGAGTCTCCAACATGGAGTCCGAGTTTGGCGCCTCGCCCCCGAGCAAGCCCACGCCGCACGTCGACGCACTCGGCCTCTGGTGGGCATGCTGGACCTGTCTCTGGACCGCCGTTCTCGCGAGCGGCATGGCGTTTCTCATCCGCAAGCGGCGCACGCCCATGATGCGCATGCGCGGCCTCGGCCTCTCCCTGACGGCCATCACGCTGCTGCACCTCTACTGGATCAGCGGGCAGCTCGTCTACCTGTTTGGCGCCATGGCGCCCGCCGACGCCGAGTACTGGGTCATGGGCACCTACTTTCCCTTTTGCATCGCCCTGTTCCACGCCTCCAACGCGCGCTTCCTGCACGTCGCCAAGCGCCAGCAGCAGTTTGCGCCAATGGAGAAGAGCGCGGCCGGGCTCAAGCCGCCGCTGCCGCCGCCGCCAAAGGCTAGCGGCGCCGGGCTCGTCGGCAGGTTCAGACGCCTCGACTACACGGCCAAGATGGTGGTGCTCGTGGCCAGCGGTATGCTCTTCCAGCTGTTCCTGACCGTCTTGATGTACTCCATCTCGCGCAAGTTTCACGCCTCGTTTGGCATCCCCGGCACGCACGTCGAAGGCACCGAGGAGGACCGCAACGCGGCCATGGGTCGCGGGTGGGAGTGGTGGCCGACGTGCCTCTGGCAGCTCGTCTGGGCGTGGGTGATTGCGCCCGTGATCCTGTGGAAGTCGCGCAACATCAAGGACACGCACGGCTGGCGGCTCCAGACCATTGGCTGCACGCTTGCAAAGTACGTACTGTGCGCCTGCTACGCTCGTTGCCCCCCCCCCACGACTAACATTAGAGCAGCCTGCACGCGACGCCCATGTGGATGATTGCGCTCTACGTTCCCGCCATGGAGGGCGTGAACCAGTACTTTCTCCCGCCGCAATGGATCTGCCTGTCCATCTTCCTGATGGAGATCTTCACCGTCTTCGTGCCCTGCTGGGAGGTGCTGCGGTACCAGAGCCTGCAGAAGGAGACGCTCGACTCCATTGCGCAGTGGGAGTCCAAGAAGCGCGCCGGCGTGTCCAAGGACGGCAAGTCGTTGCTCTCGTCCGGCGACAGCAGCACCGTCGTCGACTCGGTCCTCAGCGGCAAGCGGTCGGCCGTCAGCTCCGTCGCGTCGCGCTCGAGCGAGAGCATCATGAGCATGAGCGCGCTCGAGTACGTGCTCGAGCGCAACCCGGCGCCGCTGCAGCACTACTCGGCGCTGCGCGACTTTTCCGGCGAGAACATTGCCTTTCTCACGAGCGTGTCCGAGTGGCGAAACTCGTTCCCGCGCTCCGTCCGCACCGCGGCGCAGTACCCGCACGGCGACGACGCCCACCTGCGCGCGCTCGTGCTCGAGCGCTTCCACCGCGCCCTGCGCATCTACGCCCAGTTTGTGAGCGTCCGCGACGCCCCGTTCCCCATCAACATCTCGTCGCCGCAGCAAAAGGCGCTCGAGGCCGTGTTTGAGGGCCCCACGCGCCTGCTGTACGGGGAGAAGCGCGTGCCGGGCGTCGCCGACTGGGACTCGGCGTCGGAGCCGCCGGCGTCGGCGACGGGCTCGGCGTCGGAGACGGGCTCCGCTGAGGACCGCGTGCAGTACTGGGGCGAGGTCCCGGACGGGTTTAACGAGACCATCTTTGACGACGCGGAGAAGAGCATCAAGTACCTGGTCCTGACAAACACGTGGCCAAAGTTTGTGCGGGAACGACGGGCATCTAATCCTTCCGATGAAGACGCGGAAACGGGCGGCGTCATGCGGGTGGTTCGAGATGGCCAAAGCCGGCAGTAATTTTGATTGGTGGAGTTTAAGGGCGCGAGGATATCTTTTCGTACATGACAACAGCGGTATTTAACACTGACTGATAATGTAATAATTTTACAGCCATGGTTTTCTGGTGTCCTGGTGTCCGGGAACAGGGGTATTACGACGGTAAGGCGTGCGAACCGTGTGTGTGGGGCCCCTATGCGGACCGACCCGAGTCTAGTGTGGTGGGGCGCCTGCGGGTGACGGGCGTCATCACAGACATAGCGGAGGCAGTACTCTAGCTTTTTATTATAATAGGCTCTTTTAGGACCCTATCTACAATATTAAAAAAGCTCGCTATAGTGTCCTACTACCTAGCAGCCTGATTTCTCTTTTAAAAGGGGGTAGCGGTACCCCTTTTCTCCTGTTGTTATTAGGACACTTTCCGCACAATATATTACCATCAACCGTACCAACGTTCTAGCACTTCCTACTATCGCCGCCCTTACTCCCACTACTCTCAATACCCTCGATCTAGATATACCTTATATACACCTACCATCCACTTTACTAGTGGCTATCGCCGCTATTACTACTAGCTATACCTTATAGATACTGTAGCGGCCCCTGCTGTCTATTCTCTTATAGTAGTACCTTTAACTACTTTACCTACTCTATTATATAGCTCTAATAGATAAAGAAATACTTAATATATTAGGTTAGGCTATCCTTTAATATATATACTAGGTATATAGATATAAGTATAATTTTACCTATAATAGAGCTTTATTAATACTTAGAGGTTAAGGATATAGTAGCTTATAATAACTCCTTTATATACTTATATATAGTAAAACTAGAATTTAAAGTCTATATATCTTAAAGCTATATAGTATATATTCTTTATATAAAGCTAAAAAAGCTAAAAAAGAATCTATTTTCTATCTTTAGTAGTATCTATATTAGTATAATAAAGGCTCCTTTCTTTAAGGTAGTTAATAACCTATTAACTATAATTAGGGCTTTAATAAAAGGGTTCTATATTTTTAATAATAAAGATAATTATCTTATTTTTTACTAGAAGGCTATAAAAGGCTATATTATACTTAACTAAACCTATATATTTTATAGTATAATATAACTTTACTTTAAGAAGGTCTTTACTTTTATTTCTCTTAAGAAGAAGGCTATATTTTATAATCCTCTAGTAGGAGGCCTTTATTATATAGGTAAGAAAGTTAACTTTAATTATATCTTCCTAGTAATCTTTTATATACTATTATTCTCTATTAAATAGTACCTTTTCCCTTATCCTATACTAGTAGATATACTAAAGGATATTATATAAGGTATTAAGATAGCTATAAGGTAAAAGCTATATACCCCTATATCTATTATATAAAAGTTAATGTTTAATAGGAGGATATCTTATTTCTAATATTATATATAGAGTATTAGCTTTAAGCTTAAACGCCTATCTATAGTTACCTTAAAGGTGTTTATAACTATTACACCTAAGAATATCCTAAAAAAAGGTAAGAATAAAGAGAATATTAAGAAAAAGGAGATATAGTACTATATTTTACCTATACTTAAGGTTTAGGATATTAGTATAACTATATTCTAAAGGGAGTAGTTAGAAGCTAATATTATTATCTATCTTATCTAGCTCTAGCTAATCTAACTCTAGCTAATCTATATTATCCTCCTATACCCCCTCTATATATAGTAATACCTATAGGTTTATAAATATATAGTTACTATCTATCTACTTATAGTTAATACCTATATAGCTATAAGGGTCCTTATTAAATAAATATATATAAGGCTTACCTTAAATAGTAAAGTTAGTCTTCTTTATATACTTATCTATTATAGAGAAGTTATTTTAGCACCTAAGTATCTACTTATAGTACTTCTATATATCTTTATTTAAAAGAGGGATATTATTAATAATAATATAGTCCTTATTACTATTAAGTAGTAATATATTCTAATAGCTACTTATATAATAATAGGTATTAAGCTAATAGGCCTATATGGTTTTATAGAGCTATATCTTACTATAGATATAGAGAGACTTAGGATATACTAGGCGTAGGGATATATAGAGGTTTTCTAATAGCTAGCTCTTAATCTCTTAGGGTAGGACCTAGGCTTTACTTATTAGAATAGGTAGTATATAGACTAGTATAGGTAGCTAGAATATATTATCTATATAGGCCTAGATATTCCTATAGTAGAGAATTAGATTATATAGTGCCTTACTACTAAGATATAAAAAGAAGCTAAACCTATCCTTAAAAGCTACTATATCCTTTTATATTATAGTTTTAGCCTTCTACTAAAAGGCCTTAAGCTCCTATATATTATTATTAATATACTTTATACTATACTTATTAAAGTACTACTATATAATAAGATAACTTTTTATTTTTTAAATATTAAAGTAATATTAACTAATATTAAAGAACTTAGTATTCTTAATATTATACTTCTATAGTTACTTACTAATTATATAGAAGTATAATATCTTATCTTTATACTCCTCTTATACTATATAAAAGTACTTAAAGCTAAAGGATTTAATACTATTAAGGAAGTCCTATATAGATAGGAAGTACTTAGGGTATATAAAGAATACTAACTTTACTACTAGCTAAAACTAATATCCTATAGACTCTATAGGTGTTAATAGTATATTATCATTATTATTAAAGGTACTTAAGATTACTAGGCTTAATACTTCTTTAAAGATATCCTTAAGTTACCTAGCTAGTAGTAGCTAATAGTCTTATAACTAGTTATATAATAGTATTATATAAGGAGTTATCGCCTAGGATAGCTACTCTAGCTAGGCGGATAAGATATTATTAAATATTTATATAGGATCTATAGTGTTTATTATAAAAAGAGAGGAAAGGAGAGGGATAGAGGATATAATAGGACACTTCAACGTTAGTGTCCTACCCGTCTTATATATCAACCGTTGCTACCGGTGTAACTTAGGTGATCCCGCGAGAAATCAGGCTACTAGGCAGCAGGACACCATGGCGAGCTTTTTTAATATTACTACACGAATATGATTCTTGGTCAAGGTGATTAATTATGATTAAAAATTTCCAGCCCTTTGTATGGCAAGTTCATGACAACTGGTTGACAAGACTGATTAGTGGCGTTGGCTGACAAGTCAAAGGGCGCGCCCTGTCAAGGCCTCTGATGGAGATAGGCCGCGACTCAGGCGGGAGGCGGTTCTAGAATAGTCTTCTATAATTTAGCTACATAAAACCCCGAGATGATTTCGTATTCCGGGATGGTATTGAGGGATGCCCGAGAAACCGCTCTTGCCAACTCCAGAGTCAACATTCTTATGACAATACACAAAATCAGAAACTGAATAGACTCACCAACATCAAGCGAGCATTCCCATTTCTCTCCCCCCCCCTCCCGCCAAAAGAAAAGACAACCCCACCACAAGTCTCCGAGATGACGGTCCAAGCCCTCACCATCCGCAAAGTCACGCCCTCGATGCTACCCGCCGTGCACGCCCTCGTCGAGGGCTCTTTCCGCGGGCGGTCCGCGGCCAAGGGCTGGTGCAGCGAGGCCGAGTTCTTCACGGGCGCGCGCATCACGCTGGCGGGCATGCGGGAGAAGCTCAGCAGCGCGGGGACGACGTTCCTCGCCGGGTACGACGGCGGCGGCGGAGCGCTCGTCAGCTGCTGCGAGATTGCGCAGCGGGACCGCGACACGTGCTACTTTGGCCTCTTCGCCGTCGATCCGGAGCGGCAGGGCGGCGGCATCGGGAGCCGCGTGCTCGCGGCGGCCGAGACGTACGCGCGCACCGAGCTCGGCTGCGCGCGCATGGAGATGCAGGTCATTGACAGGCGCGACACCCTGATTGCGTACTATGAACGGCGCGGCTACGTGCGCACAGAGGAGACGCGGCCGTTTCCGTACGAGTTGTTTGCCGAGGGCACCGTGCTGCGAGATGACTTGCGCTTTGCGGTGCTGGTCAAGGAGTTGGTGGCATAGATCTGGCGTGGGTTGCTGGCTGCATTTTTTTCTTTTGTCCTTTGTTACCCATTGTAGAGTAAAGTTTGCAAATAGACATGATTTCTTGACCTCATAAATTCTACAAGGATACATACGTGTTTGACGTTGGAGTCTTTCATAATGAAAAACCGGTAGAAAAAGGGTATTATTATCATAGAACCTTGCCGTGTCTACAGCTCTGCTTTCCAAGCCGCTCATATATCTAATGCCTTTTTTCTCTAAGCAAGACCAAGGGGGAAAATCCAAATTCACTCCTGCGCCATCGCGTGTGCCAAGTAAAATGATAGAAATACAAAAGCTAGGACACAATGCAGGTCCAAGAGCTCGAAGGAGGCGTTACCTATTCGTCCTCTTCGTCCTCTTCATCCTCCTCATCGTCGTCAGATTCCGCAGCCATGTTGTCGACCAAACCATCTTCCTCCTCCTTGTCGTCATCTTCTTCATTTTCCTCGTCGTCATCTTCCTCGTCCGCATTGCTTCCACCATCCGCACTGCCTTCTGCTTCCTCGCTGTCTTCTTCATCAGACAGAGCAGCACGGACATATCGGCTGCGATTTTGAAGGCGGTCTGCAAGACTTGACTGCTGCGGCTGGTCATCGTCTTCTTCGCTGCCGTCCTCGCTTCCTTCGTCGCTATCAACGATTTCTATCCTGCGGCGTTTGGTGATGGGGCCCTCATCCTCATCCGAGGAAATAAGTTGCGGTTCTGCTGCCTCGGCAGGGCTAAGCTCTTCGTCCGAATCCTCCACGACGTGAACGCGCTTTCGCTTCGTAGGTCTAGTGTTGGGCTCGCTATCATCCTCGTCATCCGAGTCGGCTATGACACGGCGCTGTCGGCCGCGTACCGATGGGCCTCTTTCGTCTTCTGACGGCTCCGGGCTTGAGAATGGATTTGACGGAACATCGTCTCCGCCTCCGCCTCCGTCTTCCTCGTCGCTGGCTCCGTCATCAAGGTGTTCCTCGTCGGACTCATCAAAGATTTCGGGTTCATCGTCGTCAATACCGTCGCTCTCATAGGCATCCACCAGCTCGCTGGCACCATTAACTTGGAAATCTCCATCGCTGTCGTCCTCGTAGATATCAGCATCTGAATCCTCGGAATCTTCGTCGTTGGCGCCCTGTACTTTCAAAGGTAGGTTGTCTGTAGCAACAAACTCATCGAAGCGTTGAAAAGATGCTATTGTGTCGAAAATGACCATCGGATAGGTCATCACGCCGGCCGCTTCAAAGTTCATCTTTGGTCCTTCACTGAGGATTCTTGTGTGCCAATTAGGAACATGAGCTTTAGTAAAGGAAGGACTCTTTTCGGCATCAGCCCAGCAGATAAGCTGCGTGTAATCTTCGCCACCGACTGACTCGCTCCTGAAAGTCTCCATATAGTACTGGCGAGCATGGGGCGAGGCACACCAGCGCACAGCTTCCTCCTTGAGTCTGACGCCGTCGGATTCATCATCCATCACATACAAAAAGATGCGCTGTAGAGATGTGAATTTCCGGAGCCAAGAAGTAACATCCGCATCATCCAGTAGAAAACTGGGGTTGCGAAGCGGCAAGGCTAGGTTGATAATGGACTGCGAGAAGCCATCGAAACTCACTTTGGGGGCTGAAGAACTCCCAAACATCGCGCCACCAGCATTGAAATCTGGTACAACGTCTAACAGAGCGACGTCGACGTTGCGGTTGAAACATATCGTCATTTCTTGGCCGTTATCTGACTCCACGTGTAACTCATCCGGAAACCTCTGCTTGGCGATGGCTCGCGACTGCTGATTCGTGGCCAAAACATGACGAAGGGCGCGCGTTTGGTCTTCAAGGAAGTGTCCAGGGCCAATCACCTTGCAAGGCGATGTTCTGGTGGGTGACAGGCTGTCGCTAACGTTGAAGCTGAGAACACGCGGTGCGCCTCGCAGATCGGTGCAAAACAGAGTCCAAACCTGCAAACGGAGCTCTGGCGGCAGCCGTGTGAAGGGAAAAGGGTCAATGTCCTCTTCGTCGGAGCCAGAGTCCTCATCCGTCGTCTCTTCCGCCTCCAGGGCCTCATCATCAAAGAATCCATTCGCACCCGCCTCGGAAGAGCCCGATTCGCTCTGGCTATCGTCGCTGTCGACCACAGTAGCTCGGGTACGCCGCGTTCGGGCGGTCTTCATTTTGCGCGTTCGCATGGGCTGTTGCGATGGAGCGTGAAATTTGATGGCTTCTGCAGAAGAGAGAATCACTCGTAAGCAACGGATAGGAGGGGCCCGAGAAAGGAGGGTGGTGAATGAAGCGAGAGAAGGTGAAATCTTTGTTGATGGAAGTGAAGTGAAAGAGTGATGGTGGGGCGCTGACCTGGCGCGCTGGCTTCAAGGGCTGGTCAGGCGTTGAAACAGCGTCATTTAGGGCTGTAGGTACCTTAGTAGACAGCCTCCAGTGCACGCCTACCGCTAAGCGAAACCTTCTGGCGCTCTGTGGAGGTAAGGCCGGCGCTGTATCCAACCCAGCTCTTTAAATAATGGCGGCAGTATTTAATATGCATTTTTCCAGTATTCAATCGAGTTAGCTGCTAATCTTTGATTATCCTTAGTGTTATGCCATTGTGGTATGTGGGATAATGATGATGTATTGTGGAGGTTGTGTGGGCTCTAGAGAGGTCTTATGTACCCTATAATATGCCGCTATTAAAGACAGTGGCGTCCTCGCTACTAATTATCCCTTAATATTCTAAAATATAACCTCTATAATATAACCTTCTAAGATATACCCTTCTAAGATATACCCTTCTAAGATATAACCTCTAAGATATACCCCTCTTCTTACCGCTATTATAAAAAAGCCTTCCTTAATAGTAATAGTGATAGTAATACTTATAGGCAATAGTAATAGTGATTCTAGCTTAGTTTTTATTAATAGAAGGTAGATAGAGGTAATAGTAATAGTGGTTTTAATAGTGGTTTTAATAAATTAATAAAGGAAGAGTGCTTCCTAGTAGTAGTGTCTACTAAAGCCTAACTACCTAGGGGGGAATAGTGGTTTTTACTAAAGCTAAGAACTAAAAAAAAAAAAAAAAAATTCTAGTATAGCTAAAGCCTAATTTATTATAATTATTATTAAAAAAGGTTTATAGGTATTACTACTAATTATTATACTATTATAGTATATAGGATAATAATGATGTATTATGGAGGTTGTGTGGGCTCTAGAGAGGTCTTATGTACCCTATACTTAGACTTTCTTCTGTCTAGATAATGTTCTACCGGGACTATACAGGCAAGTGTCACTTAAACAGTGTATTGGTAAAGACGGATTACACTCTCCATGATGTACTGAGTAGAAATCAATATTATAGACCTAAAAACCCTCATAGTTACGTTACATACCTTTACATGTACCTGGCGGTAATACTCATGATGCAACTCTGGTTCCCTCCGAGATCACGAAACGTGGTGATATCTAGGTGACTTGAAACCTAAAAAATTGAAGCCGAGTGCCCTTAATGCCAGTTGCTCTGTGTTCTACGATGCGAAATGTCAAGCTCATCCTTCATGTAAACATCTCCAGCAGCCGTCGCACCGGCCACGCATGCGCATCGCGGTACTTTTCCACCACGCTGCGGAGAGCCAACCGCTCATACTGGTCCGTAAAGTAATCGCCATACATCTGAATACCAATCGCGGCATTGACGAGCGCCGGCGCCGAAGCCGGGTGGCACAGCGCGATGCCGCACAGGTCGAGCATCAGCATGCGGACCTCGTTTTCCACTTTGCGCCAACTCGCGCGCGAACAAGGTTGCTCTCTGGACGTGCCCATTAGCTACACCCTCACAGCAAACAAGGTGGAGGCATGCTTACTTTAGGTACGGATTCTCCGAGACGAGAACCGACCGTGCCATGAGCGACTGCTGAATGCTCGTCAGCTCAATGTGCGACGTGTACCAGATGGTGGGGAAGATTTCGCCCTGTCGCTTGTCGGCCGGCTTTTCAAAGAGCGGCCGTGTATTGACCAGGACCGTGTGTTCCAGGAAGCTTTGCTGGTCCACCAGGCGTACTTTGCGCCTGAGTTAGCGAGTCGCCTCTTTCCTCGTGTCAGGGTTCTTGCTTACAGAACTCGTCGTCGGTGCCCCTGCCCCAGTGCCATTTGGCGACCTGTACAGTGTGCATGACCGTCTTGTTGACATTCGACGCGCCTTGCCAGTACTCTGCGGGGAGGTCGAGCTGGGGCGGCTTTCGGCGGGTAAAGGAGTGGTAGATTTCCTGTCGCAGCGCAAACCAGTACGACGCCTGGATAAGACTCCGATGGCCCAGCATAGCCTGCGAGGCAGGGTCGCGCAGCACGGCGTTGATGATGGGCATGAAGTTGATTTGCTTCTCGTGAAGGTACTCGTCGTCGCCCGTCATGGGGTAGTCGTCGTCGGCTTCATCTTCCTCGTCGATTTCTTCGAGTTGGCGCAGGATGACGGCAGTCGCGATGATGCTTTCGCGGAAATCATCGTCTTCGTTTTCATGGAACCGGCGGAAGGCGGGGATGCACTTGAGCATGTATTCGACCGCGTCGTGGTTTCCAAGCTTGGTAAGAAGCTGGCCCTGGTACAGGATGCCATGCGGCGTCTTGTACTGGGGCAGTCGGCTGAGATGGCGTGCGGAGACGGCAAAAATGGCGTTGAGCAGATGCGCATGCTTTCTCGCTTTCAACGGCACGACGAGCTGAAAATGTCGATTCTCATCACACAGGTCAAACTACTCCTCTTCCATCAGCCAACGAAGCCGCCCTGCAAGTTGAGCCTTGTCTTACCCATTGTGATATTTCGTCGATAAAGTACCGAAGTAGACATGCTTCTTGTGCTTCCTGCAGGGGAAATTGGCGCAGGTTGGCGCCGTCTTCCGTACCGAGTGTTGGCTGCGCCGTGAGACTGGCGATCCCTGGAAGCCCAATTGGCGGGCTCAGCGCCGCGTTCAAGTAGGAAATGGATGGGATATTGGGCCTCTGCACCGCCGCCGCGTCGGGCCGCGCCAGATGGGACGCGTGTACCTGGTCAGAGGCGCTGTGCGGCGTCTCGATGGGCGTAGAATACGACGAGGAGTGGCTGGAAGGGGCATCGGCCGCCGTGGTCGTGTCAGACATGTTGCGGACATCCGGCGGCGGCGACTCGGCCTCGGCATCGCTCGGAGACGTCTCCCCCGTCGTTTGGACGCGAACTGGCTTGGCAGTAAGTACATTGAATGCGAGATCGATGGCGCTCCAGCTCGCACGCCTTACATTGTCGCGCAGAGCTATTGACCCATTGTTGGTCCTTGTCGAAACGCGCTGTGGCGCCGTGTCGAAAAATGGTCCTTTTGGTAGGTCGCGAGCAGGGCAAGCTTTTCTGTTGGCATCGCTTGCATCTTGGCTTCTCCTCATCGCCTGGGTCATGTCAGGACTACTTGTCAGGACTACTACCGACAAGTCTTGCAGCAAATCGACACTTTACTCTTCTTTTACTCTTCATTTCACTCACATTTTACATGCTTTTCTAGCCCAGAAAATCAGTTGATGCCCGCCTTGCCAGTTCTAACCCAACTCACCTTTGCATTGCACGCAGGGGTATTTGACTGCCGGCATCGTTATCCGCGCCGTATCCGGGGCACAATCTGGGCTCCGCTTATTCACAAGGTTTCTCGTCTCAGAAACAGTACAAAAGAGCTGCCATCCCCGGACAGCGGCTCATGCTGTTGTCGCGGTGAAAGCGCAATGTAGGTTGTTGGTGGACAAGTTCCAGTAAGGGTCAGAGCCGGCGGGGACTTCCTGACTGAGTAATTTTTTTGGCCTGAGCGGAGGGAGGCCCCGAGCGAGCCGGCAAAAGGTACGACTGGAAGCGTACACTAACTATCCGTAGTTAGCGAGAGACCTGTTGTGGTCAGTCAGCCAGCATTCGCAGTCTGGGGTGAAAAGTGGAAGTTGGGGGGTTGACATGCTTGACAACTCCGTACTGCGTCTCATATTAGCAACTGAGGAGTCGCGATTGGTGCGACACTGTCACCTTGCAGGCTGGCCAATGGCTGGTCTATCCACATATGCGTAGTTACTGTAACCTGTAACCAATGGCAAATAAAATAAAATATAAAATGGCAACATTTCTGCCTCACAGAAACCCGAATCAACTATTCACGCAACCATAAGCCACCGTCCAAGGTTGGATATTGCCCTTTTATTCTTAAGCGGATTGCGATCGAGTTACAAGATTAAATAGGCGCGAATTCTAGTTTAAAAAAAAAAAAGTTGGCAATTTCATTGTACTTGTCTTCCAAGTTATACAGAGTTGAAACCTCGTCCCTCCGTACCCTCACGGGAAAATATCGTTACGAGGACCTGGGCGAAGGAACCCTTGATTTTAATTCTGCGTAGGAATATATATAAAAAAAAAAACCTGTAAAACGTGCTCTTCCAAGTAAAAGTAGAATCGACCCTGTGTACACTTCTTTTCATCCTTGCCTCCTTTCTCCTCATCCATATGCTTCATCAAGAAATTTCAGTCATCCGATCGGGTTTGATCATCCGGGGGATTCCCCACGATCATGAATCGGGCCGACCAATGCCATGCAGTAGATAATTTGCGGCACTTCCATCGGCTCAATGCATCGACTCCCCCAGTGTTACCGTTGAGCTAGCTGCTGGTGTGTCTGAGGCTTCCAGCGAGCCCGCCATCTTCTTACCATCGCATATCATTCATCCTTGGCAAGAATACGGTAATGGACTGCCCGAATCAAGCGCCACAAGTCATTCGCGCATCTCTACTCCGCAGTCTTTACTCGCATCTCGCTCCGCTCCTAGGGATGACGCAGTCTGAGAGTCCTGGAAACTGTAAATAGTAACTAGTGGCTAGGCCACAGCGCAATCTCACATGTGTCACTTTGTTTCTTTGTTGGCCATGTAGTTATTTTGTGGCATGGCTAACCACTGGGAGTAGCTGGGCTGCGTTGGAAAAATTGCAAGTTTTCTCTGCAAATTTTAAAGAATTTCTCACATTGGAATAAAGAACAAGCATAAATGTCACATTGAAGGGCCCGTTTTCCCTGTAGTTAGTAACCAGTCGTAGATTTTTTGCTCGCCCCCTAATTTACAGGGGCCAAGGAAGCTTGATAATAAAGTTTAGGCACCTCGTCAACGTTAGGCATACCCCATGCTTTGTCCGATCTCTACCGAGTACAGATCATGGTTGCCGAGCTGCTGCGGAATAGGCAGATCAATGCAGTATCGACCTTCTTTTCCGGTTTACTATCCTATTGATATTGACGGCGCTGACGCGTTCAACAAGTACGCCAAGGACCAGGGCTTGGCCCCGCGAGACACGGCCTTGGAGGGCAAATAGAGGAATTTACAGTTGGTCTTGGCTTGGGGAGGGGGCTTTTCTTGGCGCAGAGCTACTCAGGCGCTTAACCGCTACAACGATCCGGAGAGACGACTCGGATGAAAAGGTTGACGGACTCGGCTGTGGCAGGCTCCTGTTTCATAAACCCGTGCGGTAGAGACAGCAAACCGGCTGTCTATAGAGGTAGTGATACAGGACTTTTCTGGCCCAAATACTCCTCCCAGGGAACACGCTCAACTTTTGCCAAGCATGACATCCACCACAACTGACAGCCCGATGTGCTCAGCCACTCTGCGCCGCCAGCCAAAGGAAGCGCCCAGCCAGTAGGCTTTCCTTGGCTCTCGAGCCAAGCATCCGTCATGATTGTTTGTAGCACATCGGCATGCTGTTCGCTGGCGGGCGTTTGGGGTGGCTTTGAAACCCCACCCCCAAAACGCTGTAGGAGGTAGTTGGCAGTACTTGAAACTCGAATCCGATGCTTTGCCAAGAGTTTGTTCCGCGGCAAGTCAATTATAGAAAGGGGGAGAGGGATGCTAAGGTAGACAAGACAACAGTGCTTCGCCTTGCCCGCGTGCCAGGATGCCCCATCTGAGTCGTTCCCCAAGCTGGCTTCGTTGCCCAGATTCTGTTGCGCATTCTTCAATCCAGTTTCTACGCTTCCTTTCACTTTTTCATCCTTCAACTTTATCAGTTTTGATAGTGACTTTCTTTTAGAAAATTCCCCCCTTTTTCCCCGTCATCGCCTTTCCAATAATTCGCTCGTTGATACAAGGGTTGTGGACTGTACCTGCCAGTTGAAGTTACTCACGACAGCGTCGCACCGAATCCGCGCTCCATTGCCAGACTGCCTTCTCTTCTTCTCGAAACACACAACCGTCTATCATATTTCTCTTCATATCATTATTGGAGTCGCGTGGATATACATTACGCGCCTCGGAATTACGCTCTCTCGCCCCCCTCGCTATTTATCGCCGACCAGCCGACGGGCTCTTGATTGTCAGTTTGACAACGTCGTCGCACCAAAATGTTCTCCTTAGCAAAGACTTTGGCTGCAAGCCTGGTACTCTCGGGGTTATACGACAGTGTGCAGGCCCAGTACTACAAAGTTGATACCAAAGGTTGTTCTTTCCGGGGGGGCAGAGGCAGGCATTGACTAACATAATGCAGAGGCGATCAAAACCACGGCTAGTACGCTCGCATACGATCTGATGCTCTTGTACGAAGGCAATAAAACAGGACAAATACCTGGCATCCTACCAGGGCCGCCGTCTGAAAATAAAGGAAATTACTACTGGTGGCAGGGCGGTGCCATGATGGGCACCTACATCGACTACTGGCACCTGACAGGCGACACAAGCTACAACGATGTGGTGATGCAGGGGATTCTGCACCAAGTTGGCGAAAACAGGGACTTCATGCCTCGCAATCATACAGCTTCTCTCGGAAACGATGATCAAGGGTTTTGGGGCATGACAGCGATGCTGGCCGCCGAAAACAAATTCCCCGATCCTCCAGCAGACAAGCCGCAATGGCTTGCTTTGGCGCAGGCCGTCTGGGCGACGCAAGCAGACCCGAGCCGGCATGATTCATATTGCAATGGCGGTATGCGATGGCAAATCCCGTTTTCCAATGCTGGATACGATTACAAAAACAGTGAGTTTGTTGTTGCGCGTCGCCGCCCATTCTGCGCTGACTAGTTTCAGCAATTGCCAATGGCTGCTTCTTCAATATTGGAGCTCGTCTCGCTCGATATACAAAGAACGAAACCTATGCAAAGTATGCGGATGAAACCTGGGACTGGCTCTGGAATGTCAAGTACATTGACCATGAAAACTGGCTGGTCTATGACGGCGGCAGGGTGCCGTTCAATTGCACCGATATCAACAAGGCGACTTTCTCATACAACGCTGCCATTCTGACCCAGGGTGCAGCATTCATGTACAACTATGTGAGCTTTGCTTCAAACCTTGCAAAGACTGCGCTGACCCTCTATAGACGGATGGCGACAAGAAATGGGGAGACCGCGTGGACAAGCTCCTCGATTCCATGCTCAAGAACTTTATCCGCGATGGCGCCATGTATGAGTTGCCATGCGAGGGCACGCCAGGCACATGCACAGCCGATATGCTTACATTCAAGGGCTACGTGCATCGTTGGTTGTCCGTGGTTGCGCAGATTGTACCGCACACTGCGGACAAGATCTTGCCCGCCCTGGCAAAATCAGCCAAAGCGGCGGCGAACCAATGCACCGGTCGCGAATCAGGCCGCACCTGCGGCTTCTACTGGAGCGGCGGCAAATTTGTCGATCCTAGTGTCGACAAGACGACGGGCGCTGGCGAGTACATGAGTGCTCTCGCTGCCGTGTCCAGTCTCTTGATCAAAGACGCGAATCCGCCTATAACGAACTCGACCGGCGGGACATCCAAAGGCAGCCCAAATGGCGGTTTTGCAGGCGGCGATAATGGGCTGAAGATACCAAAGCCTATTACTGTGGCCGACAAGGCAGGCGCCGGTATTCTGACATTTATGCTTGTCTTTGGAGCCTCGGGTACGTTTTTCTGGATGGGCTTCATGGTTTGAAGCAACCGGGCGTCAAAACTGGCCGGCGTTTTCCTTTTGGGTACATTAAGATTGGCGTTGGTGGTTTGGTGTGTATTTGCGTGGCAGAGTAGCCAACGTTTAGACCAATTGACTATTGAATACGGATACAATAAAGTATCAATTGGGTGAAGACTTTTTCAAGCGGCCTTTTATCCATTTATTATCCGGAGCTGAGATCAGCGCAAATGGCCCATAAGCCGTGCTGAAAGGTTATCGCTTGTTGGGCGCAGTTTCCTCCACGAAGAAACCCCCAACTGGCAGCTGCTGCTACAGTACATACTAGTGATTGGTTCCAGATTATCTGATGGCGGCGTGGCTACTCATTGACAAGTCCAGCTGCTGGCAGAAATCCGAATCCGCGCCCACGTTTTCTCACCGACCAGTGACCAATAATCATGAGCAACAACTCCTCATCCAGTGCCCATCAGCTCCGTACACCCTGTCCACCACACTGCTGATCCTAGAGCGACGCTAGGGCTTGCGCCACTCCAGGCACGCTCTGATGTTGCGCCGATGGTACGGGCGAGTGCCGCCGAGACTCAGAAGACAATGTGCGAAGCTCGGCGGTGGACGGATGTGAGACCAGTATGTCTTGACGGTGGGTGCCGTTCAACGGCCGTGAGAACCGACAACCACGGAAACAACATGAAGCCAGAGTTCTGCCGGGGTAGAAGAGACGCGGAGAACGTTCTTGAGCCGATGACCTTGGGCCACGGCCGGCGGTCAACGGGCATTGTCATGTCAGCAATACCGGCTAGATGACCGTTCCGGCTCCTGTTTGGCCTACTTTACCTACGCCACCATCAGCGCCATCTGAACAACAGGCATAGCTCCGAGGCTGAGGCTCTTTCTTGGGCGTCAGCAAATAGAGGCGGGTCGGCCCACCCACCGCGATGCTCACGGCCCATTTCGCACGCAACCATGGTGTGCAAATACGCGGAGCTGTACAGTTTTTAGGTTGTGATTTCTAAATGTACTTGATAATCACTAGAGTCTCGAGCTACTTTGCCCCCGTACCGGAACCATCCGTATCAAGACGGTGGCGCTCTTGGTCGCCTGCAACATGGGGTCAGAATACGCATTGATGAGGTCCGCCGCTCCGTAGGGCCCTCCAATCATTGCTTCGGCGCATTTTTATCGCATCATTCATATAGTGGCCCTTCCCGTAGCTCAATATTGCGACAAAAAAATTATGGACATTTGTGTATCGGAACAGTTCCCAGCTTACACGTACAGTGTAGTTGGCAGTTGCGCCAATACGCAGTCATGATGGACTCGGATCTCACCCTCGGCCTCGTCAGGCTCGTAATTCTCCTTCTCGGAGTGTATGCTCTTTCCGCGTCCCTGTATGGCTCGATTTTCCCGAAGCGGCCGCCGTCCAAGGACGTGGAGACGACGAGCGAACCGCCCACGATAGCATCGCGGATACCCTATCTTGGCCATGTCTTTGGCGTCATGAGGACTGATTTCCAAGAATACTTTGGCCGACTCTCGTAGGCCTTTTTTTAACTTTTTTTTTCCCCGAAAATACCCTTGAAATTTGCATCACAGCTGACTTTTTTTCGCCCGCCGCAGAGTGAGCCAGCTTACACCGGTATCTGTGGCGCAGCTCGCCACGCAGCGAATCTATGTCGTGGACGCGTCCAATACGGAAATGACCAAGCTCTTTGCCCGCACACCGGGCCTGAGCCTCACGGCCGCGTTCTGGGTCGGCTTCGGCGGCTACCTGCGCTTCAACAAGGCCAGCGAGGAGAGCATGATGACGCCCGACAAGCACCCGTTCAAGAAGGAGCTGTCGCGGCTCCTCCGCGACGAGCTCATGACGATGGAAAAGGTGCAGGCGGCCGGTGCGCACGTGCAAAAGAAGATGGATGAGGCGTGGCAGCGGACGGTGCCGGATGAGGCGAATACCGTCCGGCTCGCGGAGTGGGTGTCGGACGGCATCGCCATGTCGGTCGGCTCGGTCATCTGGGGAGACAAGGGACCGTACGACGACCCCAAGTTTAGACAAAGCCTCAGGTATGTGCCTCTAGCTCGGAATATTGGTTCGACATGTCGCTTATAAAGTAGAACCATGCTCTGCGGACTGCGTAGCCTATACCACCCGCTTACGCTCTTTCTGCCCTCCTCGTTCCGCCGTGCGCGGGACTACGTACGGGCCGGGCTGAGCACGCTCGATGCGCCGCAGAGCCACGCCGAGGAGGCGCAAGACGCCTTCATCGGCAAGGTCAAGATTCTGCTCACAAAGTACCGGATCCCGCGCGCGGGCTGGAACGACTTTTCCTTCTCCCTCATCATGGGCGTGTTCCCCAACCTCATCAACATCACCACCTGGGCGCTGTGGCACCTCGTCGCCGACGCCGCGCTGCTGGCGGCCGTGCGCGGCGAGCTCGCCGGCCTCGTCTCGCACGCGGAGCCGCCAGGTCCCGGGCCGCGCAACACCGTCGTCGTCGACATCAGCCGCGTGCGCGACGCCTGCCCGCTGCTCATGTCCTTTTGGTACGAGCTGCTGCGGGTGTACGCGGCCAACTCCAACATCACGCGGCTGGTCACGCGCGACGCCGTCTTCGCGGCGGCCGGGCTGTCGCTGCGGCGCCACGCGCTCGTCGTGGCCCCGATGCGGCCGCACCAGCACAGCTGCCGCAGCTGGGGCGCCGACGCCGACGTCGTGCGCGCGGACCGCTTCCTCGGCGCCGACGGCACGGTGGACGCAGGCCGCGTCCGGCAGCTCATGGCGTTTGGGCTGCCGACGGTGCTCATGTGTCCCGGGCGCTACGTCGTGTTCAACGTGGTCATGCTCCACGTGGTCAGGACGCTGCTGACGTTTGACATGGCGCTGGCGCCGGGGGAGACGCTGAATGGAGGACGGGGGGTCTGCGGGCCGCGGAAGAGCATGGTGGCTGGGGTGCCGGAGCCGCGTCATGATCCGGAGCTGGTTCTGACGCGGCGCGCTGGTGTAGAGTCGGTGCATGTGACGTTTGAGAACCAGAAGCCTGGGTGGTAGTCTGGGTCGGTGTACAGTATGGCGCAATGGTTGGCTGGGAGCGTAGATTACAAACTGGATTTCACTAGAGGTTTTGTTTTCCTATGCCACAAGCTCAAAAGACTTTTCAACAATTTAAATAGGGATACGCGTGCATCGGTACACATCTTTTTCCTTTACAGCGTCTCGCCTCGGTCCAACAGCTCTACAAACTCGGCCATCTTCCGGGTCCTCGTCTCCTCCTTCTTCACCGTCTGCAGACGATGCAGGAACGGATACCGCGCCGCCCTGCTCAGGGCGTCAAACGCCGCGGCCGCGTTCGGCCGCGCCTCCAGCGCGGCGCGAAAGTCAGCCGGCACCTGCACCGTGGCGGACCCCGCATACGCCCTGTCCCACCGGCCGTCGGCCCTGGCGGCGTCCACCTCGGCGCGGCCAGCCGGCAGCATCCGGCCGGCGGCGGCCAGAGCGGCCACCTTGTCCACGTTGCGCTGCGACCACGCGGACCGGCGGCGGCGCGGGGTGAAGCGCTGCAAAAAGTACCGCGCGTCGAGGGCGTCGCGCCGCCGCTGGCCGTCGATCCAGCCGCAGCAGAGGGCTTCGTCAATGGCCTCGTCGTAGGTTACGGTGGGGATCGCGGTGCTCTTCTTGGCAATCCGGAGCCACACGCCCGGAGCGGTGCGGCCGGCCTGGATCATGTAGGCCCGGAAGGCGTGGCTGTCTGCGAAGGGGAGGGTGGGCATGTCCGTGGCGCTGCTGGCCTTGGTGGCGCCAGAACCGCGGATGGAGGACGGAGGTGATGAGGTTGTAGGTGGCTTGGGACGTTTTGAAGACTTGGGAGGCGATTTGACTATGGCAGGAGCTGCGGGTTGTTGTATCGCGGCTGAGGCGAGGCGTGAAGAACGGCGTGACATGGCGACGAGACGCGGCGCTTGAAGCTCTGCCAGGGATGAAACAACTCGGACTGGTTTGAACAACTGCATTCAATAATGTCAATAATGCGTAGGAGTGGAAAGGCTGGATATTTTTAGACTGATGACAAAGGCGCTTTCTGGGTTTTGTTGCTGGCGAGATGGCCAAGTTGAGAATGAGCATCATTTGGATTCACGATTCACGCTGCCTCTCTTAGCGCTTATTAGTTTTCAGGTGCGGCGACTTCAACCAACCACATTGCAGATGTAATACAAGCCAGAAGCAATAATTCGCCGCCGATTTTCTGAATGAATAAATCCTATGAGTAATAAATACACATGTTAACTCTTGTAGTTGGAGTAATGTTGATAGACCGGGCGATGTTACGTGGACGGGGGGAGCACGCTCTGGACAAATATCACAAGCAGAATGCACTGGCTGAAATTATGGTTAATTTAAAGAAACGGAGTTTTGGGAAGGTGATAAAGATGCCCCGCGTCAGCGTCTTCTATCAATTATTTTAAAAAATGAAAACAGAAATTATAAACAGTGCAGGCTCAAATTCAATATACACGTCTCCAACACTTGCCCCTCCAACACCAGCGTCCGACGTCACTCACATAAATTTGTAACAATACCGCCGTCTTGTGGGCTTACATACTAGTGTTGCAGGCAACGAACATGGTGGCTGACGATCAAAATGGCCGGCCGGATCTCTCCAAGCCCTTCAGCAAGGCCTACAAGGCCAGCGCCACGTCCGTCAACGACGACGAGCAGATTGTGTACGGCTATATCCATGTGACAATCGCGTATTAAATTCATGTTCGCTAGTCAACGTTTACACTAATCCAAGATACAATAATAAATTGCATTATTTTTGCAGAACTTGTTTATAATGGGAGATTAATCAGACAAATTCACGCTCAGAACATCATAGCCAGCCTGAAGCATTGATTTGCTGGGCATCTTGCCGAGGCGCATCAACTCCGAAGACTGCATGACGGCAGGATCCATGCCCATGCTTGCAGCAGCCACGACAGTGTCTCCGCGAGTATAATAGGCGATGAATTTGCTCTGCTCAAGTTCGCCGTGCAGGACCAAATCGTCCCATCCACCGACCGACGGGCTCGAGTTGCCACAGTACCGCAGTTGCGCGCCGAGAGCGGACCAGAAGATGGGAATAAAGGCCGGCGCCGGAGCTGCAGCATTGACAATGTGCTGGGCCGCCGAGCGCCCAGAGTTTTGCGCCACGTTCCAGTGCTCGACGCGCGTAAATTTGCCGTCGCCGCCGGGTCCGTTGTACGGATACGTCGCAATGTCGCCAACGGCGTAAACGTCTTTGAAGCCCTGGACCAGGAAATTCTCGTCCGTCTTGAGCGAGCCGTCTTCCTCGAGACGAATCACAGCGTTGTCCCGTAGGTACTCGGTAGCGGGCGAGACACCGACACCGAGGATCACGACGTCTGCTTCAATCTTTGTGCCGTCCTTGAGGTACACGGCGCCGACATTGGACGGGTTGTCGCCCGAGGGCTCTGCCTTGTCGACGGCAGCATTCATGTAGAATTTGACACCCTTGCTCTCGTATGTCTTTTGCACCACAGCACCGACTTCCTCGCCGAGGATCCGTTCCAGCGGCACCTTTTCCATGCCTATAATAGTCACCGTGTTGTCCTTACTAGTCGCATTTGCCACCTCCATGCCAATAAAGGACGAGCCAATGACGGCAATCTTCTTCCCCTTACTCTCGCCAATCGCCGCATTGATCCTCTTGACGTCGTGCGCGCTGCGCAGTGTGAAAATGTTGTCAAGCACCTTGAATCCCTGGAGGGGCAGGACGCGCGGCGTGCCGCCAGTGGCGAGGATGAGCTTGGCGTACTCGAAGCGACCGCCGCTCTTGGTGCTGACGGTGCGATTGGAAAAGTCTACGCCGTCCACCTCGCCGTCGACCCAGCGGACGGCGCCCGCCTCGAACCACGTCTTTTCACGCCAGGCGAGCTTGCTCGGGTCGGCGATGAGCGCCTTGCTCAACTTGGGCCGGTCGATGGGCAGGTAGCCCTCGTTGGAGATAATGGTAATGCCAGCATCGTATCCCTTTTCGCGGAGGCCTTCGACGGCGCCCATGGCGCCGGAGCCGCCGCCGATGATGACGACATTACCCTCAAACTTTTTCCTGGCGCCGGCATGGCAGGTAAAGTTGGGTGGGCGTCGGGAGCTCCTGATGGTGGCCTCGTCGCCGGTGACGTATACGGCGCCGTCGCGCTCGGTCAGCTTAAAGACGGGTAGGGCATCGAGGCCGGGCGCGCTCTCAATGTCTCCGGTGCGGGTATTGAAGCAGGCTTTCTCTATTAGCTTGTCGTCGTTTGGCGGATATGTATAGTATCACTCACCTCCGTGCCATGGACAGGTTAACCGGCCGGCGCCGGTCAGTACGCCTTTAACCAACGGAGCACCATAGTGGGTGCATTTGGAGCCTAGGGCTTGGATGTGGCCGCCAGCATTGACGAGGAGGACCTTGGCATTTTCGATTCCTTCAACCTCGACTTCTTGCTTGGAGCCGGGCGAGATGGAGAGCGACGTGAGGCCTTTGAGCTTGTACTCTTTGGCGGCCATGGTCGGGGTGTGAGAAAAGTAACGACTACTGGAAGCGGGATGGCGAAACGGGAGGGATTTGGCTAGCACGGCGACTGTTTGTGAGATGACGTTGCGAATCACAGGCTGAGGATGGAAAAGTCGGCGGTACATAAGTTACAGAGGGATGATGTTTATCAAGGACGAGCTTCGGTTGAGCTGCAGATGAGGGGTCAATTATGTACATAGAAGACCTTCCAAGTCGGCGATTACAGGTGGTGCAGCGAGTTCTGCATTGGGGCTAGGCAGGCGCATCAGTGGAAGGAGCAGCGTACTATTGGTGGTGATCTCAGGCGGGAGTGACAGTCATGATGCCATCAGAGGGGCATGACATTGGCGGGGTGCTCATTGGACAGCGCCGAGCTCGATTTCTGGGGAGCTTTTTGGAGGCGCTTCCGCAGGCAAGGGGCGGGTTTTAGTGGATGAAGTGCTCAACGATGACGACATGGAAGGCTGGGAGATCGAGTCGGGTGATTTTTTTGGAAATTGTAGGCGGCAGTAGGACGGTAAATGCGAAATCGAGAGTACCAACCTATGCAGCACCAGTTACCAGCTGCTTTGAGCGTGACGTGAGCATGTTCCGAGCGTTCCGAGGATCGTGATATCTGTCGAGGTAACTGTCATTCGTAACCAGACTCGCTAACTTGGGGCTCTAGATATATCTTCAGGTATAACTACACTTATTAATAACCACGAGGCTGGGATGCACTGGCTAAACCTTGCTGGGGTTCATGGTGGATTGAGCGAGCAGATTGGGCAGGACGATATCGATTTCTGCCATCGAGACCCTGTCGGGACAAGGATGGACGAATAAAAATTTGCACCAGGAGGTTGGTGTAGGATTGGGCACAAACGCATACGAAAAGTACGGTGTAGATGCATGATGATGCAGGCAGATGCAGCTGGCGATGGCAAAACACCAAGATACAGGGAATCGACACGACAAGCAGGCAGTTAGCAGGCAGTTAGCAGGCAGTTCGTCCCCCGCAGCCAAGCAGCCACAATAGTTCTTCCCTGCAGCCAACACTGTAATACTCCAAAATGCAGCCGGATGCACCATTCCATCACTCGTCAAGCGTGAAGAATAAGAATGCGAATTCCACCCTCAGCATCTAATTATTCGTACAAATTTTATTTCTAATTACCTTTCCGCCCTAACCCAGATGCACCCCACGCGACCGCCCACCTCATTTAGCTGAGCGACTCACGAATACAGGCTTACAGCGGGCTTTCGCGAAGCCACAGCAAGGCGACAGCGCCTCAGACCGCTAAACCCGTCAGACCCCACCTCCCCACCAAAGACCCTGCACGGCGCGCCGAACAGCCTGTACCTCGCCGCTACAGCGACTTGCTCGCCTTGAACGTGGCAGGCCATGTAGAATCGAGTACCCTCGCTGCCAAACTGCCGCTAACGACAAGTTCGTGCTGTCGAGCCTCCTCGTCTTGCCCAACCTCGCCAGCCGCTGAAACATAACATGTCAAAGCTGTTGGCTTCCTCGCTTCTTCCCTTTTCGCATCCCTTTTGTTTGATTTCATAACAATCTCTTGCAACGACCTCTGTATCTGTTCTTTTTCTTTCCGCCAACACAGACTTCCTCGGACCTACGCCCATCCCGGCTTCGACCACGATCGCTTCACTTCGTACCATCGTCACCGCATACAAACGCCGCCAGCTTCACCAAAGCGCATTCCCTCGCCCTCCCTTGGCAATATCATATTCCACTATCCGCCCGCCCGTCGTCCCATTTTGCAGTCCACTTTCATCCGCAAATCTTACCAGCTTATTCTCAGTACCATGGTCGTCCCGCGGCCAGTCCACATCCGCTTCGTCACGCCGCTGTTCCCGGCTCGATCAGGATAAGCGATAACGACGCCCTCATTTTTCTTTCGGCACTTGCATTGTCTTCCAAGACATTCAGTCATTCGACCGCGACTGCGCTCAGCTGCTCGAGATGACGCCGCCGTCGCGCAGGTCGACTCCCGTACCCGACGGTCGCCGTTCCGCGACACCCTCAGCCACGCTCCAGTGCTGCTGTGGTCGCGCCCACCTCTGCCCAGCCCTGCGAAGAAATACAAACATCATCGAAGCCGTCGAAAAAGACGCGCATACGGCTGCGCAACTTGGTCAGGTAAGAATTTTGATATCATTTTTTTTTTATCTTCTCATTTCCCTATCGCGTGTCCCACGTCCACTGTGGCTTTCTGCCTTGGCTCCAGTGCCTCGACCACTCCCCCTCCACATGCATTCGTCGCCATAATTCACATTCCAGCCCGACCATGACCATCCAATACGCGCCTCATACAACCCTCCTTTTTGCCCTCTTTCCAGCTTTTTCAAGCTAAGCTAGCCATCCTCAGCGTCGCACTCTCGGCCTGCTGAATCAAATCGTTCCCCGCGCGGTTCCAATCAATATATATCCGTGGTTTTTTTGCTTCTGCTGCGAGCTCGGCTCGTCCTCCCTCAGCTAGCCACGCGCTCGGCTTGGCCGTTACATGCCGTCCGCCATGTCTTTACCTGTTTCACCCATATTTCTTCTGGCTTCTCCTTAGTTTCTATTATTCTGCACCGTGTCTCTCTTGATCTTCATCATTATGGATTCGCCTTGTCGCGCGCTCTAACCGCACAATGCTGTGAATCATCACGCTAACCGTCACACAGGCTCTCCTCGCCCGTTACGAGGCCTACAAGGCCGACGCCGAGCGAGATCGTCTCGAACTTCTTTCACGCATCACCCGCCTTGAGATGGAGAATCGTATGCTCGAAGCAGCCAACGCTGCCAAAATCCAGGAAAATCGGGCCCTCCTAGACCAGCTCGAGACCCTCAATACCACTGTCTCCGACGCCGACGCTAGAATAAGACTGCTCGAGACCAATCTACTTTCTTCAAATCATACAGTACGCCGTCTTGAGAGCACTGCTGCCCGTGCTAGCGATGCTGAACGTCACCTCGCCCTGCTCGAGCAGGAGCAGGACCACCTGCTCGAGGAGCTTCGTTCTGCTAGGGAAGACGCCCGCTCCCACTCCCTGCACTTTAAAGAGGCTCAGCGCGGCGTGACTGATATGCAGGACCAGCTCGATCGTCTGGAAGCCGAGGCGTTACAGGAACGCGAACGCCATGCCGAAATTGTCCAGCGCATGGAACGGCAACGCGAGGTTGAGAAGCAGCTCGACGCCGCCGCTGGGCGCCTCAAAGGCGCTGCTGCCACTCGCTCTCTACAAGGCGATGGAAAAAACAACAAAATTGTTGGCCACTTCGTTCGCGACCTCCTACAAGATAACGCCAATCTTCAGCTCGGGGTAGCCGAGCTTAGAGAGCTCCTCCAAAATTCCAACGACGAAGTACAGTTGTTGCGAGAGCAACTGGTGTACCAGCAACCTATCGCAGAAGAACACTTTACCAGCCCTTCATCTACCCTCAAAGCCGAGCTTGAGGGTAAGCTGGACGACCGCCCGCATCACACTGGTCCAGCGCTCTCCCAAGAGCTGCACATCCACCACCACTATCACGCTCCACCTACGCCGAAGCCTTCAAAAAAGCTGAAGAGAACCAAGACAGGTCTACTTCCCGTGGGCATTTGCACGCCCCGTACATCCCTTTCAGCACCTGGAACGCCGCCGCAGGCCACCTCTCAGTGGGGTGGGCGTTTGCCTTCCTCGCCAACGGCTCCGGCTCTCTTATCTCATGCCAAAAACGAAGACTTAACTCCCACCACCTCGAAACCACCGCCAGTCTGGACCGCGCTATCGCATCTGCAATCCGAGCTCGACTACTCGTCCTCTGTGCCCAGTTCGCCACTAGCCAACCACAAGGCAGTATTTGATTCAGATCCGCCCGCTGTCATGGTATCATCACCTGTCACGAGTTTGGACCCATTATCACCACCCTGGCTGGCCTCGCACGCCAAACAGGCTTCTCTTACGTCGTCGCATAGTTTTCAGTCGCTCGCCTTCCTAGACTCGGAGCCAGACCTGCCCCCATTGCCACGGGAGCCGATTCGCGAGGAGGATGAGTCGAGGGCTGCTAGGGGCTCTGGCGAGCCGTCATCGGACGGTTATTATACGGATCACATGGAGAGAGGCACCACCAGCATCATGCCTCGTCGCAATTTGCGTAGGACCGCCTCACACGAGTCGATAATGTCACTTTCGGGAGGCCTTGATATCCACACGCTGCAATCCCGCCCGAGCCAGATGACCCTGCGTCCCCTAGGGGGCGCCGACGCTGTTGTCACTGGCGTTGTGGCCCAGCCTACCTTATCACGTTCCTCCAACAAGCGAAGTGATGTCGCTCTTCGCGACAACTTTGCCGGCCTCATGTCGCCCCGCACTATCTCTTCGCCGACGAGTAGCAGCCAGCGCAAAATCCGGGGCTGGACAGCTTGGCGGCCCTGGGGCGGCAGTGACCCTGCGGAAGCTGATGCGTCATGCCCTCAGCCTGCAGCTGCCGAAGCAATCTCCGAAGCACCTGTGACGCCGCAAAAAAAGGAAAAGGAAAAAGAAAAAGACTCCGGCCGATCACCCGGCATCAACCAACCTGGGTCTATCCCAGGATTTCAAGAATATTGGGCATCCCAAAAACGAAAGGGTGCGCCCGCACAAGTCACTGCAACAGCCGTTGACCGTGACGCATTGAATGAAGGCCTTGAAGGCCTGACCTAGAGAAGAGCACTATTATCACAAGAAAACCGCCACGCCAGATGGCTTTATTAATGACGCTACAAGAATGGTATAGAAAGCGGGATTTTGATTACGTTTTCGGTTGCATACATTTACGGAGTTTATTACAGCATAATGCGGTTGGTTAGCATGTTGAAATTCGGTTTGGATGCACATTGGGCGTTTTAGCACGCGATACCCTCGGCCGCACTAGGTCGTTTCGTTTTTTTGATGAATACATATGATTAAAAGTTTTTGGCTGTACATGTTTTTGTCTCACGGCGTGTTGAAGAGTGAGCAATGCGACCCATTACCGTGAGCAGGACTTGTGGTGCCCGGTCTACAGCAGGCTAGAATCTCGACGAGGGATATTAATGAGGATGATGCGGAGTTTCAAACAGCAGAATGTTTATCAACGCTTTGCAAGGTATATATATCAATCTGAGATACCGAATACGAAGATGTATTTCAGCTATTTCCAGCACGGCCGCATCACGCAACATGATTCAGAAAGGCCAGCACACGCGACCGAGACACTGTCATGGGTGTCTCATCGTCTCTCCCGATCCAAGACACGCATTGTTTTTTTTTTCAGTCTCGCAGTAGTTACTCGTAGACGGCAGGACTGGTATGTTACTGGTAATGAGCCCATTTTACAATCAGTCTGCAAAGAGTCGACTCTTGTAGATCACATAGCTAACCACCACATTTCGAGTGGCAAACTCTGATGAAGCAAAGAAGCAGGAACTTTGAGAAAATTCTTGAATATTGACTCCAGAATAAAAACCCCATTCTCGTGCGAAGCAGTTCTCAAGTCCATCTACAATTCATCTCCGAAACACAAAAGACGCAACTACCAACACTCTACATCTCTCCATGTCAATCACACACCATCCACGCAACGATGCAAGCGATACAAGGGCATAGAAGCTGGTCGCGAATCCGGACTTTCCAGTGATCCGGAAGAGGCAAGTAGCACGCGCACTGCCAACGGATGTTATGCATGTTTAAGTTACCAGCAGTGTCCAAGAGAGGCAACAAACTCACGCGCGTTGGGCCAACGGTGGTACATGGTACAACCAGAGAAAATTTCAAGAAAAAGGTCACGTCTTCCAAGTCTTATAATAAATGTTGTTTTAAGTCATAGTCCGGATATTTCGTGTCAATCTATTATGATGCCTTGAAGGTGACAAGATGACGTTACTAGCGCCTCCAGCAATCAGACGCACTACCGCCGGTTGGCTCATTTCATGCGGGCCCTAGAGGTGAATGTACTATATCAACGGTGTTGATGTTGTGGGCGAAGCTTTGGACAGTCTGAAAAAATACCCAAACACAGACTCCCGGGTAAAACCACGCCATGTCCGACAGCTTACAAGAGTATCATTAGGCTGAGGATTCCTTGCTCTTGGTAACTCTTCACAACATGCAAACGCGGTTGGTAGCTGTGCTTCTCACTAGATATGAAAAAAACGCCTTGAAAACGACATGTAAAATGGAGAATGAATGCGATTCAAATCGAGTCCCAGACTAAAATGGTGTATACGCCGGTAGCTATCAAAATGAGACCCCTCCGTTTGCCTTCCACGGCAGCGGGTTCGCTCCGCACAGCTTCAAACAGCCACCGCAATGGTGTAAGTAATATTCACAAAAATGCACAACAAACCCTGAAGAGCCTTTTCTCTTCCGCACATGTTTTCTACTTGAAAAGACAGCTCAGCAAGAGTTCGCGCCCACACCACAAAAACCACGAGCATCCAATCAAACGCCCCGCCAAAGCCAAATCTGGCCAAAACACGCCTCCTTTGATCTCTCCACGCACCACATCTCCAAACCTGGCCTCCCCGGCGGAACGGCCCCCAAAAGCTTTCGCCTGCTTGCAACACCAAACCAAAAGAAGGAAAAGAAAGGGACAGACGTTTCAACCATGGCGCTGAAGGACAGGAAAGGCGGCGCCATACCCAAGCAGGTAGCCAAGTCTTCCCATGCGGCAGCAGGCGGCGGCCCATCCACGACCATGGTGCAGGGCGCGTCCATCCTCATCATCCTGCAGCTCCTCTCGCGCCTCATCACCTTTGTCGCCAACCAGCTGCTGGTGCGGTACCTGACGGCGCCGCTGCTCGGGCTGTCGACGCAGCTCGAGGTGTACTACCTGTCGGTGCTCTTCTTTGCGCGCGAGAGCCTGCGCGTGGCCATCCAGCGGCAGGGCAGCATCAGCGACGGCGGTAGCGGCGTCAAGGCGCCGCCGCCGCCGCCAGAGGACGAAGCCGCGAGCAAGGAAACGGCAATGGAAAAAATCACCGCGAAAAAGACGACGACGACGACGACGACGCCAATGGACCCCGTCGAGTGCCAGGCCCTCATCAACCTCGGCTACGTGTCCATCGCGCTCGGCACCGTCACCAGCCTCGCGCTCGGGTGCATGTACCTCGCGTACGCGAACCCGGCGACGCGCGCGACCCCGTACATGGCGCTGTCGCTGCAGGTCTACGGGCTCGCCGCCATGGTGGAGCTGCTGTCGGAGCCGTGCTTCGTGCTGCTGCAGTCGGCCATGCTGCTGCGCACCCGCGCCGCCGCCGAGTCTGTCGGCGCGTGCGCGCGCTGCCTCGTCGTCTTCGTGGTCGCCGCCCACGCCGCCCGCCGCGGCCGGGACGTCGGCGTCATGCCCTGGGCGCTCGGCCAGCTCGCCTACGGCGCCGCGCTCGTCGTCGTCTACGTCTCGTCCGGGTGGCGCATCGGCGCCCGCGTCGGCTACTCGCTGCTGCCGCGCCGCATCCAACAACAACACACCGACACCTCCTCCTCCTCCTCCTTCTTCCTCGCCCGCTTCTACCAGCCCACCATTCGCCTCGCCGGCAGCATGATGGCGCAGAGCCTCGTCAAGCACCTCCTGACCCAGGGCGACACGTTTCTCATCTCCCTGCTCGCCTCGCCCGCCGTTCAGGGCTCGTACGCGCTCGCCAACAACTACGGCGGGCTGCTCGCGCGCCTCCTGTTTCAGCCGCTTGAGGAGTCGACGCGCACGTACTTTTCCAAGCTGCTCGTCAAGCCGGAAAAGACGCCGTCGGCGGTCCGCGAGGCCAACAAGAGCCTTCACACGCTCCTGCGACTGTATTTGCTCTTGTCTGGCTTCGTCGTCAGCATTGGGCCTTTTGCTGCGCCACCGGTACTGCGCTTCATTGTTGGAAGGCGCTGGGATGGCTCCGGTGCGGGCGACGTGCTCGCAATGTACTGCCTCTATGTGCCCTTCTTGGCCGTCAATGGCCTGACGGAGGCTTTTGTTGCCAGTGTTGCCACCGAGGCCGAGGTCCACCGGCAGTCAGTCTGGATGGGCTTCTTCTCTGCCATGTTTGCGGGCTCGGCGTATCTATTCATGGGCGTCCTGGGGCTTGGAGCTCAGGGCCTCGTCTATGCCAACATTGTGAATATGTTTTGCCGCATCCTCTGGAGCCTCCTTTTCATCAAACGATATTTTACGCGCTACAACGATAACTTTTCTGTGCGCAAAATTATCCCCGACGAGACCATTGCCGTCTCCGTCTCTACATTCGCCGGCCTATATCAAACCGGCATAGTCAAGGACATCGACAAGACACCCATTACCGCCATCATCATGATCGGTAGCTCCGGAGTGGTTTTACTCCTGTTGATGTAAGTGTTTCTATTGCCCCTATATAATTCCGAACCCAAACTTTTCATATGCTGCAGATGAAATTGACACAAATATTAATAGATTGTTCATGGAAAAGGACTTTCTCCTCCAATGCGTCGACTCTCTCGGCGAACCTCCTAAAGAAGGAGATAAGGAGGGCTCCAAAGAAGTTTCCAAGGAAATCTCCGAGGATAGCTCCAAGGATGGTGCTAAGGACTCTAACAAGAGCTCTAAGAAATAATGTAAAAAAATGAACACAGGAACCCAATAACTCCACATAAATAAAACAAAGATAGCATCAACAACAGTTGACAGATTTTCCCTAGTCAAAAGTGATCTTGGTCGACTTTTGGTTCATGTCGACATCCTTGAAAAAGGATCCGTACATGTCGTGCGTCTTCTTCTTGACGGTCGTGCCAAACTTGAGCAGTTCGTCCGGCACCGGCTGGTTGGCACCCTTGAGGATGTTGACGAGCCTATAAGTATTAGCATTTGCCATTTGCAGTGAAGAAACTGTAAACTCACGAGCCAGAGTGGGCCTTGTCCTGCGCCGTGAAGAATGTAATGGCATTACCAGTCTTGCCAGCGCGACCGGTACGCCCGATTCTGTGGACGTAATCCTCAATCGTCAGAGGGAACTATACAGTTAGCAAGACATACGAGTTTATTGCCATCGAGCGTGCACGTACAGTAACGTTAATAACGAGCTTCACCTCGGGAATATCCAAACCACGGGCGGCAACATCAGTGGCGACCAGAACAGGAGTGACACCCTGCTTGAACGCCTCGAGCGACTTTGTACGCTGCTCCTGGCGCAAATCGCCATGGATGCCACCGACATTGATTCCCTTGCGGCTGAGAAACTGTTCTATGCGCGTGGCCTCCTTCTTGTACAGGCAAAACACCAAGATGCGGTCATTCTTCTTGCTGCCCTGATGATGCTGCTTCACCAGCTGCAGCAGGCGGAACTCCTTGTCATGGCCCTCCATGACCTCGACGCTCTGCGTGATGCGCGTGTTGGCCTGCAGCTCGACGGAGCCATTCTCCGTCTCCTTGCCGCCGGAGCCAATGGTGATCTTGACGGGCTCGACCATGAAGGTGTTGGCGAGCGACTGCACCGAAAACGGCCAGGTGGCGGTGAACATGAGCGTCTGGCGCTTCTCGCGCGGCGGGCAGCTGCCGAGGATCTGCTTGATGTCCTCCTCGAAGCCCTTGTCGAGCATGCGGTCGGCCTCGTCGAGCACGACAAAGGCGGAGCCGCTCAGGTCGACCGTGTCATCCGACATGAAGTCCCGGAGACGGCCGGGCGTGGCGACAATGATGTCGGCGCCGCGGCTCAGGAGCGCGCGCTGGTCGTCCTTGGAGGCGCCGCCGTAGAGGCACACGCAGTGGAGGCCCGCGAGGGCCGCGAGGGCGCCGAGCTGCTCGTGCGTCTGCATGGCGAGCTCGCGCGTCGGCGACACCACGACTGCCTTGGTGCCACGCTTGCCGAGGGCGGCAACGGCCTGCACGCACGGCAGCGCAAATGCCATGGTCTTGCCGGAGCCCGTCTCGGCCACACCGACCACGTCGCGGCCGGAGAGGGTAAAGGGCCAAGAGGCGGCCTGGATCGGCGTGGGGATTTTGTAGTTGGCCAAGGGCGAACCCTTCTTGGTCAAGAGATCGGTCGGCGGGAGGAAGGCGAATTCAATAATCGGTCGCAGCGTGGGTTCAATCGTCCTGGGATCGGTCACTAGAATCTGGTTCGTCTTGAGGAAAGCGTCAATGTCGGCCTGTGCCACACCGCTGAGGCCAGCGGTCTGTTGGTAGGCACTAGATGAGGTCGCGGCGGTCACGGCGGCGGCGACCTTGTTCTTCTTTTCTTTCTTCTCTTTCTTCTCCTTCTTTTCTTTCTTGGGCTTAGGCGCTTCCTCCTCCTCCTCCTCTTTCTCTTCAACCACAGGCTCGGATTCCTCCTCGGCCTGTTGCTTGGCCTTCTTGGCCTCCTTGAGCTTCTTCCTCTCTTCCTTGCGGGCCTTCTTCTGAGCCTTGGCCTCCGCCTCGTCTTGGTCCTCCATGACCTCGTCAGAGTCGGCAGAGGCGACTTCAACCTCTTCGGTCTTGGGCTTCTTTTCCTTCTTTTCCTTCTTATCCTCCTTCTCTTCCTTCTTTTCCTTCTTTTCCTTCTTTTCTTTCTTCTCCTTCTTCTCCTTCTTCTCCTTCTTTACGTGCGCCTTCTCGGAGAGTTCTGCATTGTCGACGGTCTTGGACTTTTTGATAGGACGGGTGGTCTCCTCGCTGTCAGCGATGGAGTGCTTAGAGGCGGCCATGTTCGTGAATTGCGCAATAAAATGCGCGATTGAAACTGGAATTTATGAGGGAACAATGCCTGAGACAAGAAAGGCTGCCTTGCTCAATGTCGCCTGATACTCTTCCAAGCCTACTTTTTTTCTGCCAGGAAAAAATCTGGCGGTCGGCAACGGCGTTCCAATGGAATGGTTGTCCAGAACGGGAAAAGTTATCTTATCGATAGTAGAGGGGCATTGTTGAGCCACAGGTACAGCCACATCTGGCGCTACTCCAACAGTGCTACTACCCCAGAGGTTGTTGGAGGCGACTAAATAGCGGTCGAAGGTTCTTTGTTCTGTCTATAATTATATAGTCAACGTCATCAGACGAGCCGCAAGGGAATTTTCTGCTGTCGAGTGTGTTTTATTTATTGCAGAGTAAAGTTGCATGTACTGACCAAGCAGTGCCGTTTCCCCCAGCTGTTGAACCCCGCTAGACATCCACCTAAGCTACCTATCTGAACTACCGCCGGTTGAAAGTCAACACCATCCCGCTCATTGCCCACCACGACATTTCGCAGACCACCGGATAACAGCTACTTGCGCCCGAACCCCCTCCCAGTGATATCAAGGTTTCGAGTACTGTTCGTTTGCACAAAGCAATCGACTATCCGACATCATGCCGCCCGAGAAACCAACCAACGAGAAGGACAAGAGCAAGGTGCACAAGCTGTCGCTCAAGGGCAGCTCCAGGCTCGTCGCCGAATTTGTGAGCATTGCGTTGCGCCGCCTGCCCTTCATCACTGAAGCTAACCGTGCAACCAGTTCCAATATTCTATCCATACGATTCTGTACGAGCGAACCAAGCACGCAAAGTGCGACAAAGGCTGATAGAAGCAATAGATTCCAGCGAGGCGTATATCCAGCAGAAGACTTTACTGCGTAAGACAGAATGTGGCCGAAGCAGCAACGAACAGTTCAGCTAAACTCTGGCATAGCGTCAAGAAATATGGCCTGAATATGTTAGGTGCGCCTGCCTAATCGAACTCGATTTCACTCGCCCAGCTAACGAAGTTCCAGTCTCGTCGGACGACCAAGTAAAAGCATACATCAAGAAGATCATGTCCCAGCTCGACAAGTGGATGGTGGGCGGCAAGATTTCGCGCCTCGTCATCGTCATCACCGACAAGGACACCGGCGAACACGTCGAGCGCTGGCAGTTCAACGTGGACATCACCACCCCGCCCAAGCGATCCAAGTCTGCTGCTGCTGCGGCCACCGCCGGCGCGAATCAAGAGAATACCGCGGGCGGTGCTGCCGCCGCGCCCGCGCCGGAAAAGACGGAGCCGGAGATCCAGGCCGAGATTGCGGCCATTTTCCGCCAAATCACCGCGTCCGTCACCTTTTTGCCGCAGCTGAGCGGCGACTGCACCTTTAACGTGCTCGTCTACGCCGACGCCGACAGCGATGTCCCCGTCGAGTGGGGGGACTCGGACGCCAAGGAGATTGAGAATGGCGAGCGCGTGCAGCTGCGCGGATTCAGCACGGCCAATCATCGTGTTGACACGCTCGTTAGCTATCGATTGGGTGACTAGGATGGCGGGCCTCCCTGCACGTTTCATGAGGAAGCATTCTAGTGACATGGTTCGGCGTTGGGTCTTTGCAATATTGCAGTAATCAAGTTCAATGAATGACCAGTAAAGGAAGAAGGTGCATTGTACTTCAACAGTCTACCTCCGTCTAATCCGGACCGCCAGCTCAAACGCGCCTCGTAATGCAACATGCCATCTCGTAGCAACTCCCGCCAATATGCTCCTTTTTTCTTTAACATCCCTTCTTAAACATGTAAACAACCGTCTAGCACCTCGAAAAAAAGTATACGTAGGCAAACTTGCGCATTTCCTCCACCTCGTAGGCCTCAACTACCTTTTCGTCGTTGAAGAGGACCCATGTAGATTTGGTGGTATCCTCAGGGTTGGGCTTGCGGAGAAATGCGACGTAATGACTAGAAAGAATCAGCAACACGTCGCAGGTTTTCACGTAAAGTGGGAATAGACTTACCCGGCATGAATGCTGGTTCCCTTGTGACAGACAATGGACTGGAGCTGGAAGCGTGCGGGCAACGTCGCTGTCCCAGGAGATTCCTGGGGAGCAGTAGATACTGCGCTTGTGCCCTCCTCATCATATTCACCTTGGTCATCGGGATGGCTAAATAACCACTCGACAGCCCGTTCCATATCTCCTCCCGTCTCCCTGAGAGCTTTCTTGGCTTGAGGGGCAGCGAAACCCATGGCGCCCAACATCTCAATCTTCTCAGGGTCGGCTGTGGACGCGCCGTCACCAGACTGCTGCTCGGTAACAAGCGGTGCATCAATATCGTGATCTTCCATGTGACCAAATAGCCATTCCATGGCAGCATTCGCGTCAGAGTTACCTGTGGCGTGAAGTGCCTTTTCGCAGCGGTTGCGAGGGAAACCCATAGCTTCAAGCTGCGAGAGGGCGGCCTCATCGGGAACAAACGATGGCGCTTGTGTCTTGGGTTCGTCTGGTAACAGTTCCTCGCCTGGCTGTTGTCCCTTTGCCAAGTAGCTATCAAGAAGGAAGGACTCGTCTGGTACAATGACAGGAACGTCGACTTTGACCGGAACCCAGTTAACGACCGCCATCTTTCTTGCATTGACTACCAGTGTTTCAGGAAGCGTCTTGAAAAGGGACTGCTTAGTGAATCCATCTTTGCTTCCGCACGCTGCGCAAGTCAATTCGACCTTTTCAGCACCTGTGAAATTGTCCAGACATTCCTTCAAGGTTACAGGTTTGTACGCGTCAGGTTGAGCATCCTCTCCCTCGACGGCTGGAAGCTTCTCGAGAGGGACGTCAATGAAGATGCCATCTTGCTCATTGGTGCTGTACTTGACCTTGTTGCAAGACAAACACTGCAGTCTTTGTTCCAAGACAAATCGAAATGCTCTTGTGGGATCCACAAGCGCATCGTGATGCTTGGATCTCGTGACAATCTTGAAAATATGCTGAAGAAATTCGAATGCATCCTGTTGACGCATAGTCGAAAATTCAGCGTGCCCTCGTCCAATCAAATGTTTAAGCATGGCGGGAGCGAGGCCCTTTTGGTGTGCTATGCCGTTCTCATTCACCAGTGCAGGATCTGGCTTTGAGTAGCGACCCGACCAGAGACCGTCGGCTACCTTTCGCAGCTGTGTTTCAAGATCACTGGCTGGATCATCGACAATGGGAAGATCGTCGTCAGGGCGGTAGTAGCGATCGCGGAAGGCGGGCATGTCCATTAGGCATTGCATAATGCTCGCCATATAGCAGCTATTCCCCAGATTCTTTAGACCAGTGAGACCAGGCCCAAAAAGCGGCTTGAGTTCCTTGCCGTCTTCAGTGGTCATGCTAAAGTCCCAGCGCAGATTTTGTTCTATCTGCATTTCGGTCAAGCTCTTTTCGGTCTTTTCTCTGTCGGCAAGGATGATGCCCCAGTGTGCAAGGTGCGGGCCTAGATTTTCATCGACGCGCTCGTCATCACATCTGTAACAATATATATCCGCAGTACCCTCAGGGGTAATAGAGCCCAACTTGACGGCGACGCCGTGCGATGACTCGTTGGAATGCGCCAGCGCGTGAGAGTTGCCATCGACACCACCCATCTGCTTCCTGCCGCAGCCGAGATTGCCACACTCCAAGCAGAGCCAGAGGTTTTCTGTCAAGTCACAAGCATAGCAGTGGCCAAGGGCTCCTTGCTCAATCTTTCGAGGTTCGGACTGCTGCATCAGAAGAATGTGCTCGCAGCTAGTAAGCTCCTGTTCCCAAGCCTTGACTTCCTCGCTGCGAGAGAACGTGTTTGCCTTCACCACACCTGAGATGACAGGAGCTAATTTAGGATTCGCGACGTCGAGGTCAAGATTGCACTCGAGGCACCGCGCTTTGAGAGCTGTATCGTATCGGTCTTCGTCCGTCTCGGCGGCGATAGCCAATTTCGACATTTTCGCGGGTGGCTCATCGCGAACGACTGTCTTTCGGGTTCGGCGAATGTTTAGAGTAAGAGGATGCGATCGGAGCACGCTGTGGAGGCGGTGGTGCGCACGATCGCCAGCGCAGCCGCCGTTGAAGCACTGAAGGCAAACATCGAGACCATCGGCGTCGTCCTATCACGGTTAGCTGTGCCTCAAGGTGAAGAAACAGACGTAGCTTACAATAGAGTCAAAACATTGTGTGCAATCTTCCCGGTATACAGACTGGGACGGGTTCGGAGGGCTAATACCTGTATGCCAAGTTAGCAACGAGCTCAGCTCATCAGAAGCGTGACACGGCTTACGGGCTGCCTCCAAATGAGGGCAAGCCATCTTGTTGTGAAGGAGGTGGCCGGAGCTTTAGATTTGGATGTCAACCCCAAGACTCGCGTATCGGAAGCAGAAGACTCTAGAAAGGTGATGGTATTATTTCGCGGTCAAGCTGTGATGCAGTTTCTCAATTTGCTACCCGCCTCTAGCTGTCAACACCAGCACGGGGAAGGCCCGCTATGACGGAGGCGGGGCGCTCGGCCTGGTGCCTGGAGGGGCGACTCTGGCTGCCTGGCACAGTAATAGTGTATGTACCTACATAGCACCAGGGGGACAAAATAACCCGCGGTTAGGAACATTAACCTCTTCCTTGTTCTTACTATTCTCTTACTACTCATTAACTTCTTTCTCTTTCTAATTTTCCTTATTTTTACTATCCCTCTTGTTTTACTTCCCTTACTTATCTATTAAAAAGGCGACCTGTCTAGTACCCCGTTAAAAAACAGGCCTTACTCGCGTACCTTGTACCTACAAACCCACGTCGAGCACTGTACCTCGGCACTGTAAAAGGACTGTTGGACCACTGTAAAAGAGGAAGAGACCACTGTAAAATATCTCTGTTTGAACCATTTGGAACCTGCAAGCCACGGCGACGGCGACCATACAGTAACTTCCCACTGCCATCCTTTCGCAAGATTCAAGGCCTTGCATGTATGCATATCAATGAACTTGGCGTTACAACTCAAGATTGACACTACTCAAGATTGACACTACTCAAAAGTCTCCTGCGCGAGACGGTCATACACAGCGGTAGTCGAAGCCTCTCATCCCACGATGCCTCATATTGCGATCAGCCTCCATGGCTCCCATCTAGGATAATCCAATGTATCATTGTCCGCGCATCGATGTCTTGTGAACGACTTACAAGGCCTTTGTTCACGTCTGCGATCTGACACTGATATTGCTTTCCTGAAAGACAGCGATCACAAACAAATCAGAGCGCATGGAAATACCCCAGTGGAGGTCAAAAGAAACGAGTTCCCATCGCACGGGCACTTCTCTTCCGAGAATCAATCACCGTATTTGATGTCTAGTGGCCTCGATCCGATGACGCGGGACACTGTACTGACACGCGTCTTTGACCCAAAGGGACTTGTGCGGGAGCGTGTCGTGATAGTATTACCCTCCTAGCTACCCACACCACCACGAACAGACTGGAGGTGGCCGACAATATTGCAGCCTTAGACGCCGAGGGCTATTATCGGACAAGGTCCCCCAGAGGCAGTTGATCAAGGATCCACGGCCTATACACGCAACGATACTGCGAACATTGCGAGTGCGGTGCCCCAAAGGTAGTTTTAAATGGATCGATCGGGAGACGTCTCTGGGAGCCTTTTCTCGAATCAAGAGCTTTCCAGCGTTTCCCGCTATGAGGCTTGGTAGTCACACATAAACACTCGTCGAGAAGACGAGCCTGAGGGTTGAGTTGACGCGGAGTGGCTCCATTATGGGGTAGTTTTATCTCAAAACTGGACGACTGGTTGCACATAGTGAGCCGGCATCAATATTGTGACATATAACAAAAGCTGACGATTGTAGTACCACCGTGCTGCACGGACTTACTGTGGACATACTGCCAGGCCTAAAAGTTGGGTTGCGTGGTTGAACTGGGAGGCATGAATACTGAGCAAGATTGATATGATTGCTGACGTTAATTCTGGTCGGAACCGCGGGCCTTATCGTGGTTGATGGAGTGGACCTATCTGTAGTTCCTGGTGAAACAGTGCGCAAGGCTGTTAGAAGCGTAACATAGAATCTGTTTCTTTTTGATAGTTCTGTGCGCGAGAACTTCGACCTTGTAGAGAAAAAGACGGAAGCTAAGATTGAGACGGCGCTGCGTTGGTCTCTGGCTAGTAGTGATAAGGGCCACGTAGAATAGTAGGCAGCTAGAAATCAAGTTCTGGATTTGACAAGGTGAAGATTTGTGCTTGTCCCATGAATAGTCACAGCTGTTTGCCTGGCCTGGGCGATGCTATAAGACAGTCGGCTAGTGCGCGTGGAATAACCAACCAGCTGGTACGCAAACGCGTACAAATGGATAAGGATCTCCAATTAACACATCACAGCATGACTTTGCTATAGACTTTGCTACATATCAGTAGATTCAGGACATTGCCGATGGAGAGTTCAAGCAGTCCACCGTGGTCATGGGGACACACCGGCTATCAGGCATCCAGAGTTTTGACCGTGTAGCTCTAGTACTAAGCGTGGGCGAATTGGTAGAGTATGGACAACCGGATGAGCGGTTGGGGAACTCAGGGACTTGATGGGCGGCTCTAGTGGGGAGGCGCGCGATTGTACAAACTTGACAATGTTTTTTGCGGGTTGCAGGTGGTGCAGTGTATGCAGGATGGGGATAAGATAGAGTAATATTCCAGGTAATATAAAATGACCACAGAGAGTATGCAATTGGATCATCATGGTGGGCCAAACGCGGGTTTCCGGTACGTGGTTCAGGGCTTGACCTCGGAGAAAGCAGCGTTTCCCGAACGCGTCGGCACGTGATCGGAGAATGGTCCCCGCTTAAAATCTTATCAGATTGATTCTGTTTGGCTGGGGAAGAGGAGAAGGTGTGTGGCGCCCCGAGAAGCCGGAGGTATCGAAGTGGTACATCCGGGCCAAGGTATTTCAAATCAAAGAGCGGGCAGCGAATTTGGGGGACCAAGCTTGCGAGTCAAAACGAGAGAGAAGACTCGCAAACAGTGGGAACACGCAAGGTTCAAGCAAGAAAATGCGGTCCGCATTGGCACCTCGGAGCCGTCCCTGCCAATTCTTCGTAGCTCCGCAAGTACCCAGAGGTCTCTTAAGAGGACGGCACGTATGGCTGACGACATAGCCGGTGTTTAGTGGGCAGCGAGCCGGGTGACTAAGCCCCTCGACCCAATCAGCTCCGAAAACCCGAGGTCCACCATAGCGTAATGGCCGAGAACAAGAGGGCGCTGATTGGTTGGATAGGGCCCAGAAGCACTGTGTGTGTGGGAAATTTTTGGCTTTTTCCTGCGCCGGCGCTGCTGGCCGCGGAGCGAGGCGACAAGAGGCACATTATTACTTACCTAGTTTAGTCCGCCACCAAGCCTAAGATACCTCATTCTTCCTCTAATCACCATCTCATCCATTACCGTTGACTTTTATAGTGTCCGGTTTATCGACGAAATTGCAACTTTTTACAAGCGGCGCATCTTCTAACCGACCTGCGCTAATTTGTCCAACCCCTTGAGCTGCGCAAACAGCTGAAACCACGACCGGCATATTCTGGTCGTCTTTCGCTCATCGCCGCCTTCCAGCCCGTTTGTCGCTAGTAGAGAGACGTTCTCATCTCTCTCAACGACCTCGACTTTCACCGACCCCTCCCTCACATCCTCACAACACACATCCCGCCAGCATGCTGTCCAGGACTGCCCGGTTCGCCTCAGGGCGCGCCCTCGCCGCCATCGGCTCCTCTGCTGCCCGAAGCACCATGTCGAGCGCCCTCGTCCGCCCTACCGTCGCGGCGGCGCCCATGGCCGTGTCCGTCTCGGCCCGGCGCTCCTACCACGAAAAAGTGCTCGACCACTACTCGCGCCCGCGCAATGTCGGCTCTATGGACAAGAAGGACCTCGACGTCGGCACCGGCCTGGTCGGCGCCCCGGCGTGCGGCGACGTGATGAAGCTGCAGATTCGCGTGGACCCCGAGACCAATACCATCTCGGACGTCAAGTTCAAGACGTTTGGATGCGGCTCTGCCATTGCCTCGAGCAGCTATCTCACGGAGCTGGTGCGTGGCATGAGCCTCGACGACGCCGGCAAGGTCAAGAACACGGAGATTGCCAAGGAGCTGTGCCTGCCTCCTGTCAAGCGTATGTATCACTGTCAAACATGCAATATCGATAACTAAGTGAAACTAACTGGTAATACAGTCCACTGCTCCATGCTTGCCGAGGATGCCATCAAGTCGGCCATCTCCGATTACTATAGCAAGAACCCCAAGGTTCAGACCACCAACCTGGGTGGTACTGGGCTGAAGATGCCGATGGGCGCCACTGCGGAGGCCACTCCCGCATAAACAACCTTTCGCCCTCCTGACTACATTCTCGAAAGGATTCCAACAAAATCAAAAAAAAAAAAACAAGGAGGGGAAATATTATATAATTGCACCTGGTCACCCTCGCGTCGCTGCGAACTTTTTTTCTTTTTCCAGCGCGAAGAGCCTCGACAAGATGCTAGTGGAACAGCGGGTCTATTGCAAGGCGCGAAACGAAGGATTTCTCTTTTTGTTCAATTGCGTCGTTTTATTCTATTTTTTCCATGTTACGAGAGGAAGGGGAGCTTGAGGCGGGGTTGAGATTGTGAGAGCGAGGAAGCGCCCTTTGAGTCTGTGGCATTTAGTCCACGGGGCAGTATGATAAGAAAAAGAAAAAGAACAAAAACATTCAAAGATACTTGTGTTATTATCAATGTCAGATACTGTGGCATCGCGGACAACGGTTTTTGGTCAGTCGTCAGTCGAACGGTCGAGGAGAAAAGGCAGAAATGGATTATGAATACATCACCTCTCTCGATTGCAGTATGGCTGGTCATGTGGTTTAACAGGTACCTAGAAAAAGAGACTACAAGGGAGGGATATACACTTTTGATATTTCCCTCGCTGCAAGTTTGAGAGAGAGAAACAACTTCAAGTGAACAGGGTGCAGCTTTGAAGTTGCAATTTTATCCAGGTTCACGAGCAAGGCTCCTGTCCTGTATTTCCAGGGCTTCGATCCACTGATTAGAACCGTGCTCACGGCAATTCGGCATGTTGCCCGAAGGGCTCCAGCGGGTCCATTACAGCGCTACGGGCGGATTTATGGCGGATCTGTCGGAGATGGATTGCCGCTTTAACGATAGACCCTGTAAATCTCAGCTGCACGTCTTGCTGTGCATTACCTTGTACTATTACCTTGTACTTCCGAGTCTTTCAATGTTACGTTGAACCACTTTCGTAAAACCAATGCATGCGCGATCTCTTGCATGTTGGTTTGATTCTCACAGACAACGTTGCGCGTCACCTCGCACGATCCTGTCAACATCAAACGGCCAGTGACAAGACCGCGCTGCGTCACCACGCGGGCATGCCTGTTCCAAATCTCACGAATTGGCATTAACAGGCAGACATGGTGAAGCCGCAGGCCAGAGCGCTGCTATCATGGCTCCAGCTGGACTGGCACACGGTGAAGCTGACGGTCAAGACGTCGATCCCGCCCGCCGTCCTTGTCTGCGCCATCCAGTCCGACACATGGATCGCCTACTTTGGCACGAATGCCTACCTCGCGCCCATTGCCGCCGCCAGTGTCATGGCCGGCTTTCCGCAGGGTATGCTTCTCGATTTTAACGCCAAGCAGACTCTTGGCTACGCCGTCGCCTACTGCTGGGCGCTGCTGGCCGGCTGGTGCGGCCTGCAGGCGCGCAAGCACACGACGGGGCCATCGGGGGACCTGGCTGCGTATAATTCCTCGGCTGAGGCTGTCGTGGCCGTGCTGCTGACATTTGGGATGTGGGTAACCTTTACCGTCAAGTCGGCGTTTCCTTCGTGGAACATCCAGGCGTCCGTGGCCGCTATCCTGGCTATTGCCATGATCCCGGCCATTGCGCGACTGTCGACGATGGAGAGCATAACCAAGGCCGCCACAAACGCCTTTGTCGTCTTCTTAGCGGGACAAGCCATCGGGCTCGCCAACGCCCTGCTGATTTTCCCGCAGACGTGCAGGGGCCTGTTCAATAGAGCTACCATGGCGTGCCTCGACGCCGTGTCTGCCATTATGAGTGCACACGAGATGTGTATCCGCGACGTCGTATCAGGGACTTTATTCTCTTCTTCTTCCGGTACCACGGATACCAAGTCTGTCGAAGAGCTTGAGGCTGCTTTGCAGCAGCTGGGCAATGAGGTCGCCAGGGCCAACGGTTACGTGGACCATGCGGCCCGAGAGATGTCGTGGGGCGCGTATACGCAGTCGGAGCTTGACACGGTGTGCACACTGTTGGTACAGCTCGTACCACCGGTTTCGGGACTGAGCTTGGTGGCGGACATGATGCAGCGGGAAACAGACCCGTCCAGCATTATTGGCCACCAGGAACAAGTTGATGGCAAGCTCGAAGCGACGGAGGACCAGAAGAAACAGCGGCAGAATGATTGGCACAAGACAGAGTCGGACATGCAAGAACAACTACGGCAGATGTCGGACATGATCTCCTCGGGCGCGCAGCATGCCAAGTTGCGACTTCGACACAGCCAGAAACGGAATCGAGCGGGTGTCCGGAGTGAGGTGACTGACCAAGAGAGCCAAGGAGCAGTTAACCCTGGCGGATCACGGTTTATAGAGTACTACCGTGAAATGTTCAAGGAAGGTGGAGATCAAAGCTTAAGTCGTCTGCAAGTGCTCCGTCGCTACGTACAGCATCGTCCACAGGTCGGAACAATCGGGAACACGTCTTCCGCCAAACACGCAGACACATTGCGGTATTTCGCTCTCCTTCACGTAAGTCGCCCAGCACACAGCAAGTCGCCAACTGACCTGCGACTTACATGAAAAACCAGTCTCAAACTATCCTTGTCGCGCTGGGCCGCAAGCTCCTCCGCCTCCTCATCTACCTGGACGACCGCCACGCCCGGCCCAAGCAGCTCATCGCCCCCAACTTTCTCTTCCCGCGCTACTGGACCAGCCTCTGGCACTCGAAACTCTTCTCCCGCGATATTCGCAAACGAGACGGCGGTCCCAGAGTGGAACTAGACCCCGTATTCCACAAGCCGCGCAACCCAGACCACCTGCCGGCCGCCAACACCGTGGAAGCCGTGGGCGACTGCATCCGCAAGATCAGCGTGGTGCTTCGGACCGAGCATGCGGCGTACGGACTGCGCGGGGCCTGCGCCGTCATGACGATTGCCATTGTCGGATTCCTCCACGACTCGCAAGACTTTTATTTTGCCCAGCGCCTTTTGTGGGCGCTCTTTGCTATTTTGCTTTCCATGGGCCGGACGTCGGGGTCGTCGACGTTCCTCCTCATCGGCCGATTGCTGGGAACGACGGCGTCCATGGTGGCGAGCTACGTCATCTGGTACATTGTTGACCAGCGTACACCAGGTGTCTTGGTCTTTACGTGGCTGTGGTTCATGGTCATTAGCTTTCTTAGTAAGTTTCACGTTTCTTCCATCTTGGGCCAGAAGCAGCTCCTGATACGTTTGTTCTAGCGGTGCGATTTCCTGCCCTTTTCAGCATCTGGTTCGTGGCTCTCATTGCTGCCATTGTCATGATTGGCATTGAGCTCCAAACTGCACAAATCGGCGAAGAAGTCGTAGAGAAGTCTGGCCAGGCTGTCTATCCGCCGTACATCATTTTCCCCTACCGCTTAGCCGTCGTTTCCCTCGGGGTTATTACCGGCTATATCTGGACAGTCTTTCCCTACCCCGTGTCGGAGCACTCTGAGCTGCGAGAGAGTACCGCCCAAGTGCTATACGAGCTGTCACGCTATTACATGTGCATTCAACAGACTGTATTTGCACGCCTCCATCGCGATATCGGCGACGCTGATGACGCGTCGAGCCCTAGCTCCCGGCTCCAGACTGCCCTTCGTCGACTCTTTCTCAAGTATCGAGGCTTGAGCGCCGACGCCAAGAGGTCATTCCAATTTCTCAACTGGGAGTTTTCTCTCGGTGGTCAATTCCCCAAGAAAGCATACGGCGAAATACTCAGCATCCTCGATCGGTCGGGCAGCTACATGGCGCTCACGAGCTACCTGTCCAAAGAATCCAAGTCTCCAGATGTGATTGCAGCTTGCTGGGCCGAAAGCGGAACGGGGATACCGCACATCGATCTCACTCCTCACGGGATCGCGTCGAGGATCATCATATTGCACTCTGCGCTGGGAGGGGGCCACCCATTACCACCCGGCTTGCACCGCCTGGGGATGGGGCATTTGCCTCAGAATTCACGGGACTTGACCTCGAAAGACTACGAGTTTGCGATTGCTGCGTTGATTCACAACGTTCATTGGTATTTCATCCACGACGTGAATCGCCTGACTGAGTATGTGTCCCTGCTGCAGCCCATTTTAATATCCAATGTGACGCTGACTTGTCTTCTGAATAGGCTGGTACGGGAGGTGGTTGGTGAACTGCGATTCTCCTTTATCGATGAGCTGGAGAGTTCCACTACAAATTCGAATATCGAGCTTACAACACCGGCGTCTGCCTCTGAGGCTACACGTACATGATATCTATATACATAAGTTTAGAGACTGAGTCTAGCTGACTTGGATAAAACTATAGACCTAGACACTCTGGACACGGCGACGGTTCAGGAGTGAGGATAATAGAGGCACATTTATCAGCGTGGCAATTGTTTCCATCAAGCCTCACGTCTCGCAAAGCACTTGGTGCTATACCAGCCGTGTTTTATTTGCTCTCTTCCAGCGCCGCATACACCGCCGTCTCCAGGGCGAACCACGCACCCATGACCTTGGCGTCCGCAAACGGGAGCACCTGCGCGCAGACCAAACCACCGACTCCGCGCTCCCGATCCACCCACCAGAACAAATTCGCCAGGCCGGCCCACCAGCCCGTGCTCTCGGAGCGGCCCGTCACCCCCCCGTTGAGCATGCAGGCGAGCCCCCACCCCTGCGGCGCGCTGGGCACGGCCGGGTACAGGTACGGCAGCGGGTTGGTGAGCTCCGGCCGGGCCGCGGGGAGGCTCTGCTGGGCAAAGTCTGGGAACTGGGGAATGTGGTTGGAGAAGATGTCGGCGACAGTGCGGGCGGACAGGAGCGTGACGTTGGTCGTGGGGCATGTCCCGTCGTTGAGCAGCACGGCAAGGATGCCTGGTAGGAGTTAGCAGAGTTTTGAAAGGGACTGGATGGGGGGAGGCGTACGGCAGTATTCTTGCGGCTTGGCGAATAGGCCGGCGCCGCCACTGTGGAAGAGGTTGGCTTCCTCCTCGGGCGTCGACACTACGAGGGGCTGGCGGTAAAAGTGGTTGCCGGGGCGAATCTTGCCGGTAGGGTCGCGGAAACTCATGTGAGCAAGGTTGGCCTTCATCTCGGCCGTCGGAATCATGTTGACGCTGTCCAAGCCTAGTGGCTTGCAAATGTTTGTCTGTATATACTCGTTCAGGGTTACGCCGGTGAGACGCTCCAGGGCGATGCCAGCCCAGTCAATGCTAGTCTATAGACTTGTTAGACGTGAACTCGACAGCAAGAACCTCCAGCGCCGTTACTTGCCCCATACTGCCAACTCTCTCCGGGATGAGCGATGAGCGGCGTCTTGAGATCCTGCACCCGACCCGAAAACTCGTCGAAGCCGGCGGGATAGCCATGGTCGCGCAGCTTCTCGCTAAAGATGGAGTAGCCGCACCCCGAGGTATGCGTCAGGAGCATGCGCAGCGTGATGCCGCGCCGCTTGGGCTCCAAGGCGCCGTCGTCGCGCAGGACCTGGACGTCGCGCAGCTCGGGGCACAGGGCCTCGAGCTGCGCGGCGTCATCGAGCGACAGGCGGGCGGCCTCGACGAGCTGCATGACGCCCACGACGGTCACGACCTTGGTGCACGACGCCATCCAGAAGACGTGCGCGGGCGTCAGGGGCGCGGCCGAGGACGCGCCGAGTGTGCCGGCGGAGTGGACGAGGAGCTCGCGGCCGGTCTTGTCGAAGACGACGGCGGTGATGCCCGGGACGCCGCCGTCTTGGACATTGACGGCGGCGGCGAGGATGTCCTTTAAGCTTTGGACGGTGGTTGCAGAGAAGGTCATTTTTTTACGTGACTTGATGAACTTTGTTGCAAGACAAGAAAGACAGGCGAGGGATGATTGCGTTGTCGGCCATCACGGCTGCGTTTATACTGGTTGTTCACGCGGCTGAGGGGTTACACATGCACACAACGGACACTGCAGCATGAAATCAATAATGCAACCAAAATATGCGAGTGCTCATTATTGTCTTGAAATCGAAACATGAATGGTTAAAGGAGAGACAGATGGATGTTCCAAATGTATGAAGTAGAACAACGTATGTGCGTACATTGGCTCTGTTGGGTTTTTATCGTACACACTTCATTTTCGTATCCATCTTGTTTGTCTCATTATTCGAAAATCAAAACTATTTGTATTTCCAGCCCCATCTTGGCATAATGCGCCTTCTGGCCTTCTGGCTGACCACCAAGATAATAATGCCGACGATCCGCGCTAGATGTAAGTAGTGTGGCCTCGCGGGGAAAGTAAAAATTGGAAAATGGACACGATGCCAATAGCTTCGGTACACTGAATCAAGCCCGTGAGTATCAACTTGAACAACGTAATTTTTTTTGGATTTTTTTTTTCGCATTGTAGCTTTTACCGTACTGTCACTGCAATGCGTCAGTACTTCCTTCATTATATCGGCCAACCCCGCGTTCAGCCACCGAGATACCGCAGGCATCTTTGTTTGGTGGCGGCCTGTGGCTTGTCTAGCTCGGCGCCACGCGGGCCCTGGTCGGGGGGCCTTTATCAACTTATCACATCAGAATAAAATGCCAACATTTGGTAATAAAATAATGATTAGCTCCTCGAACTACTGCAAGGCGAATGCAAAGGCTATAAAGATGACCACCTTTCTTTTTCTCCTAGTCAGCCCCGAGTCTTGGCCCTGTTCCTCCCCCATCACAGCCGCAACCCCCACCAACCGCACATCATGAAGCTCACTCCAAGCAAAGCCGTGCTCCTCTGTGGCTGGCTGTGGACGGCTTCGGCCGCCCCCAGCTGCCCAGCGCCACGAGATGCGAATCGTGGCGCCGTCTCGTCCGAGAGCGCCCTCTGCAGCAGCATTGGCACCCAGCTCCTCAAGGAGGGCGGCAACGCCGTCGACGCCCTCGTCGGCACCGTCTTTTGCGTCGGCACCGTGGGCATGTACCACAGCGGGCTCGGCGGCGGCGGCTTCCTGCTCCTGCGAGACAAGGACGGCAAGTATGAGTTTGTCGACTTTCGGGAGACGGCCCCCGCGGCGGCGTTTGAAGACATGTACAAGAACAATACGGACGCCAGTCTCTATGGCGGCTTGGCAAGGTATATATGCGCAGTCCGGTCTTTTGTCAAGCGTTCGTCACTGTTGTACTGACCTGTCATAACTAGTGGCGTTCCCGGAGAGCTGCGCGGTCTTGAATATGTGCACAAGAAATACGGTGCACTCGACTGGGCCAAGGTCATGGCGCCGGCCATCAGAGTCGCCAGATATGGCTTCCGCGTCGACGAGGATCTCGTCAAGTACATGCAGTCGACGGCGAGAAACGACTTTCTGGTCGAGGACCCGAGCTGGGCCCTTGATTTTGCGCCCCGCGGAAGACTCCTCCGGCTCAACGAGACAATGACGCGGAAACGCTACGCCGACACGCTCGAGACGATTGCGCATCAAGGTGCCGACGTCTTCTATACCGGCGCCATGGCCAATGCCACCATCACGGCCCTGCGCGCCCGCGGCGGTACCATGACCCTCGCGGACCTCGCCAACTACACCGTCGCGCACCGTCCCCCGCTGCACATAACCTACCGCGGGCACAAGCTCACCAGCACCAACGCGCCCTCGGGCGGCCCCGTCGCCCTCGGCGCGCTCAACACCGTGAGCGGCTACGAGGACTTTTTCCAGCCCGCCACCGTCAACATCTCGACGCACCGTCTCGACGAGGCGATCCGCTTCGCGTACGGCCAGCGCACCAAGATCGGCGACCCGTCCTTCCTCCCCGGCCTGGACAGCTACACGGCGGCCATGGTGGCGCCGGCGACGGGCGCCGAGATTCGCTCCAAAATCTCCGACACCTCGACGCAGCCCGTCGCGTACTACAACCCGGACGGCATCGAGTCGCTCGCCACGCCGGGCACGTCGCACGTGGTGGCTGCCGACGCGAGCGGCATGGCCGTGTCGCTCACCACGACCATCAACACGCTCTTTGGCTCGCGCCTGATGGTGCCCGAGACGGGCGTCATCATGAACAACGAGATGAACGACTTCAGCATCCCCGGCACCAGCAACGCGTTTGGCTACCGGCCCAGCCCCCAAAACTACGTGCGCCCGGGCAAGCGCCCGCTGTCGTCCATCTCGCCCGTCATTGCCGAGACCCCCGAGGGCCGGCTGTACTTTGCGTGCGGCTCCGCCGGCGGCAGCCGCATCACCACGGCCACCATCCAGCTCGTCGTCCACATGCTCGACCAGCGCATGGGCCCGGCCGCGTCGCTGCGCCAGCCCCGCCTCCACGACCAGCTGCAGCCCGACCAGGTCGCGTTCGAGTACGCCTACGACAACGCGACGACGGCCTTCATGGCCGCGCGAGGCCACAACGTGACATGGGTGGCCCCCGGCCAGAGCACCGCCCAGGCCCTCCGGCTTCTGCCCAATGGCACCTTTGAGGCGGGAGGGGAGCCGAGGCAGAAGAACTCGGGTGGGTTTGCGGTCTGAGGATGACGACAAGGATCTAGAGGGTAGGGAGGGAGATGATGTAGATGCTTATAAACAGTCGTGTATTCATATCTTTGATCGTGTCTTTATGTACCATAATTTTGCTCGTTTGTTGTCTTACAGCGCAGGGAGGAGGCCGGCAGCCTGGTCCTCTTTGACAGCTTGCTCGTATTGCGCAACAGCAGCGCGGTACGCAGCAATGTCATCCGCATCCTCGTCCGGCACAGCACTCGCGGCATCGGCGCCGCTCTCGTCGCGCTTCGCGTATGCGCCAAACGCGCGCACAGCATAATAGTACACCTGCGCGAGCGACCAGCACGACTTTTTGGCCGAGACGCCCTCACACTGGTACACCATGCTGGGGCCCAACGTGTTAGCCACACATATTTTCCGCCCAAGTGAGTGGGTTTATTTCAAAAAAGAGACTCACTCCTTCTCAAAGTTGAGATCCACGCGGTACCGGCCGTCGGAGGTGAAGCGGCCCTGGGCCTTGTAGTTGCGGTAGCCAAAGTCGTGACGCTGGCAGGCGGGCTCAAACGGAAACTTGAACGGGTTGTCGGGCGCAGAGGTGCAGCCGTCCGAGGACCAGTCGAGCGTGGACGGGTTCTTCTGCGCCCGGTACTGCAGGAATGTGGGCAGCGCCGTGAAGAAGAGGTAGCGGTCCGTGATTTGGACAGCGGTTTCCCGAGGGGAGATGGTCAAGGGAGAGGCCAGGACGGCGGGGAGGGCAAGGAGTGTCCACTTCATGATGTGTATATGTATATGTGTGAATGTAGATGTGTAGAGATTTCCGTGACTTGATGGAAAAAAAGAGAAGCCATCATGTTGACGAGATCCCCCTCAGTTTATATACTATACCACGACCGGCGGCTGTCTCAATGTCAGCAAGTGTCTCAGGAGCGCAGCGGGCTCGGCCGAGCCCTCGACCATGGGTCTCATCCCATATCTTGGCAACGAAACCCAAGCAAAGCACCGGATCTGCATCTATTCCAGAGAAACAGTTCACCGACAGCCACCCTAGACGGTCTTGGGAGGTGGATGTCGGCCGCTCGCCGCCGACGAGTCGCACCCTCGCAACACATCATGTGGCCGCCGTCCAGGACCGAGGAACGACACGTTTCCAGTTTGCACGAGCCGGCCCCGCGATCCTCCCCCTCCCCTCCATGTAAGAATTCAATCATCGTTAGTTTGGACTTGGCAGCCACGTTGACCTGGGAAAGGGCAGAACTGGTTTGGCGGAGATGGACGCCAAGTAATAAGGAACCTTCCCCACAGAACCGGGGGACGTGGCTGAATTTCTTAATTGCGTTGCTTATTGCTCCCACGGCTTATAGTAGTATTACTGCTCGTATGGGCAAGGTAACTAATTAAGTAGTATTCTGTTGGGGGACTTTGTTTGGGGAAAGATGCGAGATGTGAGCTACGGCTACAGCCGGCTATTGCCCTATATGGGACATTCTGTCTCGCCCGAGAACAGCTGAGCATCCCTTTCCTCCTGCTTGGTCAGTGCATGCAATTTTCTTGAAGCTTAGTTCCAGATTTCATCATGTGAGATTTGACGGCGGCGCATCTTGGCTTGCCGTCGAGAGAACCACAATACCCGCCCATGGCGTCGGGGGGACAGAATTTCGCATTCCACCGCATGTAGCAACATTGGGGTATATACCGCACCGGATGGGTTCGGTATACTGGAGTCTGCAGCGATCCGCCGGGCCTGTACCCATCCATGATTTTGCGAATGTCGGCATACTGAATTAATGTTCTCGACGGAACCGGAAAGACTACATGCTCAATTGTCAATCAAATTCGCAACCACTCGAAAACGCAGCGCCAATCTCGCTTGACGCATGGCGCTTGACCCGTAGCCGCCCCCTACCGTGGCGGCAGGTTCCCATCGACCGCAACCATCTCGAGTCACTCCTCCAACTGTCGGGGCGAGCAGAGCATTGACCGCGCCATCCCTCTGCTCCCGGGCCTGGCTGGGGGCAAAAGTGGTTCCCGTCGCTCGACCGCAACCGTTCAACAGTTTCGTCGACAAACAGGGGGATCGGTGCAGCGTCGGCCTACACGTGTACGGCAGCCTATAGGTGAGTTGTCGCCAAAACCCATTTTGCATTGTTGTATCGGGGTTTACGCACTAGGCATACACCAAGAGCGTGTAGAATTTTTTTTCAGTATATCGATATTTCTGTTTAAGTGCTTAGAGCCAGCCAGCTAGCTAGCCAGCCAGCTAGCCAGCCAGCTAGCCAGCGAGGAAGCTAGCCAGCTAGCCAGCAAGGAAGCCAGCTAGCAAGGAAGCCAGCCAGCTACCTAGCCAGTAAGGAAGCCAGCCAGCGAGTAAGTAAGCCAGCCAGCGAGGAAGCCAGCAAGTAAGTAAGCCAGCTAGCCAGCCAGCCAGCAAGTAAGTAAGCCAGCCAGCAAGGAAGCCAGCCAGCAAGGAAGCCAGCCAGCAAGGAAGCTAGCCAGCAAGAAAGCCAGCCAGCCAGCAAGAGCTACCTAGGTAGGTAGCTAGTAAGCTTCTTTAATAATAAGTGCCACTTCCTAGCTGGCTTGCTTGCTAGCTAGCTTCCTTGCTAGCTAGCTGGCTGGCTTCCTTGCTAGCTGGCTTCCTCGCTAGCTGGCTTACTTACTTACTAGCTGGCTTACTTACTCGCTGGCTGGCTGGCTAGCTTCCTCGTTGGCTTCCTCGTTAGCTTCCTCGCTAGCTGGCTGGCTAGCTGGCTGGCTGGCTTGCTAGCTGCTAACTGGCTATAAGGATAATATGTATCTAAAAAATATAACGGCCCACTTACGTACGCATTATTTCATATCTAACCACACACTGGGTGTGAATTAGGATTTGGCGACAACTCACCTATAGGCTGCCGTACACGTGCCCGCACAACCACCGCATTCGCTATAGGTCACGACAGTGCAAAGTGCCGACGCGATGGCCAGCGGTCCGTTCCTGTCCCGCCCAACATCTTGGATCCATGCTCGCCGGTGTCCATATGCAGGTCCCTATGAACGGCGTCTACGCCAGCGGCACTGGGGAGCTATCCAGCCTCACCGCCGCGTTTCAGCTGGGCAAGGCCTCCATCATCATCCTTTATCCGAAGAGGGTGAACTGTCGCGACGGATAATTGCCGGCGCGCGCCTGCAGAGCGTATGCTGCCATGTCTACTGGGCGATTTGTACCGTCCTTTAATGCGAGCACGTCAATTATTTGTACAAAAATGGCAAATTTGCAACTCTCTAACTGCAAGAGCAATAGTGTCCCACTGCCTAGCTGGCTACTCCTCCTAAAACTGCGTATTAACCTCCCTCGTGCGCGCAGACACCTGCGCATCGCCCGTATTCACCGTGTCGGCCGCTTCGACGAGCATAATCTCGGCCGCCGGCTCCGCGACCGGGCAGTGGCGGACGCCGCGCGGCACCACGTACACGTCGCCGGCGCGCATGGGCACGTCGGCGCGGTCCTCGAAGCGCAGCGTCAGACGGCCGGAGACGACGTAGAAGAGCTCGTCCGAGGCCGGGTGCGCGTGCATGACAAAGGAGCCGTCGATTTTGGCAAGCTTGACATGCTGCCCGTTGACGCGGGCGATGAGGTGCGGGGACCACGTGTCGGTGATGCGGTTGAGTGATTGGGGGATGGAGATGGACATTTTTAATTAAGGATAGATTGTGATTGAGTGTATTCCGTTCAATCCAGGTTCGGGCTGGCGATGAAGCTGGTTTTATGTATTCAGGTGCTTGGTCAGCGTGGTTCTTCAAGGGCGCGCATTGGCATTCAAGGGCGCCGCTACTAATTGGTAGGGCGTGAACTACATGTCTACATCGCAAATAGTCCAGTGTAATAATCGAGTTCTTTGACAAAACGGCCACGTCGACTCCTCAAAAATGATCCTCCAACGTAATCGTCACAGTCTTTGCGACCAGATATTCGTTCACTGCCACGTCCTTGCCACTCTCCTTGCCATAGCCAGATTCCTTCATCCCACCAAATGGACTTTCCGCAGCCGAACTATTGCCCGTATTCTACTCTCGTTAGCATTTTTCTTTAATTGTTGTAAAAATAAAATCTTCAATCTTGCAGTACGTACCACGCCAATCATGCCAGCCTCGAGATTCTCCGCCAGCCGAAACACCCTGTCCACGTTCTTTGTAAAGGCATAGCTGGCCAAGCCCATGCTCGTATCATTGGCCCACCGCGTCACCTCGTCTTCCGTGTTAAACGCGTACACGCCGCACACAGGCGCAAACGTCTCTTCCCGCGTCATGAGCATGTCCCTCGTCATGCCCGTCAGAATGGTCGGGTGCATAAAGTAGCCGCCCACGCCGTCGCCGTTCCCTGCGCCGTCCGCGAGGCGCCCCTTCCCGCTGCCCAGGACCAATGTGGCGCCGAGCTTCAGCGCGTCCGATACCTGCTCCTCGGCCTTTTTGATGCCGTTCGGCGTCGTCACCGGGCCCATGGTGGTGTCCGCGCTTGCGCCGTGGCCGACCACGAGACGCTTGGTCCTCTCGACCAGCCGCTGCGTAAATTCATCGTATACGCCGGCCTGCACGTAGAGACGGTTGGCCGTGATGCACGCCTGGCCGGCATGGCGCCACTTGAGCGCCATGAACTGCTCGAGCGCCTGCTCCAGGTTGGCATCGTCAAACACGATGAAGGGGCAGTTTCCGCCGAGCTCGAGCGTGCACTTTTTCAGGTTGCGCGCGCACAGGCCGGCGACAATCTTGCCAACCCGCGTGCTGCCCGTAAACGAGACCTTGTGCACGCGGGGGTGCAGACAGAGCGCCTCGGACAGCGGCGGCGTGTTGGCCAGCGAAGTTGTCAGCACGTTGAGCACGCCCGGTGCGTACCCGGCGCGCGCCGCCAGCTCGGCCAGCGCCAGGCACGTCAGCGGTGTCTCGGGGGACGGCTTGACAATCATGGTGCAGCCGGCGGCAAAGGCGGCCCCTGCCTTTCGCAGAATCATGGCCAGGGGAAAGTTCCACGGCACCAGCGCGACGGCCACGCCAATCGGCTGCTTCACAACCATGACGCGGCGGTTCGGCGCGGCCGGCACGCTGACGGCGCCCTGGATGCGCTCCGCCTCGCCGGCGAACCACCAGGTGAAGCCCAGCGCGTAGGCAATCTCACCGTGCGCCTCCGCCAGCGGCTTGCCGCTCTCCCAGGTCATAATGGTCGCCAGGTCCTCCTTGTTGTCGTCGATGAGCTTGTGCCAGGCGACGAGGAGCTGCGCGCGCTGGCGGGGGTTGACTTTGCGGTAGGTTTGGAACGCGGCGTGGGCGGCGGCGACGGCGGCTTCCGCATCCTCGGGGCCGTTGTCCGGGCATGACGCCCAGGTCTTGTCGGAGCCAGGGTCGATGACGTTGAAGCGCTTGCCCGACTTGGCTTCGACCCATTGGGCGTTGACGAAGGATTGGTCTTTGAGAAGCGACGCATCGCGGAGGGTGAATGGCAGGTCGGTAGTGGGCGACATTTCCATGCTTTGAAGGGGGAAAATAGCAACTTGATGAAATGGTTAGGCTTCTCTGAGAGGCGACGTATAATAATAGGCGCTGTAGCGACATTGAGGGAACGCGGGGTTGTGCGGGGAAATGGCTATGTAAGTCGGCATCTTGCAATCCGGTGCTTAATGGTAACTCGCCGACTCGCACCCTCAAAAGAGGGAGACGGCATCATGACCGAGTTTGAATTGTTATTTGAAATGATGAAAATGATAGATGGTCCAGTCTGGCGCCTGCGACGGTGACAGGCGTCCCTACACTCATAGACTATTCGCACCAGGCACTCTTGCTTCGTATACCTTTTCTCACCGGCATCGGCCAAGTGGTCCCGAACCCTGTCAAGGCGGGAGTGGCGTTTATAGTGAGCTGCCAGTGAACCAGCATGAATCAGCCACAAGCCAGGCAGGTTCGGCTTGCTCACCGCGGTGAAGGGATAACTAATGCACAATCGATGAGACATTGGGCTTGGAGCCGAGAAGAGTACTCCATCGGCGTGTCCACTCTTTGATGGTGTCACTACTGACTTTATTTTTAGTCAATGGCTCGATCGCGCCCTGGGGTCCGGATACAGTGACTTGGACTCGGCGGTACTAAATTGGAAAAATGCCATGACCCCTGGAGGTAAAGAATCTTCCAAGCGCGTGACTTGTCGATTATATTGAATGGGTTTTGTGTTGCTGCTAGGTTTTTTTTTGGCCCCCTGCCCCCCTTGCGGACTACCAAGGTATGTAGTTATGGCGATCTTGAGACGGTGCATCAACCGCTCTGCCAAAGATGAGCCATTGATACAACGCACGCATTGCGAGCACGATACGAAGCACATGGTGAGAAGAATCCGGTGCTCCCTGAAACCTCCGCATAAAACATGCAACACGGGGCATAACGGCCCTGCGTCGCCCAGCCAGCATCCAATCTCTGGCGGCTTGCGGCCTCTCATCGGGCCGAGACAGTGGACCGTTGACGTATTAGTGGTTCTTGAGCCCAGAAAAAAAGCCTCAGAAACTGTATCCGTCAACCGGAAACAAGGGACCGGCTATTGCTGCTTTGGCAGCAGACATGATGGTTTGTGTCAATTCGGCTTCAATGGGCCTGTATAGTCCTGCGTGCCCCCCTTCGGCTTCAAGGAAGTGAACCTCCTAGGAGCACAGGACAGCGCCGAGAAGCATCTCGAAAGAAAAAAGAAAAAAGGAAGAATAAAAATTCTTTCCGCCCCGATCGGCCCACTACCAAGCGCTAATTTAAATGCAAAGGTGTGACCACAACGTCCGGCGGCGGACCTCCGGCACAGTTCCCGATTACTTGGCCAAACACCGGCACTAAAAAACAAACCCTCTTCTCTCCGGGAATGTGGGAACCAAAGCCTAGCACCTGCCAACAATCACTTGTCTGTGGTTATACCGAACGGACCTGATAACAAATGTGACGGTATAATAGTGGACTTTGCTAGTCATGCATCGTCCGTCTTCTTCATTTATCAACACGGCCTTGTCTGCTTGCGACTCGGACCTCCAACCGCGTGGCTCCTCTTCTTCTTCTCGTTTCTGCTTCGCCTCCCCAACCACTGCAAACAGCACCTGAACGATGGGTGCCTTTTCCAAACGCAAGCTGAGCAACGCTCACCTCCCCGAGGACGAGCGCCCTCAGGTCGAGCTCGCCCAGAACCAGAGCATCACCCCCGATGAACAAAAAGTCACCGCCCTGGCCGTGTCCGCCGGCTTCACGGCCAGTCTCGGCGGCCTCATCTTTGGCTACGTCAGGTACAATCACTCCCGGCCAAGTCCCCCTCCTCCAGCACCCTCGTCTATCACCCACTAACCAAAACCCGTTTGACCATAGTGGCGAAATCTCCGGCTTCTTCCCCATGGCCAACTACGCCGAGCGATTCGGCGAGCTCAGCGCCGCCGGCACCTACGAGTTCAGCGCCGCCCGCCAGGGCACCATCGTCGGGCTTGTCAGCATCGGCGCCCTCATCGGCGCCCTCGTCGCCGGCAAGATGGCGGATCTGCTCGGCCGGCGGCTCGCCATCTCGCTCGCGGCCTTCTTCACGTGCGTCGGCACCGTCATCGAGATCTCGTCGACGACGCACTGGGTCCAGTTCGCCGTCGGCCGCCTCGTGACGGGGCTGAGCATCGGCGCCCTCTCCGTCGTCGTGCCCATGTACCAGTCCGAGTGCTCGCCCGCCCCCATCCGCGGCGTCATTGTCTCGTCGTACCAGCTCTTCATCACCTTTGGCATCTGGCTCGCCGAGATTGTCAACTTTGGCACCCAGGCCATGGACAGCAGCGCCTCGTGGCGCATCCCCAACGGCCTCTCCTTTGCCTGGGCCCTCGTCCTCGGCACCCTCATCCTCTTCTTCCCCGAGTCCCCCCGCTGGGCCTACGGCCACGGCCGCACCACCGAGGCCCGCGCCACCATTGCCCGCCTGACGGGCCTGCCCGAGAACTCGGCCACGGTCGCGCAGCAGATTGACGACCTCCAGAACAAGATCGATGAGGAGAGCAAGCTGGCCCACGAGTTTAGCATCTCGGAAATCTTTACCGGCCCCCGCATGCTGCACCGCACCCTGCTGGGCATCGCTCTCGGTACAGGCCAGCAGCTCGTCGGCGTCAACTACTTCTTCTACTTTGGAACAACCGTGTTCAAGTCCACCGGTCTCGACAACAGCTACGTCACGCAGCTTATCCTCGGATCGGTCAATGTGGCGGCCACGATTGTATCGCTGTGGGTTGTGCGAAAGTATGGACGACGACCGATTCTCATGTGCGGCGCGGCCTCGATGATGGTGTGCTTTTTAATCTACGCCTTTGTCGGGCACTTTGCTGTCGATATCGAACATCCCGAAAACAGCCACACAGCGGGCAGCGTCTTGATTGTCTTTTCCTGTCTTTCCATTGTCGCCTTTGCCGTCTCCTGGGGCCCCGTCGTCTGGGCCGTCAACTCGGAACTGTATCCTCTGCGCTACCGCAGCGTCTGCATGGGTCTCGCCACGGCCGCCAACTGGTTCTGGAACTTTATGCTGTCCTTCTTCACCCGCTTCATCACGGACGAGATTGACTACCTCTACGGCCTCGTCTTTGCCGGCTGCTGCGGTGCCCTGGTCGTCATTGTCTTCTTCCTTGTCATTGAGTCCAAGGACCGCACCCTCGAAGAAGTAGACATGATGTATATCCAACACGTTAACCCCATTACCTCTGCCAAGTGGAAACATGGCGACGCCCATGACAAGGAGGCGGGCCACAGCACTGCCGTCGACGCTTCTCCCAGCCCTTAAGGCTTCTTGTGTGTATATTCAGCGAGAAATAAGTAGCATAGAGCGGCATGCATGTATTCATGAAATTGTACATTAGGCACCATTTATCACGTCTTTGGAACCTCCTCGCACTATTTTCCTTGGAGCTAGAAATACTAAAGGCATAGCGGTATATATTCATACTAGCAAAGTTGCTATTCAAAACTTATTAAACACTGCGCGCGCGCTATCATACAGTTCCCACCATCTCTTCCATCAGTGGACGCCGCCGACACTAGGCAGCGGGCGGCAAGCAAACGGACGATGGGTATCGCCGTGTGTGGTTTGGTCAATCTGTTGCAACGTTAGTGATTGTCAAGTCCGAGGGCTAATACAGAAAGACACTTACAATATCCTTAATGGTCGCATACGTGCCAGCACCCAGCGTCACGATACCCACGATAAAAGCCAGGATGCTTCCGAGACTAATCAGGATATTCTTGCGGGCGTACCACGGACCCTCGCAGAGCAGGTAGAACCACATGACGGCGGGGATCCAAAAGGAGAATCCCGAGACGAAGAGCGCCGAGGCGAGCGAGAGCAAGTCGGAGAAGATGGGGATGGCCTCGGCAATGATCCAGGCGAGGACAGTGAAGACGGCGACGAGGGAGATCCACCAGAACCAGCCGCTCGGGGTGTTGACGTAGCGGACAATCGACTTTTTCCAGACGCGGCCGTGAATGTACCGCAGAGCGACGGTGGAGTTGATGGAGCCCGAGATGAAGATGACGGGCAGGGCGACGCCAAAGGCAATCTTGGAGACGGTCGGGCCGGCGGAGAGCAGCGCGGGCGCGAGCACGTCGCTGCCGATGAAGGCGTAGCACAGGGCGCCGGTCAGCGTGTAGATGCAGATTTGGATGAGGCCCGAGGCCCAGATGGACTTCATGTAGTCGGTCGGGGTGTGCATCTCGTCCATGAAGGAGAACTGGCCAATAGCGAAGCTAAAGGCAAAGATGATGTTGCTAACGGCGACAAAGGCCTCGGAAAAGGCCAGGCCGTCCTTGGGCATGGCCCGCCAGTCGACGCCGCCGAGGCCGCGGTCGCTGTGCGTCGCCTGCACGCCGGTGGCGATGACGGTGATGCCAATGGCGACGAGAATGGACACAAAGTCGACGTAGCCGAGGATGGCGACCTCGGTGAAGGAGGGCGGGATGGCGAGGATGAAGAGGATGACGGCCGAGATGGCGGAAAAGGCGACGGAGCAGACGCGCCCGCTGTTGAGGTCGCCGAGCGCGATGCTGCCCGTCAGCGCGTGGGAGCCGACGACCATGACGAGCTCGAGCACCATGGCGGCGCCAAAGATCTCGTACCCGACGCGGCCGAGCAGCAGGCGTCCGGCGTCGGCGTAGCTGGCGGCGTCGGGGTGCCGCAGCTTGACCTGCCCGACGAGGTAGCTGGTGAAGATGGCGAGGAAGCCAATGACGACGGTCAGGAACACGCCGGGGAACATGCCGAGCGTGTCGTACGCCTTGGGCAGGCTGAGCGCGCCGAGCGCCACGGCCTCGACAATCGTGACCACGGCCAGGCGCTTCCACCCGAGCCGGTGAAAGTGCGCCGCGCCCGACGCCGCGAGCCGCTTCATCTGGTCCCCCGTCAGCTCGTCGCTGTGCTCGAAGCCGAGGACCGAGTCGTCCTGGTCCGACGACGAGGGCGGCAGCAGGCACGCGGGAGGAGGTCCGGCAGCATGCTTTGTAGCAGGCGCATTGCTCGGGCCCTTGACGGGGGGTGGTACGGGAGGAGGAGCAGCAGCGTCGGTTTGTGCAGCCATGGCGAGGTTGTATGTATAGCAGGGGCGCAGACAAGCAGATTGCTACAACGTTTTGTCGTAGAGAGTCTGGTCGCGGGCTGGTCTGTTTCTGGAGCAACTTCAAGTAGGGAAACTTGTATAGAATGATGTAAACTTCCCCGCAAACAAGAATGAGAGATGGGAACAAGATTGACAACAGACAAGGCCTGGGTCCGGGGAAAAAAAGCAATGGGAACTGGAGAAGGATGAAATAGAAAACTTTTCGAACCCAGGAACCCCGACGGCGACACGACCCACACAAGACCACAACGTCACAAAAACTAACACGAACAAAGTTGCCCTTTTGTCTGGTTCCTGCGCCGGCAGCTAGCGTCTAGAAGCGGCATTCCCAGCCCGGGACCGTACTTGGCGCGGCGTTGGTGGCGTCCGGCTCAGGCTGAATTTTCTTCTTCTTTTTTGACGTGGTGGCTTGCAGGGGGGGGGGGCGGCGGCCTAAGGTTTCCGTCTTTCCGATATCCGGGCGGGCGTTTTTTTCTTCAACGCCTCGTTTCGATCTCAACCGACAAACAACGACAGAGCTTGTTGGTCTTGACAACGGAACACACGAGATTGACCCAAGAGAATCAACGGCATTGGCAATCCGACCGGACAGCCAAAACACTATTTTTCTTTTTAATTTTTCCCCAGCCCAAATAAGAGACCCTGCAGGCAAAAGGCGGAGCGCGAAATGGGATTCCCCAGCAACAGGCCCTGCAACGAACCCCACTGGAGAAATTTACAACAGGTCATTCAGTAGCCGTCGCGTGATGAAGGGTTTATTGATGGAGATGCGTGGATTTTTCCGCCCGAGATACGAGTCAGCAACGAGGAATTCCGTTGGGCGGCCAAGTCGCCGAGATTGCGGTTTGCCGTGTGTGCGAAGTCGCTGGGCGTACCCTGGACACATCTAGAGGTTCGGTCAGTCGGTCAGATGGTGAGTTGATCAAGTTCCATGCAGAGATTGAATCCAACCGCCTCTGTGTCGACGTGTTGGAGAAACTCGAGTGAAAGAAAGCGTGCAGCTCGGACATTGCGTCGGGCGAGTTGGAGGAATCCAGGATGAGGGACCGCGCAATCCAGCCATGACAAGTGGCACCACAAAATCCAGGTTCTGGCCCGTTGTCGGAGTGCGGAGTATGAGTACGGAGTAAACTTGGCTCAAGACGAGACGTCGACGGATGGTGCCCGAGGTTGGTTCTTATTACTGTTGGACTCTGACGGCCATTGAACTCGGATACAGGATCAAACCATCACAGACGACATCGTAGGGAATCGGTGGCGGCCCTTGGCGAGGGGCGGGATTCAAAGCCACGATGCAGTAGTTGACTAGCGGCGATGTAATGGCGTACTGTTTGGCTGAGCGATTGCTTTGGCTTTCTTCTAGCACTGAAAATGGCGCCAGATGATGAGCTGTAAATGGAACAAGATGATTCACTGGAAGTGGCACAAGATGATTCACTGCGAATGGCCTCAGGCTGATTTAAAAGCCTGACAACAGGAGCACATGTTCGGCCGTCGCTACATGAGAGAACCGCCGAGAAACTGTGAAACGAGGGCTTCTGCAAGGCACCTAAGCCGCTCACCTATGACTGGCCAAAAAAAAAAAAAAACAGGAATGCCCGCTGACATGCAATGATGCTGACCTCTATATCTACTCGCTATACTGGTAGTCGGCAATCATCTGGTTTCAGGCAGGGAATGCAGGCCTCCATCGGACAGCGGGCGCCTAGGGACCCGGTCCTTTCTTTCTCCGAGGATTCCTCGGCGCGCGAGGCATGTGTAATTTGTACCTACAGGGGGTGTAAGTACCGTTCAGAGGTTCCAGAAGCTTTGCCGGCCCACCAGGAACTACTAGTTAGGTAGGTAGTTATTGGTCCCGTCAAGTTGGTCACTTGTCCGTCCGTGTTGCGCTTGTCCATTAATAATCCATCTTCTTCGTCTCTTCTTTGACGCAAGGCAGAAATGCAGTCTCACAATCAGGCTCGGAGCAGTCGCCACGCATGGGCTCATCGGGTTTCGTAGTGGGCCGGCATACGTACGCGTCGCTGAGATTGCAGGCGCTAAATGGCTGGCCGTCAGCCCACCAACAGCTGCTCGCTGCAGGCCGACGTGGTCGGTATTGGAAGCTGAGAGTTGATTATTATTAATTTTTATCTTCATTGGCCGGCGAACCCCGGCTTGTGTACCGTGCTCGCGTGAGTGTCGCTTTGAATGCGGGCTGCGGCTACCACTGCGAGTTCTTTGTGACACAGGTGGTGACGTAGCTTCACGGCCTTGTCAAAGCTACCAAAGGACTCGAACGGAAGATGGATGCCTTGGGACGATGCCGGAGCATGTTCTGCGTGGTAGTCGAGACGAGTGGTGACGGGTAATATATTGCAGTTTACCAGCATGGTTGCATCATAATTCACCTTCCACCCAGCACGGAAAATCAAGTTTTCAGATGGCACCTGCACGCTGACTGCCCCCGCGTGATGCGCGGACGGAGGGGTTTGAGGGGAAGCATCGCCGACGACGTACCAGTGACCAGTGTTGACTCGAGCAGGGGTGGCAGTGTCTCTGCGCCACAGGACGGGGAATGAAAACCTCGTCTTGAATATGAGCCCCGAGTTGCTCATCGTGTGGTTGAAAATACACAGGTCTGTTACGGAGGATTTGCTTTAGAATGAACTGGGCGAATCGCCGATGAGAAGGGCTGATGGCATGGCGCGCAAGCAATACGATGGGCAGCCATGCATGCACTACTTGAGTACGTACCTAGGCAGGTAGCTGGTAGGTATTTAATTAGCATCGTCAACATCAGCAGTGATTGGCGTCGGCGTAGTGTATGACAGGGCGCCAACGTCACCCAGCTGGTAGGTAGGTAGTTGGTAACCCCTTTGCCGTGGCTCCTCGTTTTCCCTTTGTGGCTAATTATGAACAGGCTAACGACGGTTAGTTTATTAGCACGCGCAAATCAAGCCCGTTGGAGTAGAATAAGCCGCCCGAAACACAAGGGCACTAATAAAACCTACCAGTGCGCATTTCTCGTTCGCCGATGGAGCCTTTAGGTGGCTCAGCCCTATTACGGATACATGCGAAAACATTCACCACCAAGAAAACCTTGGCATTGCTGATTGCTGCTCCACCCCCCCTCGTCTAAGCCGATCAAACTGCCTGCTTCGCGACCCCCATCCCCCCCCCCGGCTGCCCGCTGGCGAGGCTTCAAGTGCCTTCTACATCGAGGCAAAACCTAGCGAGAGGAGATGAGGTGCTTGCTTGTCTACCCAAACTAACCGCTGAGCTGCTGCGCCCACACTGCAGAGGCGGAGCACAAGCGGGAGCACCATTTTGCACTGACTGCTCAGTCAAGCCAGGGCCAAACAATGGCGGACAAGGGAAATAAAAAGATGAATAATGGCTTGTCTGGCTGTGCCATGTCATATATGGCACACCACCCCTCCCGGCCATTCACCAGCCAGGCCGTTTTGTATCTTCTTCCACCATACTCCAAATCTGTTTGCTAGCCCTCGTTCACAATGCAGACAAACTATATACACCCGCAAGGCAGCAGCACTGCGTCGAGCTCTATTTCGGGCCTGTCAACCCGCTCCTGCGCCCTCATCGACGCCGTCTATACTGCTGCCTCGACAAACCACGGCCCGCCCGTCTGTGGCCTCCCCAACCTGTCGTTCCGCTGCCGCCCCAAGACCGGGCCTCGCCCTTCCATCGACACGCGCAGCAGCAGCAGCAGCAGCAGCATCGACGCCTACGCCTCCAGCACGCGACTCTCCGACAGCCACAGCTCCTCGTGTAGCGACGACCTGGACACGTCGTACCACCACTACAGCCGCACCGCCCACATGGGCATCCTCGACCCCAGCTACGCCCTCTTCGTCAGCCAGCACGGCCACGGCTCCCTCGTGTACAAGGTCCGGAGCGGCGCCGCCGTCATCGCCGGCGACCCCCTGTGCAGCCCGGACCAGGTCCAGCCGCTGCTGGACGAGTTCCAGCAGTCTCGCGGCGGCGGCCGCCGCCGGCTCCGCATCGTGTACGTCGGCGCCAGCGCCGCCTTTGCCGCGCAGGCGCAAAAGAGCGGCTGCGTGACTCTGCACTTTGGCCGCGAGCGCGTGCTCAACCCGCAGACGAACCCGCTGCTGCGCAACAAGGCCGGCAAGCGCACCATCAGCCAGTGCCGCCAGCTGCTGGACCCGGCCCGCGGCGGCATCGCCGTCG